TCGGTAGTTCCCGACTAAGAGATAGCCAGAAGCTTCTTTAGATTCGGTGCACAGAGGACTTACCCTTGTAAAAATTTGCCTAAGAATAGTGAAGCTCGTAGATGCTGAGCTTAATGAAAATATCTTGGAAAACAGAATGTAATGCTTTAAAAACACGTTTTTAGACCGATTATTCCTATAGAGCTATATAATATAGTGATGCGATCCTAATACGATATGGCTTATGTAAAAGCAGTTAAAAACCAAAAAAGCTTATCATACAAGAAGTTTATTTTGGACCGATCTTTGCTATGGCAGCTTTATGATATAGTGGTTGGAGTTCGATACGATTGAGTCTGGAAGGGGCGATGTCTGAATCAAGTCTATCGCATGTGAAGCAACTTGGGCTTGGACAGCATCCTCGATGTCCTCAGGAGAGCACAGAATCATGACGAGGTTGATTGAGTTACTGAGTTCACCCTGGAAGTAGACTACTTCTTTTTGGCTGCTGCACAGGGTTGGTGTGAAGAGTGGCCAAACCTCTCCGATGAGCGGTCATATGTGGTCTCGATAGAGAATTAGTTCTGCCTAAGACCACCATATATAAGGAAGTCTAGTCTAATATGTTGCATCTCCGGTTGCCAAGACATCTCATCTGGAGTCGACGATGGCTGCGTGCAAACTCTGGACACGCGTACACGCATTCCAGTCCCCTTACGCAATCAACTTTTGTCATAGGTTCATTATTAGAAACTCAAAATTGCCTTTTGGTCGCATCAATATTTTGTCGAGCATAGTTATACTGCGCCCTATGGGGGTGAGCCAAGATATTGGCGGCTGCTTTGCATATCTTGATTTATTTACATTTACAGCCTTAATGGTGCGAAGATGCTGCTCATGCTCTGCAATTAAATTGAGCATGTTTAATATGTCGTCAATTTAGCAATACACAAAACTAATCCCACAAAAAATATCATTCATATAGCACCTTTGGTAAGTCTGCGTCGCATTCTAAAGACCAAACGGCAAGTACAAGTACTTTGGAACGTGACTTACTGCCATCGGTATTTGGTAAAAAGCTTTTAGGAGATCCATAGATCATAGTCATAGATGTGCGCGATTGGAAACCGACTGCTTATGGGGCGATCAAGAAGTTGATTTGGCCAACCTTCAGATTCAGTGCGAACACGGACTTTCCATAAACCAGAGCAATTGCCAACTAGCGTAATCAGAGGTTCAATTTCTCAGCTACAGCTTATCGACGAATACAGAATAAAGCTGCCCACTAGCCGAATTGACGCCATCCTCAACCACGCTCGTCCTGATGCCATCAGTCAACTGGGTCGGGTTTGTTGGCATCATCAACTACTAATGTAGTTGCCTGCCACACTCGTCGCACACTCAGGAGCCTTTTTCAGAGCAATGTTGCTATTGGAGCCGAGCTAGAGCAACAAGTTAATGACAGCTGGCAGCCACTTGGTTTTTTTCTCTAAGAAGCTAAGCAACGCAGGAAAAAGCTACAGCACATACGATCGAGAGCTACTGTCAGTATTTGAGGCTATCAAATATTTAAAGCACTGGCTCGAAGCACGAACGTTTATTATCGAAACTGACACAAGCCTCTGATATAGGCATGCTTTTAAGCAACGACCTGGTAAGGTCTCACCTCGTCAACTTTGCCAGTTAAGTTGAATTTCACAATCTCGCAGACTCCGGCTGATAGAGGAAGCGCAAGCCGATGACCCAGAATTAGCAGACTATTTGCAAGGAAATCGTCACTAAAACTCCAGAAATTTCACTGCGATGACAATATTAATCCATTCAAGCAATTTTTCTCATTGGTGCAGAATCTATCGCATCCGAGTGACAGGGCAACTCAGCAGTTGTTAGCTGGCGCAGGAACTGTTTGCCATGCCAAAGAGCAAAAATCAACAAACATAATCACCCGGTTCCAATGAAAATCATCACATTGTGGTCATGGCGCCACATCAAAACTTTCGATATTGTCTCACTATGATTGATTGTTTTACACGCTGGCCAAAAGCGCTTCCGCTTACAAATATCACTTCTGAAACGATTCCACAAGCTCTTTGGTCACAATGGGGCACCTAGAACCATAACCACGGATCCAGGCACTCAGTTCGAATCCTCTTTGTTCAAGGAACTAGTTCATCACACACATCCGTACCCCTGGCTGTCGACCACAATCAAACGGACTTCTAGAGATGTTGCACCGATCTTTGAAAGCAGCAGTCCATGGACTCAACTTCAGTCAGTCAAGCAAGACTTGGATTCTTCAGTTGCTGAAAAGTTGTATGGCACACCGAATCCCTAACCAAATGAATTTTTTGATAGCGCAGATGCGATCATGTGCTCTTCAACTTTTATACTATAGGCACTCTTCGTGATCATATGAGAAAAATACGTCCAACTCAGGTTGTCACGCAGCATTCCGTCAGCCAAAAGAGAGCTGCAGATCAACGGCAATAAAGTTGGTGTTTCGGTGGATCGACTTAATCCAGCATTTATGACAAACGATGACATCCAAGGGGAGTCGTGACCTAGTCACTTGAGAGGGAGTACTGTGGCGGCACTGTAATACGGCATCTATGTTGATGAAATAACATTATGTAAACTTAATGTTAATTGATATCGAGGAAGCTAAGCAGATTGGCCCAGTCTCACTCTCATCACTACACTGACAGCTTTAGCTTAGTATACATATAATTTTGAAAAAATTAAGAATTACCTAGAACATTATCAAAATCTACAGATCTCCACAATATGAGCACCTTGTCTTGAATAACTTCTGTTTGTCTTAACCAATTTTGATCAAATCTTATTGAGCTATAAAATATTCGTATATTTCAAAATAATAACAAAATAAATATTCAAAAATATAACTGCATTAAAATTGCAAATTATCGATTATCGGAAACAAACTTGCGCTGAGCGGGCACTTGAAGGACTTACGCACAAAATTCAAGTCAAGTAACAAATCAAGTCTCTAGCTTTTATAGGTTCTGTGATCCTTGGATTCATACATAATCACGGGCGGATTGACTGACGGACAGAGATCGGAGGTGCTTCTTTCTTCCTCTTACATAAATTTGCACACATAAATTGTTCACCTTTTTACCAGTTAGTTTAATTTTTTTTAAACTTTTAATTTATCAATCGAAAATCGACAACACAAAGCGGTACTTGTTATCGGAAAAGAAATCGCAAACTTTTAAATGAATTTATTTATGTTTTTAGCACAAAACCAAGGAATTTCGAATACAGAATTGCAAAAAATAAAAATGTTAACACACCTCTTGTTGTCGTTGTCCATTCAACAGGCCTATCGAACTACTAGCTCCAATGGGAACCGAACCACTACTTGGAATCAGTGCTGAATAATTTTATACAGTATTGAGCGGGAACAAATTAAATAATTTTTTTTTATATATGAAATAATAATGAAGACTTTAAAATAATTTATTTGATATTTCTTCTCCGATAATGCCCCTAAAAGCAAGGTAGTTCAACTTATGTATAGACCGCGATTTTATCAAACATTTAGCTTTTAAAATGAATTCCTAATAAACATTGGTGTTTAAAGTCCAATCAAAAAATAGATTGATTGCATTGTAAAATATGTAAATGCCACTTTTTGCTCGTAACATATATTTGTGCAAAACTATTATAACCCTTTTCTTAATGTTTATGTGTATACAAATGCAAAAACGCAATTAATCGACAATCTTATCATTTAATAATATATAAATAAATAAAATATAAAAATATGTATTAATATTAATATATATATATATATATAATTTTTATTGTATATATATATATATATATATATATATATATATATATATATATATACAATAAAAATTTCCTATAAATTAAATATTATTCTATGCTATGGTTGGCGTAATAATTAAAAGTGCCGCTATATTGGGGGCTGCCAACTTATGAAGAATGCTAACCTATGGGAACATAAAGATGCCAACTTGTTAGAATAAGTTAAAAATCGGTCAGCTTTTGTACGAAGGCTCTCAAGCTACGCATCCATTTTGTATGCCCTTGCGGTGATCAAGAATATTTTTAATGTGTTCAGGGTATACAAATGTTAAGTAAATATTGCCAGCTATTTCTTTTCTTGCATTAACATAGGGTATAATATGAAAAACAGAAAAATGAGAGTTTCTTAAAAACTGGCGATTTTCTTAATGTGAAGAGCAAAATGATTGACAATTCGCGGTCTATATGTTATACTGCATTTGGGTCCATTATCGGAGAAAAATAAAATTAGGATGAAAAATATGTTGAAATATGGCCACCTTTTTGTTATTATACTGTGTATAAATACATAAATGCACTGTTGTCGCATTTAGCAGCAGTCTATTTTACCATAGATAATGTTTTTTTGTAAAATGCCAATAATTGCACTTATTACAGCATTTCTTTTACATATACAAATATTTTGAATTAATTTGTTCCCGCTCAATGCTATATAACATTATTCAACACTGATTCCAAGCAGTGGTTCGGTTCTCGTTGGATCTAGTAGTTCGATAGGCCTTTTGAATGTACAACAACAACAAGAGGTGTGTTAACATTTTTAATCGATCTGTTTAGAATTAATGCGTAAGGCTTCCTTAAAAATGTATCTTCATGTATTCTTCACGTCATTAGAGTAGGAATGGTGGAAACCTAATTTTTCAACCCCTTGATTTACCAATATTTTAAACTAATATTAAAAAACAAATGAATATATACAGTAAATAATTTAATTCTCTGCAATTTTGCATTTAAATTTATTTGGTTTTGTGCTTTAAAGCATAAATAAATGCATTTAAAAGTGAGCGATTCCTTTTCCGATACCAAGTACAAAAAATCGATGCTAAGTCACCGCCGCTAGTCTGACGCACTAAATATTAACAGGGTTGTTAACAAGTATCGATGCTTCATGTAGGTTATGTGTTCATGAATATACTCGATAACATGTAGTTATTTGTCAAACCGCTATCTGTAACAATCGGTCACACTGACAAACCGGAGAAAATTTTATTTCAGCATTTTGTGCGAGACGCATTTTACATATATATTTGTAATAGTATAGACAGAACATACGAGAACTTAAACGAAATTTTTGAAAAATGGCCGCGCCAATGCAACACGAAGATTTGCTTAAGCTGAAAGGATTCATTGATTTTGTCAATACAAATCCCACGGTGTTGAACATGCCCCAATTGCAATTTGTCAAAGATTTTGTTGAAAAGTTTGGTGGTAAGGTGCCCGAGGGAAACTTCAAGATGCCGGAAACTGGGTAAGTGTGTGTTAGCCGCTCCCTTGAGGCGCACCACATTTTCATATATATGCATATTCGTTTGCTCTGGGTGCAGAAGTAAATGTCCCTTTGGCGGTGATGCCGGGGCCAAGGCAAAGCCAACCGAAACGGCAGCCGGAGCCGATGCAGATGATTCGGATAAAAGCGATGAGGCTGCAAGCGCTTCGGAGCCAGAGTCTGATGTGGAATTGGATATGGAAGGTAAATTAAAAGCGAATGCAAACAAACTATAAAAAAAAAATCACGTGCTCATATTGGTGAACCTCCCAACCTCAATTTCTGTCCGCAGGCGTCATTGAAGCCGACAACGAACCGGCTCAGCCGATGGGCGATTCAAACAAAGAACCCACTGAGGAGGAAATGGATCAGGCTGGCGAGCTGCGCGGCCAGGCAGCCGCCGCGTATAGCGAACAGAAATTCGACGAAGCCATCAGCTTCTATACTAAAGCCATTGAGCTGAACCCGGGGAATGCGCTATTCTATGCCAAGCGCGGCCAAGCCTTCCTCAAGTTGAAAAAGCCGAATGCATGCATACGCGACTGTGACAAGGCCTTGGAGCTAAACTGTGACTCGGCTGCGGCGTACAAGTTCCGTGGACGCGCTAATCGTCTGCTTGGCAAGTTTGAGGAGGCAGCCAAGGATTTGCGTCAGGCGTGCAAGCTTGATTTTGACGAGGAGGCCGACGAGTGGCTGCGTGAAGTGACTCCCAATGCCAAGAAGATTGAACAACATCGCATTAAGCAGGAGCGCAAGCAGGCTGAGCGCAAAATCAAGGATCGTCAACGTGCACAGCGCAAGGCTCGCAAAGAGCAGGCTAAACAAAGCTCTGCTGGTGGCTTTCCGGGTGCTGGTAGCTTTCCAGGTGCTGGAGGTTTTCCAGGTGCTGCTGGCTTTCCAGGTGCAGGCGGTTTTCCAGGCGCTGGCGCTTTCCCAGGTGCTGGCGGCGGCATGCCCGCAGGCTTCGATATGGGCGATTTGATGTCGAAAATGAAAGATCCTGAAGTGGCGGCTGCCATGCAAGATATCCTGGCCAATCCGGCTAACATTTCCAAATACGTTTCGAACCCGAAGATCTTTAATTTGGTCAAGAACTTCTTCCCGGGCGGCTTCCCAGGCGGCGATCCAACCGCTGGCGATGCTGACAGCGATGACGCCCCCTTCTGCGATACCGAGGGCAAGCCCTCCAACAACAGTGAGCCAAAGGCCAAAAAGGAGTCCTCAGACTTTGTAGATGACGGACTCGATTAAATTAGCTGGAAACAGCCAACAGCCTCAGCAGCAACATAATTAATGCAAACAAAATTACCAAAAAAAAAAAAAAAAAAAAAAATCAAGAAAGAAAAAGAAACACATACACATGATTTAGAGCGAGACAACAACACAAAAGATGGAAAAGGAGAAGAAGAATAGAGTATCTCTCCTTTATTCTTATTATAAAGTTAAGGTTCTTAAGCGTTGCTGCTGCATAAAATTCGTAACCTATCTTTGCCATAACAAAGAATGCAAGCAAAAAAAAAATGTTTCCTTATTAACATATATAAATTTATCGATGATATCTAGTTGAACTAAAGCTCGATAAGAGAAAAAACGAAAAAAAAAAAAACCATTAAAGCTAATATAAATGCACACACACATATAAACATACACAACAAGCATACACATTCAAAGATTAGCCTTAATTCTAACCCAATGCTGAAGATGAGAAAACACATGCATGTCTATCTATATTATATATATGCAAACAGCAGCAAGCACGGAAACAAAAATTATAAATTGTACTGATCACAGGATTTGAATTATATTGTAATAAGCAAATGCATTTATCAGCCATCATCACACACACGCACACATACACACACAATTACACCTTGCTTGCCAAATTCCAATCAATATTGAGATGCGGTTCAGCATGTCCTTAAACATACAATCACTCATACATTCATGTTTCATACACCCAAAAGGCAAGAATAAATGGAAATAAATTAATGAGAATTGGAACTGCAATCTTTTGCTATATAATCGATTTAATTGACATATTTATACCCCTTCAGGTTTAAATGTAGCTAATAGCAAGACCCCATTCTGATGCCACAGCTAGCTGAGAAAGGTATGTTCGTTTGAAGTTATTTCTTTTTCAAGATATTTCTAACTTATCTTCTCCCTTATTTTTCAAAATCAACATGCGACCACTAAACCTCAAAAGCTCATTAGGCATCATCTCCAAAAAAAAAAAAGTTTTGTAGTCTCCAAACTTTCAAAACTGTGCTTGAAAAACATTCGTTTTTCTTGAAATAGAATATAACATATATAAGAAATATATATATATATATATATATATATATATATATATATATATATATTATAGGCAAATAAATAATTCACAATGTTGCAACATTTTTAGAAAATGGAATTATATTTATATGTTATCCGTGTGACGGCAATAGGTAGATTTTCGAACACAGTAAAGAAAGTATGTACGTAGGTCCTCAGAGATTTTTGAGTATCTATAAATATAGCAATTAGTATTACACATGTTCTACGCTAGATCGATGGGTCAAGAGCGATCGAATACATTTTCTAGTCTTAGAGCTGTCTCGTCAATTAGCCTCACGATTATCAATACTATTTTTAGCTCGCATATACATACGCTTGTATATGGGCCGTATAAGCTTCGAGTACCCTTTGGTGAATATATATTCAATAAGGAATTTGTGTTGACATACTTATTTATGCAGAGTACTGGCATACTAATACAAAGTGAAAGTGTGTTCGAATAAATGCAGGTTGTAAAAAAGGTGCACGCCTTGAAGTATGCAACGCACAAAAGCTTTGTTGTGCTATTTTGGAAGATGAATACAATCTGTTTGTTGTTGGCATTATTCAAATGCTCACTACGCCCAACTCATAATTTGCATATTAAATAATGAAAGCCGAAGGCAATATGAATGACCGAATAGCTGAGTGTACTTGATAACGATGAATCGCATTGATAACTGCAAATATGCAAGCAATTTCAAATACCCTGTTTAAATGTATGTTAACTATGTGTCGGTGGTAGTAGGTCTATAAATGATTTATTTCTGTGTGGGTATCATTGATTACAATAGCTGCAGACCTGAATTTTGTAATTAATGTACATTCTCGTATACAATGTCCAGATCATGTTTACATCTGATTTTCAAAAACAAAAAATCAGTAAACAATAGTCTTTCATTTCTATCAGGCGGGGTATTTTCAAAATAAGTTCACTTTTAATAGCTTTTTCTAACTTACTTCAAAATCAATTTGGCAAAGTAAAATCGATTTGCAGTATATATATATATATATATATATATATATATATATGCTAAAGCAATTCATAAATAATATTTAATGAAGAACGTGGGATAGGCATAGAAACTGTTTATCATATTGTCAAGCGCCATGTTACAGGGTATCTCCTAGCCGACCACTCTTAACTAGAACACTTTTGTTGTAATATACGTATGTATACATATATTCGCGTTCTCCTTGAGACGGCAGCAGCGCAGTTAATCCAAACTGTGCCCACACATAGACACGCACACATATGTACATGTATATGTGCATGCATATTTAGTTATTGCATTACTCATAGTCACCCCATTTGCCTAGGCTCCCCCCCCCCACATTCACACTCTCTTTCTCTGTTAGTTGAGTCACAAGAAATGATAGCACAGTGCAGAAGCGGCTGCTCTCGCGCTTTCTCATTAAATTAATTGTAACGCAAAGCGCAACTAACCGTTACAGTGGTAAGTGCGTGCCGGGGGTATGTTGTGGCCAAATGCACTAACAATAACAATAAAAGCGCGCGACATTGGTGCTTTTTTGTTTTTTGCTATTGATGTTGTTGTGACATCATGACGTCATTGTTGTTATCGTTTCGCTGAATGGCTGAGTGAGTCGCGACGCGAAGCGTTGCCACTGTAGAACAACAGCAGCAGCAGCAGCAGCAACTTGTTGTGATATATTACTGATTTGTTTGCTTCTTGTTTTTGTATAGTGGCGCTGCGTTGACGCCGCTGCCTTCAGAGCGGCCAGCCGGCCAGCCAGCTGGCAGAAGCAAAAGGCGTAAACGAAATTGAAAATACTTTTGTAGTTTCAGTTTCGTTTTTAACGTACGCGCGTCAAGACGCAAAAGCAACAGCTCGAAATATCAAACGCATTGCCCAAAACGAATTTTCAATACAAAACACAAGTGTGTGACCAGAGTCGGCGAAAAGTAAGAACCAAACGATCGCATATAATTTTATGCGCATTCAAGCACACACACACACGCAGCATGGATATATATATATATAAATATGTGTGTGTGTGTGTACATTTTAAAAATTCAAAAAGTACACGTTTAGCTTGATATTTTTTTTTTTTTCAATTTGTGTGCGCGTAGAAAATAAGCTGCATTTTTAAAATACAAATTGGCAAGTGCTAAGTTCCAGGGCGTGGCACTATATAAAAAGCATGACATCAATTTTACAAGGAGTTGGTTGGGTTCACTGAGTGGGTCAATAATAAAACAGACCTTTTTTTGCGATGATCTCATTGCGTGCCAATCGCATAACGTGCAGCAGCAGCAGCAGCAGCAAAATGCAACAAGCAAATGCTGTTATCGTGTTCTTTACTTTCTTTTGCTTTTTTCTGATAACGAAGGTTTTACTGTCGCAATTTGCTTTTATTGTTTCTTTGTTTTTCATTTAGCAACAAATATCAATTTGTATACGCAGGAAATTTGTCAAAGGTTTTTGTTAAAAAGCTGCGCTTGATAATCGCTTGTTACTATTCAAGGCACATACACGTTCAGACGTACCTACATACATATACATATGTACATATGTACATAGCTCAAAAATGATATCATTTTCTAAAAAACCGGCGCCTGTTGCCCATTTTTTATTGTTATTGGTTATTGTTATTGTTGTTAACCAAAGACTAAAAGCACATTTTTAAGAGAACCCTCGAGAGCACAGCGGAAATCCGCTCACTAATCAACATAAAATGTGGTTCGGTTTGTTTTGGTTGTTGTCGTTGTTGTTGTCGTTGCCAATCGAAAGAGGGTAGGGCTTGAATCGCAACCGAAATTCGAAATCGTATTGTTTGTAAGTCGTTACGTCATCGCAATGAATGAATGAAGTTTGCTGGATGGGATGGCGTCATTATTTTGGCTGGGCGCGTCTGACTAATGGCTTCCCTCTATTAAGACCTTGTGGGCAGATGAGGCAGCAACTCAGTAGCCTGCAGCTGAGTTAAGAAATGCGATAAGCTCTTCATAAATAGCCTTCATTAGCAATGAGAATTGAAATTGCTGGAAAGCTGTATGAATCGAGTCAATGTCACTTCTTCAAACTAAGTAGAAGCATATGCACTCATACTACATATACAAATATATACACACATATAATTTTGTCGATCTTTAAGAAATCGCCTATTGCTTCCACTCGCTCAACACTTGCCCAAAACGCACACACACACACACACACACACACGCCTTAACGCGCGCCCCCATTTCGAAAATTTATCGACACATGCATGCATTAACCACACATGAACCTATGAATATACATACAAATATATAATATACATACAATATATATATATATATATATATGTGTGTGTATATATATAAACAGAAAATTCATGTTTCCATCGAAATATTTTGCTGAAACACAAAAGGCAGCAGCCATAAAGCCCATGACGTCACTGTACGGCTATAGACGACAAACACAATCGAAAATACAAACCTGTGTATTGTATACATACACGTCTGTGAATGGATGTGTTCTCTAGAGTCAGAGTGGGAGAGAGCGAGAGAGAGAGAGAGAGAGAGAGAGATCGGTATGACAGTAAATCGAATATCTAGCTTCTCCTGCGTTGTTTCAATAACATTTGGCGCTCAGCGAGGCCGGCATTGAAAATGTTTAATTTTAGAAAAAATAATAACAAATTATATGGCCAAAAATACAACAGTGTGGGCATGGGCGTGGCTAGGGCATTCGATGTGTAACAACTGTGCAAATATGCACTTGCACTGTTCAATTGAAATTCGTCTGCGATTCAGATTACAAAAATATAAACAATTATTCAAATATGATAGATTTTAAAAATATATGGTCCATTATTTTTCGATAGGTTTAAGTGGATTCAGTCGGATTTAATAAGAGGTGCACGATCTTAAAGCTTTTAACTGTATACTCGAATTTTAAATATATATCTTTATATTTGTTTATTTTGTATTTAAATCTACTAACGAAACTAACAGGTATTTTTTAAAATTAGCAAAAAACAGCAGTCATATTTTATAAATATATTATATTTTTCACGTATGTAGTTCTGACATTATTATTATTACTTCAATATTCAAACTGACAAATTGTTTTTAAAATATCAATCAAGTTAAAAAAAAAATTAATAAAAACTTGATATTTCATAAAAGAAATCATTTTTCAGTTGTCTGAACAAGTTTTGGCATAATGAAATTCATTTTTATGAAGAGAAAATTGACATTTATAGATAGTAAAAAACTGGTTTGAGAATTGCAAAATTTGAAATATAGAAAAACCTTTGGATTAATCAATATGCATTTTTCTTATTTTCTAAATCTGGAATCAATTTGTGTAGCGCTAAAAGACTCCCATTTCCATATGATGCTGTAAATCTTCTATAATTATGATTCAAAAACAATATAATTTATGGTTAACGTTATTCATTGACAGTAAACAGGGATTATCTTGAGGATAGAAACCCGATTTTATATGCAATCTTCATTTTATATATATTTTGTATATGTATTTTATTTTATGCATGTGCTAATACAAACGCATTTATCTGATTGTCATAGTTTTACTGTATTTTTAGACCCAACCAACCCACCTTAACCAGCCACCGTCTAAGTAGCCGCCAAGATGTCTCACTCCGTGACCATAACACGCACCACCACCAGCACCACCAACACCTCCTACATTGTGCTCAACACGGGCTACATCAAGACCTTTCCGGGCATACTCAAGCTCTTCCAGCTGGTAAGTGACGTCTCAAGACAGTTGCACTTAGACCTTATTCATTTGTTAACGGCATTTATAGCTCATTGGCATTGCTGTGGTGACCCTGATGGCGATCCGTTTCCATGACAGCCCCTACTATCGTGGAGAGCAGGACTTGTTCCACTTCCTGATGGCCACCACATTTATGATAGGGACATTTTGTTTATTCCTTGCGTGCCTCACATCGCTGAGCACGGGCGGGCTCATCGCCAAGACAATCTATGTAAGTGCTTGGCTTGACTGCTGCATTTCAATCCAAATCGGAAACTAAATGTTGCTAAATTTTTGGATTTACAGGAGCTGATCTATCATAGTGTTGCGGCCATACTGCTGCTTGCCTCGTCCGTCTGTCTGCTAATTAAGCTGCGCGATGGCAGGAATGATTCCTATATGGCGGCCCCCATTCTGGGCCTGGTCAATACGGTGCTCTACTTCATAAGCGCATTCCTGGCACATCGCTCATATCGCGGCATTTAAGCGACACAATCGCTGGCATTTTGCAAAGGAGCATCGAAATCTAACACAAACAGATCATCAGAATCAGAATCAGAATCAGAATCGGAATCGGATATAGCTACAGCTATAGTCAATTACCGCACAAGCCATACAGAGGAGTCTCTTTGTTGTACTGTTAAATAAATTGTGTTACACTCTCGTACTACCTAAATACCCACATCCATATATACATATATATGTATACATATATATACATATATATGTATATATATATTTAATTTTATTATTTCATATTTTTTTGTTTTACATTTTCATTTTATTTTTTATTTTTACTTTCATCTCACTGTCTGTCTTTTATACCAAACAGCATATATTGTAATCGAATAAACGTGTCTATATGTTTTTTTTTATACAAAATGTGTCTACTTTTGTGCAGGCATTGCCAGAAGGAGAGGCACACGATGCATTTACGATTTTTGCTTAAGGGAAAGAACAAAAATAAATAAGCATTGGACATTCTCGCCAGACTCTTTTGGCGGATTCTGCTGTTTGAAGAAGATAAGCAAATTGAGCGGGGAATCAAGGAAAGAACAACTTTTCACTATATATCTGTATACCCGTATCAGATCGGACTACTTTATAGTCAAAGATATATCTTTTGTATAAAAGCCGGTCTGAACCTTATCTCGAATAGAGTATTTAATCGTCGAGCTGCCGTGTTTCACATATTTGTTTAGTATTTAGTTTAATACATTTTATAAAATCAAAGCTATTAAAACATTTTGCTTTATTCCTGTTGATGGAAAACTTGCAATATACTTGTTCAGATCGTACAGATTCTGAAACTAAAACAAAAGCAATTGTGTTCATGATAAAAAATGTTTATAAATTAATTTGTGAACATTTTTACAGATTACTTTCGCGCGAATAAGTTTGCCTTGAAAATAGTGTCATTTACCTAATATTAAATTCGAAACATTTTCAACCCTTTCAATCTCAGTTATAGAAAAAGAGTTTCTTCCTCAAAAACCGCGCTCCTCCAATTGAAAGTAATATTGACAGGAGTGGATGAGGAAAAAGACGACAGCCACGCATATATTGATGGCTATGAAGTACATGAATCCAACGATAAACTCATTGCACCAGACCTCCATGAAGGGCATACGCTCGTGCAGTATGACAGTGGCAATGAACAGGACCACAGAGAGGACGCCGCCAACGAGCATCATCTGAGTGGAGGCGCAAAGGTTATGGGGAATAGAATTCAAGTGTAAACGATATGAGGTGCTTACCGCATTGGAGGTAATGAAATTAATATCAAAGTGACTCAAGTATTGAGCTCGTATGAGGACCATGACAATGAATGTATAGAAAATAGTTAGCACTAGCGTCCATTTCATATAGAACAGCTCCAGCCAGGTGATATGCGCATTACCTGCACCGTCCACAATGAATGTCCGCTGGCAGCGATCGCTCTCATCTGGCGGCAGTTTGTACTCTGTGCGCAGTGCCACCTCCTCGTTGATGTGCACGATCTTATTGAGCATGTGCAGCGCACCAAAGCAACAGATCTGCAGCAAAACGATGCATCATTAATGGAACAATTATATATAGGTACTTCCAACTGGCAACTGTCCACTCACGAATGCGCAGAGCGCCACAAACCCGGTGCTGAAGCCCAGACCCTTGCACATCTTGCAGCGACGAGTTGACAGCAACGACTGGCTGCGCCAAGCAAGAGGATACACTCCACCTGCTGTTGCAATCGGAGATGCCCCATTGTCGGAGAAGAGGCAGAGCCAACTAGCCAGCAGCTGGTTTGCTTTGCTGGCAGTAAACAGTTTTATTTTACAAATGTTTTTGGCGACTTTAATGCGATTCTTAATCATAATTGTGCATGTGTGTGTGTGTGTGTGTGTGTGTGTGTGTCTGTATGGGCGCGTGTGAATGGCTTTAAAATTAGTCAACGTATGCATGTATGTGGCATGAAGTAGTTCAAATTTGATTGCCATCAAAACATAAACAGAAGCTTTGGCCGGGTCCCCAATATCATCATCCTGCATGAATATCTCTCGTGTGCTCGTTCCCTCCCCCTCTCTCTTTCACTCTGTGGTCCGATTCCTACTGACTGAACTTGACGCCAATGTTGTTGACGCGCGTCTGCATGTGCTTCAGCACGTCCTCCGAGAACTCCTCGATGGTGGTGAAGCGACTTTTCTGGAAGCTGTAGATGTCGGCCAAAAATGCAAGCAACTGCTCCCGAAAATAGTGGCATATATCGCGCAGATTCTCGTTGGGACCGAAAAAGCCCCAAGCCATCAGCGGCGATATCTGCTCCGATATGACATAGAAGTGTGCCATAAATCCATTTTGAAATTTGAGCATACGCTTCTTTGCTTTCAGCACCGACCAGACAGCCGTCGTGAGCGCCTAGAAGAAAGAAAGAATTTCTGTATGAAAATGTTGCGTTTACCAACTGAGTGTAAGCGAAACGAAAACTCTGTAGTGATAGGTGGCAACGCTGTGAAGCTTAATGTACTCTGCTTATCTTCTCGACAATGTACTTTGGCTTTAGTTCGAGCCGTTGAGAGTACTCCTCAATACAAATGCTTATGCATTGAGGTGTTCAACAGTTTTCTTTTGCCGCCTCTACGGGTTTGTGTTTTTATTGCACCGCATTTGACATGCATTGTCTAATGTTGGGGCAATTGTAAAATGCATAAATTTTCCATTTTGTCGAGCTGGGCAGATCAATTACGGCTAACAGTTACGAGATTCAATTGTTAAGCTTCTTCTTTTTTTCAGTGTTAATGTCAGTGTTAAAAACTCACTCAAATTGATGTTCGCTTCTGTTAAGCTTCTGTTAACTGTTAGCAGTATCAATTCAAAGTGACATTTCATTCAATTTTTTTCCTTCAGATTTTTCATACCGTTTCCTTGAATCCATTAGAAAGCCAACGATTTTGGACAACAGCTGTGACGCTGGCTGGTGGCGCATCCAAATCCCGGAACGAGTCCAGTATGATAAAGTCAAGGCAAATATCGTAGAATGTCATCGCCTTGACGTTTCGCTGTTCCAGTTCCATTTGGATGCACGGCCAGTTACTGGGCTCATGCAGAAAGTTGACCATATCCTCGTAGCCAACGAGGAACTCTTTGGTGTCCTTATCGCCCAGGCATAGCAGATCTGTCAATATTTGCCTGCCCGCATCGCAGATCCATTGGCCCACGGCTGCATCCTTGAATAGATATTGAAAAGCGAGTCGGACGCAATGGAGCTTAGCCAAGTATTCGGTATCGCTGCTGCAGTGCATTAATTCGGCGCGTATCGTCCGGCATGGCACTGTGTATTCATCGTGATGTTTGAGCGCGTTCTGAAACAGCGGATACTCTTCATACGCCGTCTCAATGAAGCCGTCAAACTCGCGAAGATCGGCCACTTGGTCCAGGGCCGAGGCGAAGCTCTCCGCGGAATCGAAATTGGGATCGGAACCAGCGCGGCTTAGCACGCTGCCAGATTTGCGCGAGTGTCGATCATCATCACCATCCCCGGCGGCAGCTCCTCCATCCTCCTCGGCCTCGTCTATGGAATGTTCCTCGCGAAAGAGCACCGAGCGCTGATCAAGAAACAGGAGTTCGCTCTGCTCCTGCAGCGTATACGACATTTCCAGCAAATTCTGTATCTCTCGACAGAACTCCGAGTCCTCGGCCGTTGTCAGCGAGGCAGGCACACCGCCGGGCGAATAGTGTGCTGCCAGCGCATCCTCCCAAAAGTTGATTACTGTGTCCAGCGCCTCCATGCCCATCACTCCCAGCTGCTGGGCCGTCAACAGTGGTACCACGCCAGCGCCAATGCCGCCCACCGTGGTCTGATTCTGTGCGCCCGCGCCAATGGAGCCCGACGCAAGTGACAGTCGATCCGAGTAGGCGACTGTTGAGCCGACGGGGCTGCCCGACCGCGCTGATGCCTTTGATCCGGCCACTGAAGTCAGATCGTTGGGACTTCGCATGCTGTTCCGAGTACGCCGACCAGTGTACTTTCGTGGGCGTCGGATCGGACGCGGCGGCTTCCGGCGCCGCAAAAACCGCGACAGGACGCTCATCAATGCCACGCCAGCTGTCAGCGAGAAGAGCACAACCTGCACGTGGAATTGGAAGCGATGCCAATATTGACTGATAACACAAAACAGAAGAGTCAACTCACTTTTGTCGTGGTGGAGACTCGAAACGGCAGTATGCTCCATCCTGTGGGCGTGAGGCGATTCATGCCTCAGTTCACTCTGGAATACTTTGGGATTGTGCGTGCTTTTAGGTTAAACTGGCCTGGCCCAGTTACGCGCGCAACTTTTAAGTCGCGTGCACATGGGCCCTCGTTGGATCGCGTGTTGTTTTCCGTGTTTGTTGCTGTTGTTCTTCTTGTCGTTGACCTTTTGGAACGCGTTACACTAACAGCAGCAGCGGCACTAGTAGCAGCAGCTCCAGCTCCGTTATCGTCAGTTCTCCACTGACCACACACAGAGGAGTGCGTGAAGTTGTTTTGATAGCAACTAAGTTAATATGTTTGTCAATAGAGAGTAATGATTTCAAAGACTTTCACTTTCTCGTCTAAAACAACAATTGCATCACAATCGGAGGTTTGGCCTACAAATACGAATAGCGGCGAACTGCCTGTAGTTGTTGCCAGTAAACCGGACCGATATTCACTTATCGATATACCGATTAATGCTGCTAACAGCTTATTAACAGAGTTGTTCTTATTGCATTTATACAAAATCCTACTTTATCATTTTGGAACCCGTTACTTGTTGCTTTCAATTCGTGTATGATATAAATTATAAATGCGCAGTCAACTCTACGCTGAGAAAACAAACGCAGCTACCATAACACAATATAAAAATATGGATTGGGTTTGGGAAAAGATAAAAGTCTAGCGAAATAAAAAAGCGTTTTCTTTACATTTGTGCAAAATTCGAATTATTTTATATTCCGCGCGTGATCTAACTGTAAAATTCGCTTTAAATTGAACAAATATTTGAAAATATGCTAGAAGTTTTGCACAAGATATTTAAAATTTTAAACTTCAACCTGTATTATAGGTTATATTTGCATTTGCAATATTTTCTTTCCTTTCCTCTTCTGAATGGCGCCTAAGCTCTACATAAATAGTGTAAATCCAATATAGAACAAATTAAACGTTGCTAATAAGAATAAATCGATCATTCTGTTAACACCATGTCAGCGTAAGCAACACTGTATTTGTGCATGCAGCCATGCGTATGCTGTTTGCTATAAATTTAGGCGCGCATTTTAAACATGCCTGCTTAAGCTGGGCATCAATTTGGCTGTGAAGTTGGAAATGCGATGTACCAAAGGTGTGAAAATTGTGCTGTGTAGAAACTTAAGCAGATGCCAAAGCTCTGTGCCACCAATTGGCGGAACTAGCACTGGGATGCGCCCGATGCTGCTGCTGCGGCTGCTGTTGTTGCTGCTACCGCTCTGCCAGCGTCAAAGTCAACGTCAATGTCTCTGGCTTAAAGCACACGCCTGTCAGTCGAACTTTAACGGCGCTTGCTAACGGACGCGTTATACTTGCTCTCTGGCACTCTCGCTGTGTCTTTCTCGCTCCGTCCAAACTCGCAGCGCATTGCTCGAAAGTAAGAAGCAACGACTAAAATTCAAGACGCTTCCTTAAAGCTATACTAACTGTTGTTGTTGTTTTGTTGTTCTCATTCCCATTCGTATTCCCGTTCCCATTCCCATTGTCCATTGTTGCTTTATGGCCTCAGTGCGTGTGCGGTGCGTGCTAATTAAACCGTATATTGCGTAGGCGCAAAGAGAAACTTTTTTGTCGCCCAAGAATTTTGATTTGCATTGTGTTTGTTTTTTTTATTATTGTTTGTTGTGGTTTATTTTTTTTTGGTTTATTTTTTTTTTTTTTTTTTTTTGGCGACAGAAAGTGTGCGAAGAAATTGAAGCCCGGCAAGAGCGTACGTTGAATTTAAAGCTGATTGTATTTTATGCAAATTCTTTTGCAGCCTTTTGTCGACACTGAAACTGACGCTGACGACGCAGCAGCAGCATCATTAAGAATAACAAAAGCACCAGGCCATTATAAATCACAGAACAGGTAATTAAATTGATAAAAAATAAAGAAAACTGAATCTTACTTAACTAATGTTTGCGCACGTGCACATTGAAGATCAAGGCTAACAGCGTCCTGACCGTGGCCGTGGCAGAAGCAATGGCAGAGACACAGGCAGAGGCAAGGTCGTCAGCGTCTACGTTGCCATTGCCATTGCCACTGCCACTGCCAAGGTGAAGGTCATTGCAAGCGACGTCGCCAACAACGGCATGCAGTTTATTGTTGTTATATAAACGAGAGTCTGCAAGCCACCCACACCCACACCCACAGATAGGCAGACAGACACGTGTGTGTACACACTCCTACTACTAACCCAGTAAACAACTGCGCATGTCGACGTCTGTCGACGTCACTCTCTCCGCGTCATGTCCTTTTTGCTCGGCTTTCTCTGCCATGACGCCAACGCAGACGCTTCCGTCATGGTCGCCGTCGCAGTCGCAGCATTGAACTTGACAGCAACTTTCAATGCGACCAAGACATGAGAGAGAAAGAGAGACATAAACATGGGCAGAGGGGGTACAGCAGGGGTACAGCTACAAGCAGTAATAAGGTTAGTGGGTTAACTTGGTCTCTTTTTTGGTCTCTAGTCTGTGCAACGACTCTTTCTCTGCTGCTGTCGACGCTAACGCTGACGCCGACGCCGACGCCAACGCTGGCAGCGGCCGAATTCCGAAACCCGTTATCAAGTGCTCATGTGCTCTTGATCGTCGCTTGCTTTTGGGATTTCTTTTACGACCCGCGACCCGCAACCCGAAACCCGCCCGTCATCCATCCCAAATGCATTTAAAAAAAAACAAGCCGCTTATTCCATTTCATTTCTTGCAACTTGGCTGCACGGCTCTCAGGGGGTGGTGCAGCAATTGCGCTTCCAATTTTGATTACTTTCCATGGCAATCAAAATTCAATCGAGACAAAACCAACGGCATTTGCAGCTCCACCTGCGTCACATGCGAATCCAAATCCATGAAATTTGTTTTCGTCGTCAAAGTGGCACAAAGTGGTGAAATTGAGCGGCTCTCTTCGGTGGCTCAGCCGCTAAACAAGTCGAAGCAAGTGCATTGGCAGCATTCAGTTTTTCCATACAATTTCCTACTCAACAAAAATGCACCCAATCCACGAAGTTATACTCTCTCAGGCAACACAATCAAGGCTACAAACTGAACCTCTTCGAGCCCGGATGCCCAATAAAAAAGCCGAACCGAAACCTGAACCTAACCATACGCTTTTTTAAAATTGTTTGGCTTAAATCGAGCCGCAGCCCCAAAGCTAACAGTGGATTAATCTAATCATGGATTAATCTAATGGGTTGAGATCAAACTTAGCCCGCGAATTGCTCAAAGGGTTCGAACCGGGTTCGAACCGTTAACCAAACCAACGGCAATGTTTTGGTTAAAATAAATTGCTGAAAATATTTGCAGCACAAAGTTGAAACTTAACTCAATACCAAACGAAATTGATCACGCTGCTTGGCGTCGTATTTTGTTGGACAGTGTTGTTTTGCGCAGCTCCTGCTTGGGTCAGGTACGGATCTTGTCTTTAAGCCTATGCCCGATAAGCAATGGGCGCGCTCCGTCCAACTCCAGAGTTCGATGACTTGCAGCACGTCAATTGCCTGGTACGCCGCATTTTCCACTTGACTGAGATGCGGCTGAACTGGCGTAAGATAATTGGGGGAATGGGGACGGAATGGGGACGCTGACAGAGGGAGGGGTCTGGGAAAAAGCTCTAAGCGGCACTTAAACGTGTGAGACAAGTTAAATGAAAACCAAAGCAGAGTTCGTGGACCGAGCGGGGGGCGGCGCCTGACTAAGTGGCTTGTAATGCCTGCTGAAAATTGCATGAAAAACAAAAACACACGAAAAAAAACCAAAGGAAATAACAAAACGGAAAATTACTGAAAAACAGCAAAACTCAAGTTTTCACTTTCACTGGCAGACACACAAATTGCGGCCTATGGATATACCATATTGCGGGGTCGGTGGTCGGCAATTGAAGTGGTTGCTGCTAGTTGGTATCTACGTATGCGGCTCTCGATATCGGGGTCCGGGTCAAAGGGTCGCGTTAATGGTTAGCGGGCCACGCTCTGTTAACCCAACCAAATACAACAAAGGAGAACCTGCGCTTTCAATTTGACTCAACTGGCAAAACGCAAGCGGAAGTTGGAAACCCGTGATTCACATACACAGACAGAATTTCTCGAAAACTTGTCATTCAACTCAAACCATTTTTAGTTAATTTGCATTTTATTGTCAAAAGTCATTTAAAACGAGTGCAAATGTTTCAGTCGAATGCAACCGACTGCGTAATGCTCAATAATTACCCAAAAGCAGCAACTACCTGAATAAATGGGGAGCTATTGATTTCCCCGGGAACGTACGTTAAATAGCTTCAAATTAATCTATAGAGAGGATCTTAGATAGTCTAGATTCTTAATTTGATTACTCTAACTCTAAAACTGTGAAAGATATCGATCAAAGCGATTTTAGGGCACGTTGCCCAAAGAATGGATCATTCGATCTTTCGAGGAAGTTATCACCACCAAATTTTGGCAATAACCGACTGTGCAATGCCCTTTATAATAGCTTGAAACCTATCAAAACAATCAAACAGATTTAAAAACTGTTGTGAACCGATTTTGAGGTTAATCGAAATATTTCTGGAAAGCAACTAAATTCAAACTAAAATTAATTTCATCTCTTTCATTTTTTGAAGCAGAGTATTAAATGTGTGCCAATTGCAACTAATTGTTCGTGATTTAACAATCTCGCTTGTGGAATTTTGCGAATGTTTCAATGTTTTTTTTTAATACTATATACATCTATATACTAAATACTACGCCGAAGAGATATATCTAAAATTCTAGGCTATAATGCTCGTATCGTATTTTTTTAACACGGATCTAATGAATGTCAACACACAGTCATATTATATTATAGAAATTATACATTAATGGAGCGTTATAAAGCTTTATTATCGAGCAGCTCCCACGAAGAGAACTAACTAGCTCGTCTCATTAGCATTATATAGAATACTAGCTTGTATAACCCGGCCTTGCCCGTGGCGCGTACAAAAGTAAAATTTCTCAAAAGGCTTTGAAAATTTGAAATTGATCGGGCGTTAATCATACATTCTTTTTCCGCCAATTTATCACTGATGCGGGCGGATTTTCCCAAATCGCTGAAACACGTTTAAGGCTGATGCAAATCGGCCAAAAAGTCTTTGATTCGCATTTCTACCGAGGAGTCTTGGATTCCGCACCCATTTCCACCAAGGAGGAATGGATTTTCCAGAATGTGAGAAACATCCCTCAAATGAATTTAAACAAAGATCTTTAAAAATCAGTTTGAGGCTGATCGGATGGTAAACAAAAAAGTTTCATACAAAAGTTTTTCGCGATTTTTCCACACAAGCGGGTGGAATTTCCCGAAACTTCATCACATAAGGCAACTACAGTGAACATTTCAGTTGATCACCAATCAGTCAGTCAGTCAGTCAGTCAGTCAATCAGTTAGTCAATCAGTCAGTCAGTCAGGACAAACAGTTATACATTTAGAGATACATCTAAAATTGATGAAACTGACATTTATTTTTGTACAAAGTGGAGCTGTAAAAATGAATTTGCGGCCGACAGAGAAATGATATCGCCCTCACCACCATTCAATCAGTCAATCAATCAGTCGTTCAGTCTGTTATCGTTTGACAATTTCTAACGGAGGAATAGTATATTATACCCTATAAACAAGAATAAGAATCCCAGGTATTGCTTCAGTTCAATCAATATTTTATTTTGAAAAGCACAAGCTGCAAAAAACAAATTGCGTTAGACGCTGTTAGACTCGGTTAGTTTGGACGCCCTACGAGCTCCGCATTGCTTCTTATCCAGCTGCGCAGGGCGGCGACGCGTTCATAGCCATCGGGGGCTTCGCGGCCGCAGCCGCCCAACACAAAACTGGCGACGCCAACGAGACGGCCCCCATAGACAGCTGGTCCACCAGAGTCGCCATGGCAGGCGCCCAGATTGGCGCCATGCAGCAGGCACATGGTCGTCTCCGGCAGGCGGGTCATGTAGCGGCTGGTGCATTGGGAACGGGAGATGCTGCGCACCTGCACATAGAGCAGATCGTTGGAGATGGGCCCGCCATGGTAGATGGCGCCCCAGCCGGAAATATCCACAATCGAATTGGTCGGCGGATCCGCTTCGGCCAGCTCGATGGCCGAGATATTCGCATTGAAGCTGATCGGCTCACGCAGACGCAGCACGGCAATATCATAGCCCTGTCCGCCATTACCGTATTGCGGATGCACCTGGACAGCCGCCACGTCCACATAGGTCGCATAGCTGTTGAGCTGCAGGCTGCCCGCTTGCACCGCCAGTCTGGATGGGGCTGTGCTGTAGTGTTGGGGTTCTTAGGTGAGCCAAGGTTCTCATGGGAATGGAATCTATTAGTGATGCACTTACATATCCTGACCGAACTTGACGCAGTGCGCCGCAGTCAGCACATAAACGGGCGATATGATGGATCCGCCGCAAATGTGGTTGCCAAAGTAGCGCAGCGACACCTGATGCTTGAACTGACCCGCCTGGGCACGCCTGCCGCCCACAATGCGCGGCCGTATGGACACCACCGGCTGCCTGGTTGTCTCTCTCTCTGCGCACATCGCCATTCCGATCAGCAGCAGTATCAATAGGTTCGTTAGCAGCTCCATTGGCTTGACTTTCCGTTTGGCATGTGTGGGCAACGGCACAGTGCTCCGCTCTTTTATGGCAATCGCGCGCGCACGGCTCGCAGCCCATCATCATCATCATCATCATCAACAGTCCCTTCAATCGGCCAAGTCAAAAAGCCCCTTTAGATGTCTCACTTCTGGTCGGGTTCTATGGCGCTTATCAGCCTCGCAAATGACGGCACCTTAATTACCCAAAAGACCGTCAAGCTACCCAGACACGTGCTCACAGCCATATGCATCACATAGTATCGAACATCTACGAAGCCATATCAATAACTCTATGGCACGGCTGATTCTTAAATTGTGGAAAGCGTTTTTCCTTCCAGATCTCGCTTAGCCCCTGCAATCCAATTCCAATCTAAAGGCAGGCGCTTTTTTCGAGCATTCTGCTTTCTTCTTTTTTTTTTGAAACTAATATGCCTTCTGCCAGCCCATAAGTTTTAGTTAAACACATCAAGCGAAAAAGCCTCTGGATGAATTGCGTTCTAAATTAAAGCTAAAGTCCACTCTTAAGTTGGCTGTAAAAACGATGCGTACAACTCAATAGAAAAACAGAAATGATCAATCAATCACATCTTGTCTGCTTTTATCTGATTTGACTTCAGTTTTTTTTTATACTCAACTCAAATCTAGTAAAATATTCCTTGACTGATGTTTATTTTAAGTTAAGAAAATGTTCCAGTCTTTTTTTTATCAAATCATGTTCATGTTAACCAAACCTGCTTGTAAAAAGATACAAGGCAGTTGATTTGCCTTGCAAAAACTTACAATGATAATCGAATTGGCGCATTGAATACACAAATGGAAAGTCTATTAAGAGATTTTCCTGATCGTTGATCGGAATTATTGCAACATTTCTGTTGGAGTCTATCTGTAAATACTTGTTGCAATAAGGATCAGCACATTTATCCGCTTTGTAAATTTAAATATTTATCGCTGCCAAGCCAAAATGAGAAATGTTGCCTTGAAAAATTCACCAAGATCATGAGAGCGAACGGGAGAAAAACCTATATTTATGTTAAAAGCCCTTGAAGATTTCTAGTTTTCGGGAGCAAAGAAGTGTATGTTGAAATTAATCTGATATATAATTAAGGGTTCACGGGGATAGATCGGCAAATAACTAACTGACTTTGTACAAATCCAATTAACACTTGTTCTTTTTGGCTGAACCCACTATAAAAAGAAAGTTGGCGAATGCTTCTTTAGAAAATATGAACAGTGCCGAACAACTGTTAAATTAGTTTATTCGTCGATTGATTTACAAATGGGCATGCTCGATAATCCATTCGCGATGGTAGAATACCTTGGCATAGCCATCGGGATTGGCGGAGCCGCAGCCATCAACAACGAAGCCGGCAACGCCAACGAGCTCTCCATTGAAAATGGCCGGGCCGCCAGAGTCGCCATTGCAGGCGCCGTTGCCCTGCTCGTGCGCCAGGCAGAGCATGCTCTCCCTGTAGACGCCGATGGCGGTGATGCAGCTGAGCCTCGATATGGAGCTGAGCGTGTTCCACTGCATCTGGCGGGGCAGATCGCCATTGGTGCTAAGCAAGCCCCAGCCGGAGATGATCACCTGGCTGGCCACAGGTGTCTCCACGCTGGCCAGTGGTATGGCGCGTATCTGGCTGGAATACACGAGCGCCTTCTCCAGCCTCAGCAGCGCCATATCATTCCAAAAGCTGTTGTAATCCTCGTGCACAAGCACTTCCGCCACATTGACCAGCATGCCCCCACTGAAGCGATCTAGGCTGCCGGCGCGGATGCTCAGCACGCTGGCCGGTGTGCTGTGTGGATTAGATTGCACGGATTGGGATTATGTGGAATAGCTAACGATTTGGACTACTCACACAACCATTGTGCCATTGGCCAATTCATCGGTGACGCAGTGCGCTGCGGTCAGTATGTATTCCCGTGAAATTATGGAGCCGCCGCAAATATGTGAGCCCGTGTAGCGCAACGAGATCTGATGCGGGAACTGTCCAATTGTCGCATCAGCACCACCAACCACGCGTCCCTGCAGCGACCGTGGAGCGGCCGAGGCCAGTGCCAGAGCCGCACAGGCAAATATCAGAGTTCTCAGCATGGCAAAGTTGTTTGCAAGTGCCACCCCCAAGCGGATTAGATGGTCTATTTATGCCATGAATGCTGCCTTATGTCTATATCTTATCGCTCAATCCGTATGGCTCGCTCCTTGAGCACTTGAACAGCGATTTGGGCTTCTCCCTGCACATCGGACAATTCCGACGATTAAGATTAAGTGCTGCGAATCGTTGATAGGCCCTGTTATTACCATTTCGAAATTAGTTAAATAACTTACCAAAAGCAATGAAAATCAAACATGGAAGAACGGCACGCCGAAGATTAAACACCCTTGTTGACGGGCTTACATCGAGACTTTGATTGGATTGGAACATGGGGAGCATATGATGTAGTATTCCGAATTGCAGATATGTTGGGAGAAAAGCGAACCTTGTACGTTGTATATACCAAGATACAACAAAAAAGCTGCTCAAAAACTCATTGATTTTTCCTAAAGGGTTTTATGATATAGTCGTACGATGTTGATAATCTTTTGGTCATATATAAGAGACCTAGTAAAGCTCTTTAATGCCGAGTTTGGTCATAATATATTGGAAAGCAAAGAAGTTTTTGATACTTAATTTCCGACGATTCCGACGTCAGCTTTATTATATAGTAGATTGATTTGAACGATTCTAGCAAGTATGTATCTTGTATTTGCAGCGAGACGAAATCTTTAAGGTTAAGGGCTATATCGTCTCTCTAAGTGTTAATTCTCCCTCTAAGTGTTACATACATTGTAACAACATTATAATATCCTCAGCAAGGGCATTGAAATTGAGGTAATCCGTCTAACTATCGCTGATTGTTGGAGCTTAACCATGAAGGGGTTTACCCCTAGCAATAAATTTAATTCTTACTGCTTGGCTTTTCAGCTGTGATATATTATGGGAGTTTTGCTTGAATTCTGGGTAAATCGAAGGCCCTCCACATAACATCTTATCAAAGTAAAAATCTCTCCGCACTTGATGCAATTGATTATATATCGATTTTGTGCTAGTACATACTATTTATGGCTTTTCATAAATACTTCAAAATAATCTAGATTTTCCCAGACGACAACCTTGAGGGCCGTCATCAATCTCTTTCTATACTGGTCTCGTAGTCTTAAAGATCTAAAACATACTCGCAAATTACGAGGTTCGCAATTCTGCCAATATATCTGCAAAGCAGATCTACTATCTACCATATCTTTTGTCTTGTCTGATCAGATCTAAGGCCTTGCGATTATGGGAGTTAATTTATGGACTCTATTAATAAATATAGCGCAGTGCCAAATTGTGATTTACAAATTATGAGCCGACTTTATGAAATTGATTGCAAAAGTTATATACTTGTCGATTTGGCTTAGTCATGCATACGTCTATGAACTTTGGACTATATGGTATATTTCGCTACAATCCTCACTTTTGCTTATCAGCTGGTATATACTTTCTAATTCTATCCGTAAATTTCCAACTGAAAACTTTTAATATATACGAACATGTTTCGAAATGTTATTGAAATGGTTTTTTAAGACAAATCTTATGCGAAAAGCTTTTATCTACCAAAGTGTACACACATATCTTATCTAAATGTGGGTGGTAGCTGGTATTAATCAGTTTTATTTTGAACCATGTATTAGCTTTCCGCCCATTTTCCGTCCATGGCGAGGCAATTTCCAAATAAGCGAATGCACTTCACAAGTGTTTATTTATATAGTTATTTACAAATGAATCTCAAGTCGATGGGCGAAGAAAATCAGTTATCACCTATTTTTCACCCTTGATGGTGGAATTGGAATTGGCAAATACCATATGAGAAATTTAGTTTCCCAGCTATGACTCTTACATAAGGTGCTTGGACATAAAACTAGATCGGTTATATGTATATATGTTAGTTTATTACATCATAGTGCTCGGAACATGAGCGCTATCAACGTACACTTATTATGTAATTAATTGATCGGTAAAACCAAAGTATATCCAAATATCGGCTAACATCTTCAATATATCTTGGGGTTATATAAAGGCATGTATTTGATCTTTGCATCGATTGGGTTTGGGCTTGGTTAAATTAATTCTGGAGCTGATGCAGCAGCCAGTCATGGTAGCCGGAAACGCGCACAAAGACGTCCGGATACCGTGAACCGCAGGCGCCCACCACAAAATTACTAACGCCCAGCAGCTTGCCCTGGTAGACAGCTGCGCCGCCGCCGTCGCCATAGCAGGTGCCCTCCTTGAGGGCATGGGCCAGGCAGAAGCCTTTGCTAGCTTCAAGCTCACTGTACGCATCCAGGCAAGCCGCGCTCGTGGCGAGCTGCAAGTCCAGCTGACGTATCTTAAAGGAGGCAATGCCATCGACGGTGGTGCCCCAGCCAGCTACGCTGACCACAGCGCCATCCTCGGGCAGCGGATCGCTCTGATCGACCAGCTCAATGGGTTGGATGCGTTCGGTGAACACAAGCGGACTGCTAAGCGTAATGATCGCCAGATTGTTGTCCAGCTTATTGTAGTCCGGGTGTGGCGTGACGGCAGCAACGGTAACAATACGACCACCCGCGTATTGATTGGTGCTGCCCACGCGACACGACAAGCGGCTAACATCGATCCTAACGAGAGTCCAGAAATTATGTTAGTTTAACTTGAGCACACCAAACGTTTGTCGGACTTACTGTTTGCCATCCCGATAGATGCAATGGGCGGCGGTCAGCAGCTGTGTCTCCGACAGGATGCTGGCTCCGCACACGTGCGCATTGTCGATGCGCAGGGACACTGCGTAAGGTGCCGCCGTGGTCAGCGCCTCCTCGCCGCCCAGAATGCGCCCCTGGGGCGCGCCCTCGATGGCTATGGCCAATCCAAGCAGCAGCAGGGCGCCCAGTGTCTGCATGACGTTCATCATTAGCTGCCAACTGTTCCTATTCCCAATATACTTTTCAAACTCGGCAAACTCGGCTGCTCGGGCCTGTTGAAGTCGTTTCTGAATGCGCAGCGCAAATGCCGCCAAGTGAAGAGCTCAATGGGAAGCCTTTGCCCGCTTTGGCGACTTATCGCATGGCTTTTGGCTGGCCACTAAATCTAATCTTATCATGGTCAGCAGCTAATTTCAACTGTTATTGTTATTATTCTGGCAATAAATTCGCCACATTATTGGCCAATATAAAGGGGGGCAGCACGGGGGCAGCTGGGTTTTCGATTTTAAAAGTGACATCAGTCAATAGATAGAACAGAGAGCTGATGACTCAAAATAAGATTGAAATGCTCGTAATGGATGTATAATACTAAGGGATAAATAGGATTACATATTAATCATGCCCTTTAGTTTAAGACTGTTTTTGCCTAGGTAAATCGTATTGATTCGAACCGGCTCGAGCCTGGAATTTCCTTTTACTATTAACTGAACTTTCAACCAAACCAGTTACTCAAAAAACAGCCGAGCCAAACCCAACCAAATATATGGTATATATTCTTTATAAGTCGTTTTATTCAAAATATAAAGGCTTCTTTAAGCCACGAACCTAAAGGTATTCAGTTGGTTCAAGCCGTGAACCGATCCACTTATGATGAAAACTGGCCGATATTCTTCTTCATAACATATTATATACATATAGTAAGAGCACAACCATATCAGATCAGGTATACTTTAGATGGATGATAGAACAATAAATAAAATTTTCGAAAATTTTAATTAACAAGTGCAAAGAATGAGGTGAAAGCTCATTTAAAAAAAAAAAAACTTTACATCTGATACATCTTTATTCTAATTTAAAAGTTGTATGTGCAAATTCTATCAAGGTCTAACTTAATATTCTGGGCAAAACTAAAATCTGATCTGTTTATAACTTTACATTTATTACCCTTTCAATTTTCTGATCAGGCATAAATACCATATACAATTGGAAATCGCCAAATAGATACTGCGTGGAACAGTGAGTAATCGATGATTCGAAATTTGGCAACTGACCATTCTCTTAAATCTATAGATAGTAGCGGGTCTCTCTTTTTCCGCGAAATCGAAATTGGCCATATCAGTTGATCGCATGCTATCAATTCGAGTGGCTCGAAAAATACGGCACCTTTGTTCGATCCAATTTGCAGTAAACTAACGCTATCTATATGCCCATATAGAACATACATATGTACGATACGATACAATCGGTTGGCCGTTAGTTACCTTCTGATATGGCCAACTGGAATTTATGGGGCCTTATAAATGGATCGGACATTGTTTGGTTTTCACATACGTAATGCCCGTCCAGCCCAAAGCCCATAAAATTATCGTAAATTGGCAATAGAAACAAAAAAACACGCGCAACACTTCTTTGTTTTTGTTTTTGTTTTTTTTTTTTACACTCCACTCAGCTTATTGCACAAGAAAAAAATATCAAAAAAAAAGGGTTTACGATTTCCTAGCTGCTGCATTACTTCATATTGGCCTCAATCCAGCTGATATAGTAGGAGATGCGGGTGGAGACGTCGGGGTAAATGGTGCCACAGTTGCCCCAGAAGAAGCTTACCAAGCCCAATAACACACTGTCGTCATCAACGACAGCGGCGCCAGCGTCGCCGCGGCAGACGCCCTGCTTCTCGGCTCTGGACAGGCACAGCACAGAGTCGTAGCCATAGCCAGCGGATAGTTCACATTGGGGTTTGCTCAACGTGTTCAGGTTGGACTTCTGTAGCTTGTAGTTGGATGAACCGTCCGCCTGCTCGCCCCAGCCAGCCACATAGACGGGCGTGCCATTTGGCGGCTGCTCCTCCTCATCCACTTCGCTGCTGCCCTCCTCTGGTGCCGCGGGCAGCTCAATTTTGTTTACCTTCTCGCTGAAGGTCAGTGGCTTGCTGAGCGTCAGTATTGCCAGATCGTGCAGAAAGTTGCCATACGAGGGATGGATGAGCACCTCGCTGATGTCCACCAGTTCCCCGCCAGCAAACTGATTGATGCTGCCCACGCGAGCGCTTAGCTCGCTAGCCGAAACGCTGTCAAAGAGAGGGGGGAGACAGAAAGAGAAATGTGAATTTAAACTGGGTTTGGTTCCAGAAGGGTTCCGTGGGCTGAAAAGCCCCCTCAACTGGGGCACTCGCTCGAACTAAAAAAGGGTCATGTTCGATAGCTAAGCCTAAGCTCAGGAATGCCGTACAATAATGAAACTGAGAGAGAGAGAGAGAGCTTGCAGACTCAATTTGGTGCAGCTAGATCTTAAAGGCTCCAAGATAAGCTCAACAAAGTGTAAAATCGATAAGTATCGATGATCGATTTCTTTAAAACGGGGCTCGTAGAGACAATAAGATCTCTGAGAGATTAACATACGGACCCATTTTAACTGGTTTCAGGTTCAACTCCTCGCTGTATTTAAGCTAGGTTTTCTTAGGGCTCAGCTTAGCCTTCTACTTACGGATTGGCGCCCACATCAGACACACAGTGGGCGGCGGTCAGCATTTGTGTCTGGGATATGATGGCGGCTTGGCACACGTGCGCCTTGTTCAGACGCAGCGATGCCACATAGGGAAACTCGGCCACCTTGGCATCCTCGCCGCCGAGCAGACGTCCCTGCGGCAGGGCCGCAACCAGAGCCAGGGTCAGGGCCAGAGAAAGCGCTGCCAGCGACATGCGTTGATCTATCATCGCGTCAAAATGTTAACTAAATCGCCGCTCGATGGCTAAGCCGCTTGGCACTTCGGTCTGCATCTAATCTGCAGACACGATAAGCATTTAATATGACCTGGTCGCTAGCGATTAGATTGGCGGTCATAAAAATTGTGGCGCCTGTATAAAAGTCTTCGGCCCGAGGCCGGCCTCAATTAGTTGAAATTGAACCCAAAATGCGGCCAGTTCATAATGTTTGCCTGCTATTCCTGCTGCTCGGAGCAGCTGTGTGCTCTGTGACGGCACAGAAGGGTCGACTGCTGGATGGCCAGGCGGCCGCTGTTGGCTCCCATCCCTACAGTGTCTCGCTGCAGCGAAATGGCGCCCATATCTGTGGAGCTGCTCTGATCAGCAACAAGGTCTGCCTGACCGCCGCTCATTGCGTCACCATTGGCGGCATTGAAAGGTAGCAGAGCATGTGACAAGTCTTTCAATTATATGATGATGTATTGATTCCCTGTACTGCCCGTAGCTATCCTGCACGCAGTTTCTTGGTACGCGCGGGCAGCATTCAGCGTGTGGCTGGCGGCCAGCTGGCCCAGGTGGCTCGCATAGTGGTGCACAAGGACTATGCGAATGGGCTCAATGATCTGGCTTTGGTTGTTCTCGAGCAGGCCCTGACGCTGAATGCCAATACACAGCCCATTGCTCTGGCCAGCCAAGCGCCGCCCGCCGGCGCGGAAATCACCTACACCGGCTGGGGTGCCATACGCAATCAGGGCACGCTTAGCCAACGCCTGCTGGTGGGCAGCCGGCAGACAATTAGTGCAGCCGACTGCCAGAAGCAACTGTATATAGATGACGAGGGACTCTTGTGCCTGACGTCAGCATCAGAGACGGCCTCTGACGGCATATGTCATGGCGATGCCGGTGCGCCGGCTGTCTATAAGGACGAGCTGGTTGCCATTGGCGGCTTCTATGCTGACGTTTGTGGCAGCTCCCTGCCCAATGGGTTTATGAATGTCGCCCATTACTTAGACTGGATTAAGGCTAATATGTAAAAGATTTGAACCCAGTCACCTCCACGACGTATGCATGACACGAATGTGCCAACACGAAGGCTTTCTATGATATGATAGTCATATAAGATTCTTAAAATAAAATTTCATCGCTGCTCGATACCTACTTTCCAACGGTTGGCAATTTGGTATATTCAAATATTGATATGGCATCTGGCCTGGAGAGATTAATCATTGGAATGTGCAGGCTATCCTCTTTTATCCTCTAACGACAATCCTCTGCAAAAGTATAAAATTTGCTTCTAAGACCTCTAAATAAGCACAAAAGAAGATAACTGATTTGCAACTGAATTTTATATTCTTTGCTCAGGCAAAGCCTGAAATACTTGTTGGTATATATTGTACATGTATAAACTTCAATTTGTTATCTTAATATAGAGTATCTGACTGTCGGATTCTGCTTTTGGATAGTCTTCATGCCGACTCCTCGAAACTTATAGATTCTGACCAAGGACACCATATATATACCTTGAAGTGTCGAAAATGCTTTCTTCTTACTGTTACATACATTGGCACAAAACTAATATACCCTTTTAAACATTTTCAATGGGCTCAGGGTGTTAATATAATCTGAGTAGACAGTATGCGTAGATTAAAGTTTCCCATGGGCGCTAAATGCTTGTTTTGAAAGAACAAAAACTTAGCATAGGTGTATATACTATAAGTAAATACTTAGGATGTATTAAGGTACAAAGGTTTGGAGTTGGGTGGAGAATTCTTCCTAGCTATGCACCCAATAAGATCGTTAAGGAGTTTAGCTCGTGTGGCCAGCTGCGAGTATGGCTTTTATTTTTGCATGGCTGACTGTGTGAAGTGGAAGAGATGGGCAAACATTTGAAACGTGTGGCATGGACTAATCTCAAGTAGACCAATTGAAAATCGTGCCACACTGGAGTGGAGGTAAATATTTTGTGTGTCGATAGCCAATAGTTTGGAACGAACTTTGAATGGCAGCAGGCTTTCTAAAGAATATTTAATATCTGACGTTAAAGAGACAACGTTGGCTGCATTCGGGGATAGTCTTTATTGGGAAAGGAACATTAGGTTATTCCATCTGCTCCTGGATCCATTCGTAGTAAGCGGCAATGCTGATGAAGCGTTCGGGCAATAAGCCACCGCACTCGCCCAAGAGCTGGGCGGCGAGGCCCACTAGGGTACCATCATAGACTGCGGGACCGCCAATATCGCCGGTGCAGATGCCTTGACGTCTCTGGTGGCCCAGACAGAGCACCTGATCGTTGTCGACGAGCGCATCATCGACCAGGCGGCATTCACGTTCCGACTCCACAACGGCGAAGCCAACCTGCAGGGTGCGGTACATGTTCGTCTCCGTTTCCTTGGTGCGTCCCCAGCCGGAAATGTCGACGTAGACGCCCAATGGTGGATTCTGTGTGGCCAATGGCAGGGCGGCAACATCAGAATTGAAGACCAGTGGCTCAGCGAGGCGCAGCAAAGCGATGCCAGTCGTTAGTTCTTTATAGTTGGGATTCACTGTGATTTTCTCAACGCGAATGCGCTGACCGCCGTTGTACAGATCCACAGTGCCAGCGGAAACCATAAATAGTTGTGGTGCCCATCTGTATGCGGAGTATAATACTGAGCTAGTATCCAGAATGAACGAAGCCATCGCTAGCTACTTACGGTGTATCCTTGCCGGCCGAGCATACACAGGTCAGAGCAGTGAGCGCATAGCGTTCGGCAATGATGACAGCTCCGCAGTTGTAGCTGCCACCAATGGAGAGCGCCGCCTGGTAGGGCAGCTGGCCCAAAATGGCATCTTCGCCGCCAACGATGCGGCCTTGGGGGCCAGCATTGGCCGTGGAGCAGCCAAGAAGCGCGCCGAGCAACACAAAAGCAGCAGAGAATTTCATTATTTAATAATGGGCCAGATTGAGGCACGCGGTTAGCTTTTATAGTCGTCGCGGGGTATCAAGGTTAGATTGATAGTAATTTTCACTTATATCTGTGCATATCTGTGTATATATTCTTGGGCAGTATCTTATCGCAGCATTGATGAGTTACGTCCCATCCGGTTGGTATCTGATTAGACAAGCAGAAGCGCTCCCCGCCCAGCCATTGATCCATTTCAACGGAATTCGAGCTGGTGCGGCTGGACAAGTACAAATCAATGAACTTTGATTGCGTTTGTGGGAACACGTTTGCAGTTGGCATGGGTGGAAACTGTCTGTTGGGGGAATTGTGGGGCCAATGCACTCAACGCTGCCGCCGGGGCTGGCCAAATTGAAGCACGTACCTTGAGCGGCCATTCGTTTTGGTCAGCCACAACAGGTTGTTGTGCTTGTCCACCAGCAGCAACATTAACAGCAACAGCAACAGCAACAGCAACAGCAAAAGCAAGAGCAACAGCAATAACAACAGCAATGCCAACGGCAAGAGCTCATCCATCTTCATCTGCTTATAACAACAGCCTCGCTGGCCACTCTCGACATTTGCAGACTTGACGTCACCAGCAACGGACCAGCCCAGCCATCAATCCCAGCACCATGATCTTGCGAAATACGATTGCTGGACAGGTGCTGCTGCTGCTCTTGTACGCCCGTCACACGATCTTCTCTAGCGCCAAGACGGTCGCCAACGAACAGTTGTCAATGCCCTTGCCGGAGCCTCGTGCCTATCTGCCCGATGCCCAGAATCTGGACTTTGTTTATCATGATCACGAGGAGCTCACCCGATTCTTAAGGTGAGTGGCAATAATCTCTGGTGGCGTCGATAACCAATGGATATTATCGTTGTCTCTTCCAATAGAGCAACGAGTGCACGATATCCCAATCTGACAGCGCTGTACTCCATTGGCAAGTCCATACAGGGCAGGGATCTGTGGGTCATGGTGGTCAGTTCATCGCCGTATGAGCATATGGTGGGCAAACCCGATGTCAAATACGTTGGCAATATACATGGCAATGAGCCCGTGGGTCGGGAGATGCTATTGCATCTCATTCAGTACTTTGTGAGCAGCTATAACACGGATCAGTATGTCAAATGGCTGCTGGATAACACACGCATCCACATACTGCCCACCATGAATCCCGATGGCTATGCGGTATCCAAGGAGGGCACCTGTGATGGCGGCCAGGGACGGTAAGATTTTCTTCGCCCTATCATTGTGTTGCCTTGGATCTTGATATCCTGCGCGTACCTTCCATTTCTTGCAGTTACAATGCGCGTGGATTTGATCTGAACCGCAACTTCCCGGATTACTTTAAGCAGAACAATAAACGCGGGCAGCCCGAAACGGATGCCGTCAAGGACTGGATATCCAAGATCCAGTTTGTGCTTAGTGGCAGTCTGCATGGTGGCGCCTTGGTTGCCAGCTACCCCTACGACAATACGCCCAACTCCAGTAAGTAGTCTCAAGAGTGCGTGCCCATTGGTGGTGGTCTTTTCAACCGAAAAATATGCTCGGCCTCGCCTATCTGTGAGAGTTCCGATTTATAAAGTTATCTTTCCCGCAATGCTCTCTGTTTGAACTTTAATCCTTGCCTTCGCACCAATATGGCTGCTCAAAGGAATCTGCCGTTCGTCCGCCCTGTGCGCCAGTGAGTAGACGCCGTCCCTGCTGGCCGACTCATCTAATCATTCAATTTCTTCTCGCCCTCGCCATCTCTCTCTCTCTCTCTCTGTCTCCTGTTCTATTTCTATCTCTGTTTATTTGATTTGTATTGTGTCGCACCACATGTCCCCTGGGCGCAGTGTTTCAGACCTATTCGGCAGCGCCGTCGCTGACGCCTGACGACGATGTCTTTAAGCATTTATCCTTGGTTTATGCCCGCAATCATGCCAAGATGTCAAGGGGTGTGGCATGCAAGTCGGCAACACCCGCCTTTGAGAATGGGATTACAAATGGTGCCGCCTGGTATCCACTGACCGGTGGCATGCAGGATTACAATTATGTTTGGTATGGCTGCATGGAGATCACGCTAGAGATCTCCTGCTGCAAGTTTCCGCCGGCCTACGAGCTCAAGAAATACTGGGAGGATAATCAACTGGTAAGTGCCGCTGCTAGCTGCTGCCCAACTGGATACTTATCTCTAATATACTAGTCGCTGATCAAATTTCTGGCCGAGGCGCATCGCGGTGTACAGGGCTTTGTCTTCGATCCGGCGGGCATGCCCATTGAACGAGCCTCAATCAAGATCAAGGGGCGCGACGTAGGCTTCCAGACGACCAAGTACGGTGAATTCTGGCGCATACTATTGCCGGGCTACTACAAGGCCGAGGTGAGTAAAAAGTTAGGCCCATTTGCACGGGGCTCACTTATGAATCCGTTTTATTTGCCTGAGCTAGGTGTTTGCCGAGGGCTATGCGCCACGTGAAGTGGAGTTTGTCATTGTCGAGCAGCATCCCACGTTGCTCAATGTCACACTGCAAGCCTCCAAGGTAAGTTTCGCTCCACTAATTCTCATTTATACTCCTCTTCTGGTGCTGGCTAATAATCTAACCCAAAATCTGTAACCTGGTATATACGTGATCCATTCGCAGTATATTGTTGCGCCCGTCGCCACCGTCGCCACCGTGGCCACCGTGGCCCCCACTAGCGCCACAACGCCGCGTACCCAGCGCCGGTTGGTGAATGATAAACTACACTTACCAACCGAGTAGAGTCAGCAAGACGCTGGAGCAACAGCAGCCCCCGCGTGTAAATATTCGCAGAGTGCTTTAGTCTTAAGGCTTGCCCAATTAGCTCCAACTAGGAATAACAAATTCTTCCGCTAGTGTCGAGGGAAATGAATGAATGCATTGCACTTGAACGATGGATACGACAATTTTACATTTTTGACCAAAGCTTAGGATTAAAGTCTAACAACTAGCCAAATTATTATATTACTAACCTATAATATAGTGTATTGAGTTTTGAATACTTTTAATTTTTTGTCTGTTTGGTTTTGGTGTGATTAAAATGTATGTAATTACGTAAAGAATTCACTTGTTCTACAAAAACTCATAATATAATTAAGCGTTGTTCTCGTTATCAATATTATAAAATCTAATACTGGTTTTTGGCTTTTTAATGAGGACAATAACATGGAGTTTGAGCATCAACTGCTTATAGACCCAAAACAGTGCATTAACCACATTTGCCTACTATTCACAGCGCGTTGAGGGAGTCGGAGCTGGCGGGCCCTCGTACTACCGGCCCATGCAAGCACCCCAGCATTATAGGCCAGGCGGCCCCCCGCCTTACGCCGCAGCCGCATCCACTGAGAATGGCATCTTTTCGACCATCAGCAATGGGCTGAACAGCTTGTACTCAAATATTTTTGGTTGAGTACTAAATACAGATGCTCGTTAATTATTAAGATGATGTGTGTGTAGTACCTAGACTTAAATTTGTTCGTCTATTTATAATTAAAAAGAAAATAAAGCAATAAAACGTTTTGGAAAACAATTAAAATTTCTATATTATATTCATTCATATACATAGACCAGTGAGATAGATATCTATTGCATTGTGAATACAATTATTTAAAAAAAAAAAAGGAAAGTATTCATTTGTTGATAGGTTATCAATAAAAAAAAAATGTACACATGTTGTGTATTATGTGAATGTCAGTTGGTCTCCTTATACATATTTTTAAACACGAAACTTAAAACTGCCGCTCAAATAATAATATCGAATGCATCGTGCTAGCTAGACATTTTGGCGATATGTTGCGAGTTGATTTTCTCAAATATCGATATATCGATACGAAATCAACAACCATAACTACTAGTTCGCCATTTTCTTTGTCGCTTTGTCGCGCTGTGGGGTATTCTGAATTCTGTGATCAAAAACTTGTGAATAAGCATTAAAAATGGTAAATTAAAATAAATCGCATATCCAATATAATAAATTAACAGCACAATAGATGCAAGTGTAGTAAAATATTCATATTTTCATTGATAATTTCATACAAACATGCGTTTTCATTTGCCGGGTGTGAAAAGCCGCACGCACAAAGACTGCAGCCCCAAGCTATTTGACAAGCCTGCACACACGTGAGAGCGCACTGCTTCCAGAAACATCCATTATGTTTACATTTGTATTTAAGCATTTTCGAATATGTCTAGTCAAAAAGCAAACATAATACCGTAATGTGGGCATGTGAACACACATTTTCAGATGCATGCCGCTGGGTGTGTGCTGCGCTTGGCTGACGATGAATCACGCACTATTTGGGGTTAGGTCCGATGCAATAGGTGCACAGCTTTTACACACAAGCATTTGTGCATACATACATACATATATACATGAAGCTTGTGCATAAACAAAATACAATTTGAATTTTATATTTGTTTTGGTCAATAGGAGATGTCTTTGAATCCCGTGCGTATACTCAAAAATGAGGCGCAGGAGGAGAAAGCCGAAATGGCGCGTCTGTCGTCGTTTATTGGTGCCATTGCCATTGGAGATCTTGTAAAGAGTACCCTGGGACCAAAGGGCATGGACAAAATCTTGGTGTCTACTGGCCGTAATGCCGGGCAAGTGGAAGTTACCAATGACGGAGCCACCATTTTACGCGCCATTGGCGTTGATAATCCAGCTGCTAAAATTCTGGTCGATATGTCGCGTGTACAGGACGAAGAGGTTGGCGATGGCACCACATCCGTGACTGTGCTTGCATCCGAATTGTTGCGCGAGGCTGAGAAACTGGTTGAACAGAAGCTGCATCCACAGATCATTGTGGCCGGCTGGCGTACGGCCGCCCAGGTGGCTCTCGAGGCACTCACAGCCGCCGCTCAGGACAACTCGGCCAATAATGAGAAATTCAAAAAGGATTTGCTCAACATCGCACGCACCACATTGTCATCAAAGATCCTGCATCAGCATAAGGATTTCTTTGCCAATCTGGCCGTCGATGCAGTGCTGCGTCTTAAGGGCTCCGGTGAACTCAAATCAATACAGATTATTAAAAAGTCCGGCGGCACATTGGACGACTCGTTCCTCGATGACGGCTTTCTGCTGGACAAGAAGCCCGGCGTGCATCAGCCACAGCGCGTAAGTAGTCCCCCCTAAACACTTATAATCATATTACTCATACACTTTATGAATATACGAATGTGTGCGTGTCTCTCGCTGCTGCCAATGCTCCATATTGGCGCGTCAAAATGACTGTGAGCTATGTTGTTGCATTTGCCATTCATATCACAGCCATTTTGACGAGTTTGATGTGGCAGCCACAAACTGCAATCAGCTATACGACAAACTTCTCATTAATTTTTTAAATAGTTTAAGTTCAATATTACCAAAACGACGAGCCTATGTTGTCGACCACGTGACTCAGACGCTGACATCAGGCTTGGTTTCATGAGCTCGCTCAATAGTTTATGTAGACACGAGGTAAAGTCATGCTTTTAGATCAGCAAAAGGTGCTTACATGGATTATCATACTATATCAAACATATAGGAAGTAAGTTTTTTTTTTTTTTTATATTAATTTTTTTAATGTTTGGTTAAACTAAGAAATCAAAAGTGGTACTTTTTGGCATTAGTTAGAGAAAAATAAAAAATTGCTTTTACAGCAAATAAACTAGATTCAAAAGAGAAAAATTAAATGGATTTGTTATAAATTAGTCACAGCATCCGATAAGACAGCAACTATTTTGATATAGTATCTAGAGATAATAGCTAGTTAGACAAGAAGACAATAGTAAGGCGTACCAAGACAAATTCCTTGAAGGCATTCACAGCCGCCGCTCAGGACAATTCGACCAATAATGAGAAATTCAAAAAGGATTTGCACAACATCGCACGTGGCGTGTCAAAGCTTAGAGATCAATAAAAACATATAGTTTATTTAAACCATACAAGCTATAATAGAACAAGTAACAAAAGAAAGGTTGGCTCCCAAAGTGAGCAAGAGTTGCTCGACCTTGCTCTGAAGGGGAGCAGCACTTGTGCTAGAGGAGCACCGATCTTAGCTGCTTGCTTCTATCCCAAGTAATGGCTGGATATGCACAGATCCATCATAGGTGTTACTAGTTTGTATAAAAACGGACGGATGGAGGAAAGGATATCCCATATAGACTTTGTAATTGTGCGAAAATACTAATGGTCGTTGATGAACACCATATATAACGCTTAAATGTTTGATTCGAATTTCGTGCAGATTGAAAACGCAAAGATTCTGATTGCCAACACGCCGATGGACACGGACAAAATCAAAGTATTTGGCAGCAGCATCAAGGTTGACTCATTGTCCAAGATCGCCGATCTAGAGATGGCCGAAAAGGAGAAGATGAAAGAGAAAGTTGATAAGATTCTGAGCCACAAATGCAATGTGTTCATCAATCGCCAGCTTATCTATAACTATCCTGAGCAGCTGTTCGCTGATGCCCAAGTGATGGCCATTGAACATGCCGATTTTGATGGCATTGAGCGCTTAGCCTACTGCACCGGCGGCGAGATTGTGTCCACATTTGAGAATCCCGCCTTGGTCAAGCTCGGCGAGTGTCAGCTCATTGAGCAGGTGATGATCGGCGAGGACACACTGCTGCGCTTCAGCGGTGTCAAGCTGGGCGAAGCCTGTACAGTTGTTATTCGTGGCGCCACACAACAGATCCTCGACGAGGCTGATCGCTCCCTTCACGATGCGCTGTGCGTGTTGGCAGCCACTGTCAAGGAGTCGCGCATCATTTATGGCGGCGGCTGCTCCGAAGCTCTAATGGCCAATGCGGTCTTCAAAAAGGCATCCGAAACAGCCGGCAAGGAAGCTATTGCCATTGAGGCCTTCGCACGTAAGTGAAACAAGAAAACAAGCTCCGCCTTTAAATTGCAGCTAGAATTTCATTAACGGCGCGGTTTTTTCAGGTGCCCTGCTGTCACTACCCACAGCTATTGCCGACAATGCTGGCTTTGATTCGGCCCAACTGATCTCCGAACTGCGCGCTGGCCATGCCCAGGGCAAGCATCATCTGGGTCTGGACATGGATCAAGGCAAGGTGGCCGACGTGCGCGAACTGGGCATCACAGAGTCCTTTGCTGTGAAGCGTCAGGTGCTCATGTCCGCCGCTGAGGCTGCCGAAATGATTCTGCGTGTGGATGATATCATCAAGTGTGCGCCACGTCGTCGTGTGCCCGACAGGGGCTATTGCTAAACATCAATTCTTATATAAGTATTTTTGTCTAGGATTTTTTTTTAAAACCTTACAACTCTCGTTTAACATCATCGCTAATTTTATGTTTCTGTTTAAACTAATAACACACACATGTATACACACGCACGCACACACCCACACTCGCCTGGGCACAGCCAACGCAATTAACTTCTCTAAATTGTTTGTGAAAATTTCAAATCTGTTTTTGTTACACGAATTACCAATGTTGCGCAAGCTCAGCTTATACTAAAGAGAGGACCGAACAAAAACAACTAAAAAAAAAAAACAAAAAAAAAAACATTTGAAAAATGTCTAAAACCCACATAAACAACAGACACACAAGCAACTTGTAAATGAATACAATTTTTGTAAACGTTTTATGTGCGCAAATTGAATCAAACTACACAGCAAAAAAAATAAAATAAAATAAAAGAAATGATATTTATGCTTAACCAAACTAAAAGCTGAAACCAGTTTTCAAATAGTTTTATTTTGGGCAAGATCTTTTTTGGTTACTTGCAATAGCTAGATATTGATTATATTTGTATGACTGTAGCTTATATATCAGACTAGAATCACACACGTGTCTTGCTTATAATTCGCAACTGGTATTAGCTGGGGCTACATAGAGGCCTGGTTATTTATTCTTATCAGGTTATCGCTTCTCGGCCTTATGGTTAAGATAAGCAGCTTAGCTTAAATAGTAAATGCCGAGTTTGGCTCAAATACCTTAAGTTTTTCTCATAACAATCTACTTTTCCGCCGATCTTTCCTATAGTGATACAGTGGTTCGATGCAGCCAGTTTCGAGGTTTTACTGCCTACAATTGAAAGGTCTGTCATTTTTTTAAGACAATGGCTTGAAAACTGAACGACTAGTTCGCACAGAAACTGACAGACGGACACTATGTCGGAAAATGTTGGGCGGAGATATGTCCTTACCCCGCCAAAAAACTCAAATTTGAAATGTAGGATCTTGTATATCGGAGTACTAGTCATAAAAAATACAATTTAGTATGTTAGCTCGTTTATGTAAACATACTACAAGTAGTTGGAAATGTTTTGTGGGAATAGCTCAAAATGTCGCCTAAAAAAACATTTTTAAGCTGTCGGAGATTCTTTAAATATAGAGGATGCACTTAAGGCATTATCTATAATATGATAATGTATTTATTTTATATTTTTTTTTGCAAATAATTCCCAAGTAAATTTACTGTATATTCCTCATGGTTACAGGAACCTACTTACCAAACAGATGGTCCGTTCTTCCTGTAGTTTCATCGGATACTGATCGAAACTTTTTAGACGAGATATGATTTCTTCAACTTGTACGTGTGCAAATATACAAAATGCTTGTTACATATTAAATAACTGCCCCAAATTAAACACAATTTACAAATAACATTGGAAAAAAATGTACTCCTTTAACTTCTTTTTTACAATAATAATTTGCAGCTTATTGAAGCTAAAACAAAAAGTGTCGTTCAAAATTCCGGCGAGGAATCAATTGAATATGCAATTGCCAGTTGCGTGTATAAATCAATTTTTATATATATATATATATTTTTTTTTTTGATGTATACAATCAATTTTTTATGATAATACATAGTTATTGTACGCGCATGTACGTAGATAGTATATTGGGAGTAAAATGTATAGCTCCCGGGATTGCCGCTCAAGATTATAAACAACAAATAAAACACATTAACAAATGAGGCTTAGTAGGCGGATGGTCTACAAAATACATATATACAGCATTGCCGGGGCGGGCGGATCTCAGACTTAACATATCGTTGGGCTAAATACACGGCCAGACGCAAGCACGAGGCGAGCGAGCAAGAGAGAATGAGACTGTGTCTACAGCGAGATAGTTAGAAAGAGAGAGAGAGAGAGAGAGAGATAACCAGATACAGAGAGAAAGCGAGAGATAGATAAAATAGTAGAAGCCGTCGGTAGTACAGTACATGGCATTAAGTGAGCGTCGTCCTACAGACGCTTTGCTTGTTTCCAGGTCGAGAGTAGCGTTTGCACCTAAGCTTTAGGAGATTGCGCATTCCATTTCACCATGCTTAGGCACGCAGTCCAGCACCAGGGCGACGGCGCGCGACAGGTATGTCATGGTACCATAGCTGCCGCTAGGAGCACTGCAAGAGAGATAGTGAGAGAGAAAGAGAGAGAGAGAGAATGATATACTCTATGATCTGGCTGACTAATATGCTGTGCACCCACCTGTCATAGAGATGTTGGCATATGTAGGCGGCGCCTCCACAGAGTAACATGCCCGAGGCAGCCTGCTGCTGCTCCTTGCCATCCTTGAGCTTGGCACAGCACAGCGTCGCATCACCCTGCACCTTACGTTGGTCCTCTAAGAACAATTGATTCGCCTTATGCACGAGATGCTCCACATAGATAATGCCGCCCAATGAGGGCACCATATTATGTTCGGTTACCAGGGTCAGCACCATAAGCGCCTCGACCACCAGCTGCCTGTACTCGGGCTGTGGTATTTGATTGAGTGCCGTTTCTACTTCTAAGGCAAATTTCAGCTCGCCCGGCGTCATCTCCTGGGTAAGGCTTTGCTGCAGCACGCGCCCCTCAATGGCCAAGCCCTGGCACTTCTCCAGCACGGTCCAGACGCGCGAGTAAAAATCGCGTGGAACACGATTTAAGGCGCCATCGAGTCGTCGGCGTCGTAGCCACTGACCCTGACGGTCATCGATGGTCGCTATTAGGGCATCCTCGCCCTCCGGATCACCCAGACCGATTTGGCTCTTCTTGCTGACTCGACTCGACTTGCAGCTCACAATGGACAGATTGCCGCGTGCCACTGAAATGTGCGTATGTGATTAGAGATTAGAAAGGGCTACTGAAATCATCGATGACCACCAGACAGACTCACCACTGCTGACGGCAAACTCTTTGCCGCTGAGTATGTGATAGAGCAAATTCTTCATCTCGAAGGGCGAAAGGTTAAGTAGATGCTCCGAGGCGGCCTCGCCGCCACAGTTAAGCGTGCGCGAAAGCTCCTTGGCCATTACCTGTATAATAAGGCCCACGCGCAGGCGCAACATCTCGTGGAACAGTTGCGGCTCGGTGCGTATGAACATGGCAAGATAGACCATCAACTCCTGTGTCAGCATAGCCGTACTCTCGTCGTCGCCATATGCCTGCAATGGAACCAATCGATTAGCGTCTGCAGCTGCTGGCGGTAATTAAACTCTATGTGGTACCCACATCGTGTATTAGCTGACGCAGCTCAACCTCGGGCAGCGGTGCCGTTATGGTGTGCTCATTGTTGGGCGGCATGCCGACTGTGACTTGCTTTTGGCGCACCAGCAGATCGGTGACGGCCTTGCCCAAATCCTCGACACGCTTGCCAAGCATGCCGGCGGTGTGGCGCACCAGGCCCCACAGCTTCTGCTGACAGGCCTTCTCGTATAGGCCCTTCAGTAGATCCCTAACAGTCACAACGCGTCCCTCCTCCAGCATGCCTTCAGATTGAGAAGAATCGTTGTTATTCAAGCTGTTGTTGTTGTTGCTGCTGCTGTTATTGGAACCGGCGGCGGCGGCGCCGGTGACGGCGGCAACTGAAACGATGGCCGTGTTGGCATTGTCCTCGTCCTTCTTAGCGCCGCTGCTCGCTGTGGGTGAAGTGGCATCGATGATCACTGTGGGCACTACCACGGGCACAGGCAGCTTGGCCCCATCACCATCACCATCACCAGCACCGGCACCAGCAGCACCACCACCACCACCAGCAGTTGACAGCTCGAGCATCACATCGTCGAGCTCGAGATCTTTTTTGTATGTTTAGTTTTTATTTTGGGTTAGTTGGGTTCGTTTATGTGAGGTTAGGTTCGCATTGTGGAGATTGTGGGCCATTGTGGGTGGGTCAGTTGTAGTAATTGATAATGCAGAAAATTGTTTGATAATTTATGTGGTTACGTTTACATGGTTAACGAGTGTGGGCGTGCGTGTGTTGTGTTGTGCAATGAAAATAAAATATATAAAAATAAAACAATTTGTTAAAAAGTTAATAAAAAGCGGCATAAAATTAAACCAAGCGGAAAGAGGCTGTAATATTTCGTGTACAACTGTTTGTAGAAGAGTGTAAGTTCTGGTATAAGAGTACCTAGCATAAGATTTGAATAGTATAACAGATTGTCAATATTAAGTGTATGTTGTATAAGAGTACACAAGTAAAATGGTTTCAAATAACTATTGAAGTTTATCACAGTATAACAGTTTTTAGGACAATATGTGCATGAAGTATACGTAACGTATACACTTAACAGGTAACATAATAGAAATGTATAACAGATTGTGCAAAAGTAAATTAAGTGTGTGTAATTGTAGAACAAATCGGGAACCGAAAAGTTGCCAACAAGATGCACAACAAAAAATACAATATGAGAAAGAAAACGAAAACGAAAAGGACTTTAATTAAATGATAGGACAGGATCGTAACAAATAGCTTGTTGTTTGTGGATTATAGAAATATCTGAAAGCCAATTGGGTAGGGAGGGTAATGATTGGGATTGGGAAGTGTGGGAATAGGATCACATAGTAGTACAACACCAACAAAAGTAGCCCGAGGATCAAGGATCAGGGAACAATTTAACACTTACCAGCTGCACTATCATCGGTTTTGTGCTTTAAGCCCAGATCCGCTGCGTATGCGGATGCGTATATGAAGTGAAGTGTGTGGACAAGGACGAGAGCACAAAGCACATGGTACAAAGAACGAGGCACAAAACAATTAAATGTGAATTATATCGAATGTGTCGAATTGTATATCGAACTATGCAACATCTAAGCCAAATGAAACCAATTCATTTTGCGGCCGATTTCACAAATTTGAGTCTTTTTTTTTTTGGGAAATTTCAACTTAAATCAAGACAAACAATGTTTCCTTTTTAAATTCAGAATTAAAATTTAACATTATGTTACAGATTTTGAGTAAAAAAAATCGAAATGGTTAATTACCATACTATATATTCTGTTGGTGTGGGACAATACGTTTTTCGTTTTGTTTAATACTATTCGAAGTTGAGTTTTTATTGAAATAAGACAAACTCGGCTATTTTCCAGTTGCTCAAGATTTAATACTGCAACATATATATGGAAATGTTCGATCTAATATTCGCGTTTTTCGCCAAATGTTTTTTAAAACTGAAAAATGTTTCGACTCTTGAAACTTGTAACTTCTCCACTGTGAAATCGAACAGCAAATGAACAGCCTAACCCGCAAGTCTCTGGGATACCCATTAAACCTCACTGATATAACTACAACAATTGTGTAGCTATAGGGTATGTGCATATGGTATATGCATGTATGTATGTGTGTGTGTGTGTGTGAGAGAGTGAGTGTATTCCCACAGTGTGTTACGTGTATGCGGTTTAATATTGCATCCTGGCACCTAAATGAGTCCCGCTATGTAACCAGTTGCCATAGACATCTGCACGGCTGAATCGTGTTGTTGAATTATGAGCTGGGCGTTCACCTACCTGTATTGAAGTCCAAGCCTTGAGTATCCACCAGGTACTGCAAGATGTCGCCCTGCTCCTCGAGATTCTCCGTTTCGCGCAGCATGGCGATCAGCTCCTCCACCTCTGTGTCCGCAAAGTTTGTGTCCGGACGATGGCGTTGGATGAGAATTTTTGGCACTGTTACTTTATTTATTTGAAGGTGTGCAAAGAACGCAAAAGGTTCAACCAAAATGAAACGAAAAGAAAAGAAAAGAAAAAATAAAAAACAGATACTAAAATGAGAACAAACTACAAAATGGGAGGGGGATCTGTATGTGTTGGATCAGGAACTAACTCTCTTGCTGGCGCACAAATTCGCTGCGGCGATCGATGGCCGAACGGCTGTGCTGCGGATCCATGGGGTAGATATTCTCGCGCAGCCCCAGATCGCCGCCCAGCTGCGGCGGCGAGCTGGGCCCCTCCTCGGGCGTGGTGGCAAAAACGCTGACATGGCCCTGCTTGTTGGCCTGCAGCCAGGGCGGCGGCACAATCGAGGAGAGACGGCGCTCAGTTAACGGCGTGGGGCCCTCCATGCCCAAATTGTCGGCTAGAAAGAAGAAAAAAAACAATGATTCAAATGGCAGGTCTAATTTGTTATGTTTTTGTTTTGGGGCTAACTCACAGTCCACGTTGATGGAACGGGTCTTCTTAATGGCGCCCTTGCAGGACATGCGCCGACGCAGATGACGCGGACGCAGCTGACCGCCGCGCAGATTCATGGTGCTGCGATTGCTGAATGATCGCAATAGATGCTCATCCAAATAGGTCTGCACGTCTGGATGCAGCCGGTCCGGATAGCCGTCCTCGGTGCTGCCCAAAAAGCTCAAGTCCGTAATGGCTGAGGTGTTAAGAAAGTCCTTCAGATTGCCCAGCATCACGCGCGTACCATTTATATAGCCGGACTTAAGCTTACGCATCGTCTGAATCATGGCCAGCGGTATCTTGTCCTGGTCTGTGGGTGTGCGTGCAGCAGGCAAAAGAAAACGTTACCAAAATCCACTTGTGATTGCATTCGCAATGTGTCGTATGATTTGTTATGGGATTGATTGATCGATTGATGCTCGATTGGATTAGGTGTGAGGTTAGCAGGTGACGCTTACGTCTACATTTTAATCACAAACTACAACAATAACCGACGCAAAGATACGCAAAGATTTACTCAACGATTCGCCATCTGGTAGTTAGCATAGAACCAGCACCATATTTTTGGGTGAGTTTCAGCATGTGCAGCATAAGCGGAGTGCAGTTAAGGATTATCATATCTAGATAGAAAGGGCTCCAATGTGCTACAAATATCGATCAATACTTAGGGTAATAGAAAGAGCATTGCACTTAGATCTTGAACTAACAAAATCTTTACAGATTTCAATGAGCACATGGCAAATGCAAACTGGTTCCACAAAATCCTATATTATTTTACTTATCCCAAAACTCTTTTGAGTATTGACTCGCAAGGCTATTCTAGTCCAAGCACGACTATGCTCATACCATAAACTGAATCAATATTAATCAAGAGATAAACCCCCAATAACACTACTTCACAGATGTTATGCCTGGGTTAACTGTTTTTCATGAAAGTAATTTTGAATATGGTCGATTAGATGACAAATAGCATCTAACTAAATCAATGCTGGTTTCTTCCTTTCTAAGAAAACTAAAAATGTTGGCGCTTATATGAAAGATCGGAAACATAAATTAGCCATGCGCAATATAAATTTGGTATTTGCGGTTCTTGGAATCTTTGCTGAGAAGGAAAATATTTCTATTAACTATGGAAAAAAGTCGAATAATGGTTCTTCTCTATACGGACTAATACAACGATGCCCAATAAGTTGGGCAATAAGTTCTCAAGCTTAAATCAATTTAATTGTGTTGATTGAAAGTCGGAAACTCCGCCAAGCTATTCGCTATATTCACATAACCTCAATTTGTTCAAGAGCCGTACACAAACAAATATCATAGGGGAACAACAAAACAACATACATACATATGCGTGCTAGAATATTAAATTTGCGCTTGGATGCTGTACATATACATACATGCATATATACATACATATGGGCATGGGTATTGGAAAGAAGAGGAAAAAAGAGAGGAGAATTGTAACAAGAAGCAAAAGCGCATTGCAATCAAACACATATCAAAGTCATTATGGGATCGCAAGATGAATCCTTTTATAGCATACAATAGATCATATCACTTGTTGTGTTTTTATATATGTTATATATATATGCAGCTCATTCGTTGTGTTTGTGATGTGCAGTGGATGGAGAGGGGAAGGGGTGTAGTTGGTATGTAGTTACCTAGCATATAATGCGTTGCCATTAATGTGATTGTCGGTCTGCCCAACATGTGACGCCAATTGTTGGTCAGGAAGCCTAAGTTTGTGGTAAAATTGCTTGCGAGCAGATCGGGATCGCGTGTCGTGTAGTATTCTTCATAGTCGATATGCTGTGTGTGTTGGATTTGTTGTAGTTGTTGTTGTTGTTGTTGTTGTTGTTGTTGGTTAAGCACGAATTATACAAAAAGAGAACAGAGAAAGATTTTGTTTTGTTTTTCGTTTGCAATTTGGCCAATTTTCATAGGGCATCGGATCTCTTTCGTTTCGTTGAATAGGAATCAGTGCACGGCATAGAGAAATTAATAGATAAATGGGAGCGTGTAGAGGTGGGTTGTCGCAGAATCAAGTAAACTAGGCAGCTAAATACATACATACATATGTAGGTAGGAATTCAAACACATATATACATACGTATGTCGGCAATATGTACTATATACTCTATAATACAATACAGCTTTGGCTGTGGATGTACACGTGTGTGTACGTGTGCGAGTGTGTGTGTGTGTGCGCGCGTGTGCGTGTATTTGTGTTTAGATGTCCACAACCAAAGCAAACGTTTGCAATTGCAACGGAAACTGAGTTGTTAACTAAATGCAAACTATAAACTATAAAACCAACTCAACTAATGCTAGAACTAAACTAAAATCAATATGTGTGCATATTGTGTGTGTGTGTGTGTTTGTGTGTGTGAGTGAGAGTGTGTGTTTGTGTGTATATATATATACATATATATAAATCTACAACTGAACAAGGAAAATATAAAAAAAACGCAACCCTTGCAAATTAGAAATAACATAATCAGAACAAAATAAATATTAAGAAAAATAACTATAACCATACACACACACATATGGGAAAAATGTAAATAACAAATATACAGATAATAACTAAAATAAATACACATGTGTATGCTTAGAGAATATTATATATATAAAAATTAACACTGAGTTTGGGTGGACCGACCTAAGTGGATGCGCTTCAACACCAGCGTAACTAAGGGACGCCCCAGCAGATCCCAAGCGGACTTGAGAAAATTGATCTCGCCTTTTAGGATGTCAATCATGAGTTCGTTATCGGAGGCGATATAGAAGCGCGACAAGTCGACAAACTAATGCATAATATAGTAATAATATAAATAATAATAGCATATAATAAGAACATAAGTAAACAAAAAATAAATAAGAAAATGAAAATATTTCGAATCAATTCAAATCAGAAAAATAAATAATAACTAGAAGTTAGAAAGAGGGAGAGAGATAGATAGAGAGCTAAAGATAAAGAGCTTCAGTGTGTACAGACAGAGCGGTACAGCGTGCGAGCAGGGGCTTTTGTTCCAATTCGATCCGTGCTATTTACCTGCGGCGTAAAGGCAAAGATGCGATCCTTGAGAGAGTAGAGCTTGCTAGTACTCAGAATACCAACGTCGCGAGATTTACGTCCGCTCAATCCCAGCTTCCGATTGCGTCCCAAGTACGTGTACAAATGGCTAAGCACACGTGCCGGTTGCACCTCAATGGGTGCGACCTCGGCAATGGTTTGCACATGAAGATCGTGCTCGGCCAGCTTGTCGCGTATTTCATTATCCTCGGCTATGATGACCACCTGGACGACGACATCTGGTTTTTTCTGGGCGCCCAGGCGGCGATTCAACGGATCCAGCTCGCCCACAGCCAAAAAGCCCTGAATTATACAACGAGTTAAAGCAACTTGCAATAGATATAACTGAGATTATTTCTCACCTCTTGCAGCAGGCGACCCAAAATAAAGAGCGACTGACCCCACAAGAATGGGCAACGGCCAACAACTTCACGTACTTGCGAACCGGGCTTTTGGTATTCAAAGCCCACCAACTCTTGCGGCACTGCATAGCTTTCGGGTATCAGCAGTGTGCCATCCTCGGAGCGCACCATTATCTTCTCCAATTTATCCGCATATTCCTGCACCATGTGCTTATCATTTTGAAATGCATGGAACAGTATCAGATAACAAAAGAAGAGAGGCCACTCGCATTCAATATTCTCGAACATGCGCAACTCCCAGCGTTCGTAATAGAGACGCGAAGGGTCCTCCTTGGGTGTGCGATAGCCATCGCGCAAAAAACGTTTGCAGCCATACTTTCCCTGCAGGCGCGACAGTATTGCCTCCCTCGTATTGTATATAAGTTGGGCATCATCAACGGCAAACGCCGGGAAGCCAATAACGCACAGCAGGCCCGAATCCAGCTCTTTGCTGTTGGACTCGCGGGGCAGCATCGACTGCAGCACAGCTTGACACTTGTGAGCCTCATCAGCCAGGACATGAATAACGCTAGCAGGTCCACCGCGAGCGCCAAATAAATCTAGCTCATTCATGGCCTCTAGAGCGGCCTTAGCCATACCGATGGAGCTGGCATTCAGCTCGGGCTCACCTGTGGTCAAGAATAAATAAATCATCGAAAGTGTCCACTCGCGGGCAAATGTGTCGGTACTAACCATGATTGGTCTTGTCGCCGCGCTCCCAGATGCCATAGTCAGGTATGGAGTAGGCAGACTCAATATAGAATACCAGATTTTGTAGGAACGAAACCTCGTCCAATGAAAAGACGATCTGCAGACCGGAGGCGGTCATTTGGGCCAGAATGAGCAAGTACAGGGAAACCGCATCAATTTGCAAATGACCCCATTCATTGTCACCGACAACAGGCAGGCCGGTCTTACTGGAGTATTTGGCATGCAGCGAATCGTATGGACTCTGGGTCATTTTGAATCTCTCAACCTTGTCCTTTTGATTCATCATTGCCATGAGCAGACCGCGCATCAGCTTGACACAGCTTTGCTCCAGCTCGTAGCACTTGGCCCGATCCTCATCCTGATCGGCAATCTTCTTGTAGGCCATGGACAAGCCCCACACAGCCAGAATGCAATAGACATTATCCCGGATCCAGGCATGCGAGTTGACATTCGAAGCGGGAAACAGGCCGGTCACTGGCTCCTGATGTGCCAATATTAAGCGATGCACAATGCGCTGATAGTAGTCGAGGCGCACGCCCGAATTGCTACGCGAACGCATTTCAGTTGATCTTCTTCTTTGCGTGTTCTACGGCAATTAGGTTGACAAGCGATTAATGTAGCTATTGCATTTTGATATTTGTTCTAACATACACTTACATAATTATCTCAAAGAGCGTTTGTTGTCGTGTATGCGGCGTGATGTTACTAAGCGTATGTAATTGTTGTCAATGTCTTGGGGCCCTCCCCCGCGGCCACCAGCCCACCACCCAGAACCCACCCACACAACAGCAGCAGCTGGCTGCACTTAAAAGCTACGTTAATCGTTGTCAAGGCTGAGAAACTGTCGCATTATCAGGGTGTGCGGTCGCTTAGACAGTAAACGCGTCTGCTACAGGCTAGTTAAAAACACTTGTCGACTGTTAAATTGCAAAAATTTAGAACTAAAACGTTAGAAATGCTAAAATTATACTCCGAAATGTCAACTCAATGTCATGCCGAGTATCGATGTATCGCCAAAACCGATAACATTGAAATCGATAACGTGCACCGATGTGGCTGTAATCATTTTAAATAGCAGCACTGGGCCTCTTTCTCGATGTTTAAATTTATTGGCGGCGAATTTTAACCAACTTGTCTAAGCACATGCTATACATATATAAATGGAATTGATTGTTTTCGTATTATGTCCGGCAGTGAATGCAGGAGTGAGTTTGAGTGAGTTTGTCGTGGCGGCTTTTGGTTATGCCTAGGAGAAAGGCATGGGCATATAGCGCCAAAAATTCGGATTTTCTAGATACACATACCACAACGCCAAATATGAGAGAGCAATCATGATCTCTAGCATTGACCCATCTCCGCTGAAACTGTGCCCGCAAAACTGATAAGATGCTTTTGTTTTTCAATTATGTACCTATTTTTGAACATCGAGCATCATCAACATGTTTAAATTGAAAGTCCGTGGCTTGGCCATATTCAGCGCCATATTGGCATTGGTGTATGCTGGCAGCAGTACGTTGGATTTCATCATTATTTTTGAAGTTTTTTGCTAATTTAACTCCACATTTACAGAGCCCTTACGACATTATGGCCGTTGTAACGTGGACGACGAGATTGGATATTGCCAGCCCCGTCAATTGTGTTGGGAAACGGACGTTAACTTCAACAGTTTGAGTCGTAGCCACTGTCAAAGTCAGATGCGGAGCGATTTGGTATGCTGCCGACGCATGCCGACAGCGTATGCTGCCCTTACCTTGAAGCCATTGCTACCCCAGCCGGGCGTTTGTGGTGGCATTGGGATGAACATAGCAAATCGTATTGTAGCTGGCACAGACACTCACATTACGGATTTCCCCTGGATGGCTTTGCTGTTCGCCACTAATGACGGTAAGTTTACTTTCTTTAAACGCCCCTGTTGCCAATGCACAGTGTACAATGCACATAGTATTTGCCAGGCGAGGAATACAGGCAAATATGTGGTGGCTCACTTATCCATGAGCGCTGGATATTAACAGCGGGGCACTGTGCGCTCAGCCGGGATAGTAGTCAACTGTTCTTAAAGGCGCGCCTGGGTGAGTGGAACACGACCAGCGCACCCGACTGTCAAGAGTTTAAGAACGAAAGAATATGCGCACCACAGCACAGAGACATCAATGTTGACCGCATCATAGTGCACGAGCAGTATGTTGGGCAGCTGGATCCCAATTATGCCAACGACATTGCATTGCTGCGCCTTAATCGTATAGTTAGCTTTTCAGAGTTTGTGCTGCCGATTTGCCTGCCGGTGGCTAATTTGAATGATGAATACGCCTATGCGGACTATGCGATGGACATTGCCGGTTGGGGCAATACAGAGCGAATACGCTCCGGAGGTAGTCCAGTTAAAATGAGGGCAGAGCTTAACGTCATGTCGATGGCTAGCTGCAGGCAAATCCATCCGCAGGTGATGTCCGGTCAGATGTGCGCCGGTGGCAGCACTCCATCCGGAACCTGCCATGGCGACTCCGGCGGACCGCTTATGATGCAGGACCCAATTGGCTCTGAAAACAGCAAATACTATTTGGCCGGCATCGTTTCAGTCGGAACAGTCAGTTGCAACAATCATGGACAACCAATGCTCTTTACCCGAGTCGAATACTATATACCTTGGGTGTTAAGTACCATTAGCGCCAATTCTTAAGAAAATTTGGCAGTGAATAAAATAAATGTTTTAATGTCTGTTGTTTATATTTATAATATGTATGTATTATGTATGTATTTGCCATATTTTTGGGATTGTTTAAAAAGATAACCTAATTCCTTGAGTCTGACATTCTAATCGCGTCGGCTACGCTTGCGGTCGGAGTGGCTTCCGCGCTCGATCTTTTCGTCAGCACGCTTGGGTGCCTTCTTGGCCATGTTCAAGAACTTGTCAAGACCGAAGGGATCTTCCTCCTTCTCAAACTCAACTGGTCCGCTGCGCTGTGCGGCAGCTGTATCACGCGAACCAGCACCCGAAAATTGTTTATCGGGCACAAAGCGTTTCGTATTCACAATGGCCTCCAGATCTCCACCATAATTGTCGCTGTCTGCCGCCTTGCTGGGTCGATAGATGTGAGCGCCCATTGTGTTGGAATCGCGCCATGGCTTGTCATAAACGTTGTAGGCCTCATCGTCTCCATAGCCTGAGTCCATGCCCTTTGTGGTATTGAACAGGCGCTGATCGAACAGGGTTTCGCCATTGCCAGCGCTCTTGGCTGGCAAGCCCAATGCAATCTGCTCCGATATGTCACGCTCCCGTTCGCGCTGCAGCTTGGTGCGTTTCTCTGGCGCGGCTCGTTGCAAATTCCGATCGCGCTGCCGTTCCCGTTGACGTTCTGCGCGGAGATCATTGCGTTCGCGTGCATCCGCACCGCCAGAACCGCCGGGTGCATCTGGCTCTGGATTGCGTATGCCCGCACGTTCCTCGCGTGCACGTTGCGCCATCATGCGCAGCATATCCTCCTTCTTCTCCTTCTCTTTCTGTGCCAGCTTCTTCTCCAACTGAGCACGCGCCTCCACGGCCTCACGCGCTTTACGATCGGCTATGTAAAGAGCTTCAGCCATTTTGGCAAACTTCTCGTTGATGTGAACCTGCTGCAGGCCGCGACCATCGGCTGCCAAGCGCTTATCCAGTGGTATGGTGTAACCTATGAAATTAAACAGATCGGATTAACTAAGTAAAATAATGTAATATAGGTGCTGGTTCGAACCTTTGGCGTTCTTCCAATTGGATATGCAGGGCGGTATTTTCCATTCTTTCTGCTCCTTCACGGTTACCTTGCGCGAGGGCGAGTGCAGCACTGGTGCTGGTGGCGATGGCGGACCACGTGGTATCTTCTTGTTTATGCGAAACTTTGGCGGCTCCATGGGATCCAGCTGGGCCTCCACCATGCGAATGACACGCTGTTTGGCGCCAGAATTAAAAGCATCGCCCTGTTGCGATGGTGTATAACGAATGTACTGGGCAGGCGCTGCCTTTTGAGCATGGCGCACTGGAAGAGCTGAGGTAATCTTTTGGTTGGTCAGCTTCTCTAGAGCCAGACGTGTTTCTTCGGTTGTCTCGGCAACGGTTTCTTCGTCGGGACGCTGCAGCTCGTCCGCATCTTCAGCCAAAACCTCAGCTGGCAACAGCTGCGATATCGATGAATATACAATTTTGTCTTTTCCGTGCCCTTGTCGGGCAATGGCATCATATTTGACTTTGCCCTTGTCATCTAATCGTACGGCAAGCGCATCTGGTTTTTTACCCACATTAGCAGGTGCCCCAAGACCTAAACGAAAATATATATATGTATATGAATATCAATACAAACAAATTTGCCATTGCCAGTCTTACCCAGCGGATACTGTGCTACGTGTATTTCAGGAAAGGCGCCACCGTCCCCAAAGTCAGCCTCTGTGCGTGGTATCCAGTCCTTGCGTTGGCCGTAAGGTGGCGCTGCTATTTTGGCGGAGACCAGTGCACCAATCATTGGAGCACCCTTGGCAGAAAGACGACGCTCGTCCTCGCGATCCCATACCGTATTGGTCGGTGTGGGCAGAAGACTTGATAACGACATCACAAATTTCTGCTTCTTGGTTTTCTATTTCTTAATAATTATTTTCTGCGACAGCTTGATAAAAAACAACGAAGAAAAGGTGAAAAACACACGCGCACACACACACTACCACCACAAACAACGAGTTGGTTTGGTGTGACCGTTTGAGAAAAACTATAAATACTGACTAATTCAACGCAGTACAATCGGAGTATACTAGAGATGAGTTTATGCCTACTAAATGTATGAAAACCAAATACCGAAGTATATCGCACAGCTACTGCAACCGATATTAATCGATACCAAATTGCATTTCATTTAAACTAATAACGATTTTTAAAAAGTTTTTGAAATCCCCAAGATTCTCGTACAACATTATTTATTAATGGGAAAATGACACAACTTAAATATTTGAAAAGAAAGAATACAACTAATTCTTGCGCATGCGGTCGATTGGTTTCCTTGGCTGTATACGCAAACGCTTCGAGGAGTTAGTCGGTGACAATGGATTACAGTACGCACTGTCCAGCGTTTGGGTACGTTTTCGTTTCAAGCTCTGCATATCATCACCATCATGAGCATGAATGGTGCGAACCAATGAACCAGCAATGGAGGCACAGCGTCTGATTAGCGAACCGGAAGTGGTAGGGGCGTTCTCATTGTCGGCGCTGCTGGAATAGCGATCAGTTCTCAGCGATCTCATTGGAAAGCGCATGACAGATGACATCAGTGACCAAAGTCGTCCTGTCTCCGACTTAGTGCCCACAGTTGGGCGCTTCTTGTCGTTATGCGTAGATGCGCTGTTTGGCAGGAACACCTCGTCCTCATCGTCGCTGCCGATATCCTGCACGCAGCTAAAGGACTTTTGATTGTGACACACGCGCAAGGGAGGACGCGTCCGTGGTCCCTGAGGTCGCGGCAGCTGTGGCTTCTTCACCTGCGGCGAGAATTGGCCGCTCAGCTGGCGCGGCACAATCTGCTGCCTCCGTCGCGCACTGTTGCTGGGGTCAGGGTCAGCAATTGGGCTGCCGTGGGCAGCTGATGGACTAGTGCTCGGATTAGGGGTATAAAAGATTTCCTTGTCGTCCGGCGTGGACTCAATCGCTTGTGTTGTTTGAATATCCTGTTTTTGCGGTGTCTCAAATTTGATAAGCTTCTTGTTGATTATGGCGCCAGGTATGCGAGTAATGGGCGTTATTGGTGGCACATTCACGATGCAATTGACATTCGCTTGCTTTATATTGGCGCTTAGTTCGGCAGTAGATGAGGAGGCGGTGATTATTTCCACGCTCTCGCATGAATTATAAACGGTGCTGGTGGTGCTGGCGCTAGACATAGATGCGGGCAACGAGCCGCTGTTACCGGAGTGCTGAGTACGTGTTATGATAATGGATTCTCTAGTGAGCTTCTGAGCGGACAGCAGTATCTGGTAGGGTTCTGCAGGGCCAATCGAACTGCGCCCATTTTCGGTTTCCCTGCTGTCTTCGCTCTGCGTACGCCGAAGGACTGGTGACATACGCAGATCCAATGGTAAGCCGGCATTTGGCGAGCTGTTCTCGCTCAAATCAAGGCGCATGCGTTGCTGGTCGCCTTGGGTGGCCAGAATTCCGACGCCATGCTCCACAAATGCCTTTTGTATGCTCTTAGACATAACCTGACGCAGTGGCGTCACAGCACTCATCTTGCCGCGACCGCCAACCTTCCAGGTGCGCTGTTGGTGCGACGGCGGCGGCAGTAGATGACTGTTATCTGGCGCAGAAGGCGGGGCCGTGTTTTGTTCGTCCAGCACGCAGCCACTGTGATGAATGCTGGATATGTGACCGCCGCCAACGGCCGATGCATTAAAAGTAAGTGTCTCCTTGGGCTTAGCGAACACTGTATAGACCTGCAATGGCGTCGAAGTGGATCGTATAACTTTGCCCTTATCCTTGCGTGCGTTATCTGGCGGCGCAGACACTTGCCCAATGCTGCGACGCTGTTGCTCCAACAAATTTACACTGTCTGAGGACAGATTTCGTATTGAAGAGACGCTGTCGCTGATGAACTCGTCCTGTTGCAGACGACTCTTGGCTTTCCAGCGTAGATTGAACAGCGATATGGGCGTAAGGTTAAGGTGATGCTGTGTTTCGTTCATGTCTTTCGCTATGTTGGGTGATGTCTGAGTCGATATTGTGTTGGCAGCCACTATTGCCTTTTTAACCGTTACCTTTGAAGCGTCTGTGTCGCAGCTTAGGTTCTGAGCCGAGCTAGCGGAACTGCAGTCCTGGCCCAAATCGATGCATTTGCTGAACTCTTTTAAATCGTCGATCTTTGTATAGTGGCGCAGACACTTGCGACAGCGCAATGGCAGGTGCACGCTCTCGATGTGGGCCAGCAGCTCCGTGTACATCTCCTCGCGCAGCGTCAACGGTTTTTGCTCACAGATCGGACAAAACACATAGATGGTTGTCGTTTTCACTTCAATCTCAGTGCCAAATGCAACCGTATCCCTGTGCTGGGCCATCGGTTGGCTTATTGCAATGGCGTGTGTTTCGAACTGGTGTTTTTGGCGGCATTTGCCGCAGCAAAAGATTCGCTTGCAAATATGGCACTTGGCCTGCAAGGGCACAAATTTGAATTCGAGTTCGGAGTTCGAGCGGCGAATAGAATGGTCTCTTACCTCATCAGAAAACCGCATGTTAATTGTATAATTCTAATAGAATAGCGTACACACTCACATACATATATTTATGAACATAACTTTTACATGATACACACATACAAATACATAATATTGCAACGGTTCTTTTACACGCATGCATTTCAATAGTTGGTGGCCAACTAACCGATATATACAATTTATATCGATATTAGTTATTATAGACTTTTTCGACTATAACAACGGTACATTTACGCAGATGCTTTTAATTCGAATGCGCAGGGAAATTATCGGTTGTATGTACATATACATATACCTAAAGGCTTAGGCGGCTGCCACATGTGGTACAAATGTACCAAAACTGGTACTTTATGTATGCAAATGACTTTTTTATTATAAATTGGTACATTCTCCTTCCGCTTACATCTTCTTGAAAAGTACCAATACCCAATATAAATTGATGGTTTTGGCGACCTTTTCATATTTAAAATATTTATTGGCTGACTTGAGGTTCGGGTTTGTAAAAACAAACCTTGTAACGGTTTTATTTAATTTTTGCTTCCAATATACCAATGTACCACTTTATATATTTATTTTTACCACGTCGGAAAAAAAGTGTCTGAACATTTTGAAAAAATTAACAAAAGAAACGCTTTATCGTTATATTAAGCTTTTTTATTAACGTTAAAACTGTTTGGTTCTTACTTAAGCATCGTACGGTTTACAAAATGTATAATCACAAACAAGGAAATAAATAGTCAAGTTTTACAATTTAAAAATTTGCGCCCAATGTTGCCAAATGGCAGTCTTTGGATAAATGTAAATATGAGCAAATAGTTTGATATAATTGCAAGAGATTCAAATTCTTAAGGACTCGCAGGATTTGCGAGCTCTTCATAACAAAACGGCTTGGCTGTGGAAACCACATTTTGCAGGCGCGTCTTCACATCTTTATCTAGGAGTACGGGAATATTTTTGAGCACAAAACTTTTCAGGTCATTGCCGGCATCGTCGTACACATTCTCCACGAAAATGATTTCATGAAAAGCAAAATCGACCTTAGCAGTAAAAGTGCGACATGGCTTTCCCAAAAGTCGATTGAAGAATTTGCGGCGTACCAATCTTTTGGCATCCTCTGGCCAAATGCGCTCCATATTGAAGGGCGCTAGACCAGTGATGCGCAGGTCGTAGGCCTCAAAGGATGCGTCCTTAAACTTCTCATCGCACACAAGCAGCTCCGATTTGTGTATCAATGAAAACTCAACGCCAGCATCTAGTTGTCTGACATCACATTGACCTCCAGTATTCATGCGTGTGACTCCCACCCGTTGATATAGCTTGTTTAGCTTTAACACGCATATATCGCCAACCTTGGGATTCAAATGCACTTGTCGATTGAGCGGATTCTCGTAGTGCAATTGAATGCTTTCGCCCAGCTTGGTAACGGGCATGCTAAAAAAGTATTTCGCAATTTTGTCCTTAGTTAGCTTGGCAGCAGTTTGGGCTGGCGTTACGCTCTAAAAGAAAAAAAAAACATGATTGTAGATGTATGATATATAAAAGGCTATTATTTAGTTACTGCAAGCACGTAGAATTCCATATCTCCTTTTTTTGGATGGTGATCCGGTGGCACCGTCTCAAAATCCCACAAGATGTGCCGATATTGGCACGTGTGACGATAGCAGTTGCCATAGGCCATCAGATGGCGGCACAGCGGCAAATTAGAACGCGGTTGATCGAGTTCGCAATTCCTGCGATATTCCGTCAGCATAGACATGTAGGAGTCGGGCGGAGAACGATTGTGCTTCAGCATAAAATCGCATATAAGCCATGTTTGCTCAACATCACCAAGACCAACATGCATTATGGATATGGCTGCAGTAGTGGAGTTTTTTGTTTGTGTTTTGTAATTACCATAGAACAGGCTGAAGCGTGCCTTAAAACGTGGCCAGTTGTTATAGTCGTAGTGGATTAAACAGTCAATACTCCCGCTTCGCAATTTGGGAACCACATCGTCAATGGTAATTAACACGCTGGCCTTACGTTTTTTGGACCATTCGGCATATGCGATCTCTGAACATCGATCTTGTTTGTCTATTATTATACTACTGATGTTCGCGTCGGAAAGTAGTTTGCTTAGCTTCGATGCGTCAGGTTTGCCTTGGCATGCTAGCACCACGCGAAGCTCATCTAGTTTTTTGTTCTGCAGCAAAGCCAATATATCCTGGTCATGTTGATGGGGCTTTGTTGTCAGCATTTCCAGTTTCAGGCCGTTAAATACAGTGGCTTCTAGCGCATCCTCGAACAAGAGCAACACATCAGGCAATTTTGGTAAGACACGACACATAAACCGTTCGATCCACAAACGTCCAACGACGAACAGCTGAGCGTGGCCTTCCTCGAAGCGCAGAATATTAAATAGCCATTGTGTAACTTTCTCGCAAGGGATTCGGCTGTTACGCCACATGATATCGATGCCATCAAAGGCGAGACAGCGTAAGACGCGCGGATTAAAAATGGGCACCGACTTGCTATGCAATTGATATATGTGCCCTAGCTGCTCCACAGTTGTAATTAAAATGCCGCAGGGACGTGTCATACGTTGGGCAACCACGTAAGCACTGGTATGCTTGAATAACTTGATCACGTGCTCCATATCGTCGCGCTGCATGCCCAGCAGGTCCAAGCACCATTTACCAATTTGCTCGCCCTGCTGAGCATTTGCGCATAGGATAATGCTGCTGGGGCCATAGTCGCTGCCGTCGAATTTACGATTCTTCGACTCCTGAATATTGCGCTGACACAGCGTGGGCAAATAGCACCATGTTTTGCCAATTGACTCATTGCCGATTGCGCACATGGAGCGACCAGCAGCTACATGCGTCCAGGCGTAGCGCTGCACACTTTTGGCGCGGGCATGTCCAATGTTAAGCACTTGCATGGCTGCCTTGATGGTCGGTCCAATTGCGGCCACTTCACTTATGTTAAAGCACGAAATTTGTTCCGACCGACTCCAGGCAAAGATGCCGAAGTTGTTATATGTGTGAACACAGCCGGTGGCCGTATCGAACTGCTCTTCACCGGGTTGCAGAGTGAGCGATTTGTGAGCAGGATCGAATGCATCAGAAGATGTTGATGTGTCAGAGGGCGTAGGGCTTGACATGGTTTGGGGTATTGCATCCGAGCCAGGCAACGCATCTTCGACTGAATACTCTTTATTTAGCATTGGGCTACGTTTTTTAGTTGATGCTGCTAATGTTGCTGTTGCACTCAGCTCCGATAGACTTATGCTTGCCCGACCGTTCGATGCTGCGGCTTTGGGAGACACTTGTTCTGCAGCTATATATTGCAACTGGTTCGCTGCCGGGCATCTGAGGACCAGCACTTGTATGCCCTTGCGTGGTATCGGTATCAAGGCATCGAGACGCTTTTGAAACACATGCGGCAATGGCTGTGTCGAGTGTATCAAGTAGTTGACTCTCAAAGATCTACACTGCACAAGCAGCTCCAACACAAGATCGCATACAATCAGCACCGAGTTAAGTGACTGTAAAATAGCGAAGGTAAATGGAAGCTGTCTGTAAATATGAAACCCTCTACTTACGCCGTCAGTCCACAAGCGGACGCAGTCAATAAACTTTTTGGGCTCGTTTAACAAAAGGCAGCCAACGCTGCGCCTGCCCAACTCTTGCATCCAATCGGCTGCCTCATCCGCCTGCTCACAGATCACCAAAAAGCGGACGACATTCAAATCCTCGTTTTTAAATATGGCAGCCAACACATCGAGAGCCGCTCTCTTAGATGATGGCGTCAAATAGGTGAATTCAACATCATCACAAACATGTTTTGTGACTTGTTCATTTTCATTCCCATTTCCGGTCTCATCCGCTAGCGCTGATAATGCAGCATTGCCGCACAACTTCGCGGCGCCCTGGGTCACAAGCGATTGTTCAAAATATTGATTGAGCTCATTATCACCATGGTAATATGAGCGCAAAGCTCTATCCAAATTGCCACGACCAGCGCCACTGACTCTTTGTGTCACCAAGCTGAGCAGTAAGTAATGAGCGAAAGGGGAATACAAGATTCAAAAAGATTTGGTTAAGTTGAGTTTTTTCACATTATCAGCAAATTGATATTAATTACCTGTTATTGTTATTCATGAATTAACAAATTAAATAACGATCTGTAAGCAATCAACAAATGTAACAGCTCAAACAAATAATCACATTAACAGTCTATTCAAAAAAAAAAAAAAATGAAAATCAAAATCAAAAACTAAATAAGTAGATATTATCGAAATGGCGCCGATAGCGTTTATCACAACACATTGACAACAATATGTACGTCAAATTAGCGGCGGTGACTTAAATGTACTTAAAAGTGGGCAATACCTTTTTTCGATACCAAGTACCAAAAATCGACGCGAAGTCATCGCCGCTAATTTGACGCACATCTTTTTTGTTCTATTCCATCATTCCCGATATACGATAAACGGCCTTCCATCATTCCCGATATACGATAAACGGCCTTAAGCATTGATGGGGCTTGGTAACATAAACACAATGACTAATTAATTATAAAAATCCACACATACGATTCGGATTTCAAAGTACAAGTACATATTATACATATGTAATTGATGTCAATTTGCAACTAATTACTAAAACAACACTTTTTTTTCGAAGGGGTTACGGTAATGCTGCTTGGATCATCATAACAAAATAGTTTGACCACATTTTTTATTTGAAATACTTAAGTTTGAGTAAGCCCAATTAATAATCATATAACAGAATGAAGTTGGCAGCCGTTTACTTGATATGGTCAAACCTAATAATATGCGGAATTTTTGAAGCGCAGGCGCAATTAAATTTGGATAAACTCGATCTGCCAAGCCAACTTCCAGATGAGTTGTTAAAAACCAACATTACCTACAACCAAGTCAAAGAAGTATTCCGCAATAAATGCATTGAGGTGTCCGGCGAAGAGGCTGGCGACCGGGCATACAATGATATTGAGGCTGGTGCTTCAACGCTTAGCGAATGCGTAAATAGTCTTGTCAATTATACAACACTGCAGCGGGAGATACAGGAGGCAAGTCCTGAAGGCGAACTGGATGTCGTGTTCAACAAATATTGTGCTAAACGAACGAATGCCATAGACTGTTTTGATGTGTTCACGAACAAGCTGTTGCCATGCCTGGACAAGGAGGAGCAGGAAAGCCAGGACGTTATTAAACGTATTATCCAAAGTTTGTTAAACTTTGTGTGCCATAAAGATGGTGACCAAATAGCCTTATTTATTGCGGAAGAAGGTCCCGAGTGCCTTGAATCACAAAGGGAGAATATTCAACAGTGCATTAACAGCACATTTTCTACGTATTTTAACGAGGCAGATATGCACGATAATAATAAAATCAAGGCAATACCCAAATTGGTTGTGGGCCAGAAACAGTGCAGCGATATAAAAACATTGGAAACATGCATTGTCCGTCACCTAGAGCACTGCTCGAAAATAACACCCGCCAATCTAATTGAGTCCATGTTCAATTTTATAAGAAACGAGACTCTTTGCCGCAATTACCAGCAGTTGGCCTTAACTGGAAGCGCAAGTGCGCTAACCAATACTCATGCAACTAGCCTCCTCTTGTGTGCTCTATTGATATTTATGCTTAGTAAGATTTATTGTTTTAAGTAATTTGTTTTTTTTTTTCTTTTTGGAATCGAAATATCGAACTTGCCGCGTTCATGTTTGTATCCTTCGCGGAGTTCGCTTGCCAAAAAGTGGGTGCGTTATTTGTAAGACATCAAAATATTTGTTTACAATCTGGCCGATCGGCTATGGTGCAAATGTTACAGCAAAGAAACGAACAATTGAACTTGGGGACATTTTTTATACATTGTATGTATTATTTGCGTGCTATATGTATCCTTTATGCTCGGTTCTCAGTTTATAAGCTATTTTCTCTACACAACAGTGTTTTATTGTAATCTCCTATATCATATAAATGGGGACATCTCTCTATTATTATACATGTAAATCAAGTAAATCTCATACATATAGAAAACTATTCAAATAGAGGGTACAGGTTTAAAGTTTATCAGAAAATGGAATGTCAATGGAAACGTAAAAGTATCAAAAAAGTGAAAATAAATAAATCAAAATAAGACAGTAGCAATTACTTTTCTTAAGATTTTCTATTTTTCAGTGCAAGAAAAAACAGAAAGCTGTCTTATCTAAAATTTAGGCAAAATAAATGTGCAGCGTTTTCCCTAAACATTTGTTCAAGACAGCAGTCAGTATTTATTGAAGCAAGAATTAGCACCATTTTTTAAGCGCGAGTTGAATATTCCGATAGCTCGTGTTTGCTCAGATCTCCCATCTCTAATGCGCAGCTGGCTTGCCTTCCGCATACAAAAAAAAATATGCTTACAAGCCTCAGCTGTGGCTCAAACTACAAACAACATTCGAAAGTTTTAAATATGATTATTAAATGAAGAGTTAATAGTATATAGGAAACTGTAATCTCATATAAAGATTCAGGCTATTAAGAGAGGTTACGTCTATCGCCAAACTATGGAGAACATTGAGACTGCAGCATTCTCAGACCAGATAACTGCGTTTAGCATTGTAATGACTGCAATTTCAGCATTTATGCGATTCATTACGATCCTGATGAACTGGTATCTGGCGTTTGAATATTGGAAAACGGAATCGTATACCTATTGCCACTGGACAATTTCATCAATATTATTACCTATGATTTTAACGACGCTAATATATTCAAATGTGTAAGCAAATGTTTGTTTTTATATGCTATCCTTTTTATCGTATATCCATTGGAATTTGTAGACTAATCGTTAGTAACCTGGGCAAAAAGCCCGTCATCTGTGCGGACCTATTTTGGAAACTTGTACTCTCGTATTTGTTTCGAGATGCAACTACCTTGAACTGGACATTGAAGTATAATGAGGCTAAAAAGCGCGGCGACAAGGTTGCTCAAATTGAGTAAGAAGAAGCTCAGAGAATGTCGAAAAATCTATATTTAATTTGTTTCCATCAATTTCTAGATGTTATCACAGATATTTAAAGGAAGAATGTAACGTGGGTTTCATAAGACTCTTCGATTCATTTCTAGAATCTGCTCCCCAAAAAGTTTTGCAGCTTGCTATTGTATTGCGATATATCAAGAGTTTAACGTGTAATAAGTATAATGCACTATGAGTTTATATATTAATATGTTTAGTACATGCATAATGTAAAGTACATTTATTTTCAGATCTACGTGCCCTGACCTTTTTAATATATTTCATAAGCATCGCTTGGTGTTTGGTGGCCTATAACCGATCGAATCGCTTGGTTCAGCTAGACAAGTACGATATAGAAACAAAAGGACTTGTCGTACAGTTCTGTTTTCTACTCAGTTTTACAGGTAAATCGAATTGATTCTAAGCAGCTATCTTATTGAAATAATTTGTATACCAAACAATATAATCTTTAGCATCCCGCACTATTTGTATCGCATACATGGCCAGTATATTTCCTATGGAAACTTTTGCGGCTTGTATTCTACATATACTATTGTGTGGCACTGTAGTCTTCATTGTGGACACGCCGAAGTTTGGAAGATCTCAGATTTTGAATTACATATTGTGCCTTACATTTGGAGCGGTATATATATTCATATTTACACCTGTTTCAGATGGACCAACAAAGTATAAGTATATCATTTATTTATCGTTATGTTTTCTACAAAATCTATTCACTTGTATTATTTGGATTCCCTTATATCTAGCCATATTGATAAACGGGTTTTTTATAATGGGCATTGCTCTTATGATTTACTATTATTTGAAATGCCATCCAGGAATAACGTCTGCTGTATTTTAATAGTTAATACAGTGCAAAATAAAATTCAAATTGGTATTTTTTTTTTTTTTTTTTCATTTAGAAGAATATATAATATTTCTTTTTTAATCCATATTGTGTTGCCTTCTCGCTCGCTCTCAAAAAGCGCATGCGCGCAAGCGTGACTTGAGCCGACGATTAAAGTTAGCTTTGATTTGCAGTTTTTTCGTTATGAAGAGCTGGTCACACTCAAAGAAGTGGCTTAGACTAGGTGGCAGTGACTTACCAACGAAGCCAGCAGCAACAAATTAACTTTCACTTCAGACTCAAAAAGTTCCATAGGACTATCAAACACAATTAAATTGTACAATCGATCGTTGTGATGTAAACACCAATTACATATGGACAATATATAAGAAATATGGCATCAAAATATGAGCGCATTATCAGTGATTGTAGGTCAAGAAATATATTGTGGGAAGATGCTGATTTCCCAGCGATACAATCATCCGTATTTTATTATCAAACGCCCCCATTCACATTCCAATGGAAACGCATTGCCGAACTAAACAATCCACAGGCATCGTTTCTAAATGAAAATGCAGAATTCGATGTGATACCTGGTAAAATGGGTGATCGTTGGCTCGTTTCATGTTTGGGCGTTTTATATTCGTTGCGAAATTTATTTTATCGCGTTGTGCCCGCCGATCAGAGTCTGGAAAAATCGATGGGCATCTATCGCTTTCGCCTGTGGTGGTGTGGGGAGTGGGTGGAAGTGCTTGTCGACGATCGTCTACCGACCATCAATGGCAGGCTCGCATTCATGCAGCCGCAGTCATCCAACTGCTTCTGGGCATCGCTATTGGAGAAGGCGATCGCCAAATTGCATGGCTCCTATGAGGCGCTCAAATATGGCACACGATCCGATGGCTTGACCGATCTACTCGGCGGTGTTGTCAAATGCATGCCCATAATATCGGACAGCATAAGGCCGCAAACGCTGAAGGATCATCTGGCAACAACGTGCATTGTCACCTGCATTGCGGTTAAGAATGCGGCAGTACAGAAAAAGAACACTACGGAAAGGCTACCAAATGGCATTTTAGTGAATGCCAATTACAGGTATGTCTGGCTGATATGATTTTCTAAATATATATAGTATTATTGAAATTTACTTAAAGGCTTTCGTGTTTGGATAAAGTTGAGACCGTTATTGGCGATTCGGTACAGCTGGTTCGTATTAAGGATACATTCTCATCCAAGCCTTTTGGCGATAAAACCAATTTTATTGGCGATTGGTCGCCCACGTCTAAGACATGGGAGCGTGTATCATCGACGGAACGTGGACGTCTATTGGCCCAATTGGAATTGGGCGAGTTTTGGATCTCGTTTTATGATTTTGTGCACACATTCACAGCACTAGAGATCGTTTATTTGGACTCGGATACAGCAAATGGAGAGCAAATGCTTAAAGGACGACCGCTGCACTGGAAAATGAAAATGTATCAAGGACAATGGAAACGCGGTGTAACTGCCGGCGGTTGCCGTAACCATGAATCCTTTCACATAAATCCACAGTTATTGGTATCCATACAGGAGAAACAGGATATTGTTATTGCCCTGAATCAGCATACCGCTGTCGAGCCGAAAGTAATTGGTTTCACCATGTACATGTGGAATCGGGACTATAGCCTAAACGAATGTTTACAAAAGGACTTCTTCAAGAATCAAGTGAGCTTCCTTAACTCAGACTATGGCAATACCAGACATGTCAGCTATCACACACAGCTTGATATCGGCCACTATGTGCTGATGCCCACCACCTATGAGCCCGCCGAGGAGGCACAGTTTACGGTTCGAATACTGGGCACGTCGGCATTTCGGCTATCATGCCTGGAGACGCAGACAATGATATTGCTGGATCCATTCCCATCGCTAAAAAGCGACGATAATGTGCAGAAAATCAAGAGTGTCTGTCAATATGAACCCGTTTATATGCAATTGGCCGATGAAAATAAGACAATTAATTGCTTTGAGCTGCACGAATTATTGGAGGCATGCCTACCAAATGACTATATCAAAGGATGCGCCAACATTGATATATGCCGACAGGTAATCGCACTCCAAGACAAAACCGGCAACGGCCGCATCACGTTCCAACAGTTCAAAACATTTATGGTTAATCTGAAATCATGGCAAGGTGTTTTCAAAATGTATACAAAAGAGAAAGCCGGCATTTTACGTGCCGAACGCCTACGTGATGCACTTTATGACATCGGATTCCAACTGAGCACAGATATCATGAACTGTCTAATCCAGCGATATATACGTAAAGATGGCACTCTGCGCCTCAGCGACTTTGTCTCGGCCGTAATGCAACTGACGACGGCCTTCAATCAATTCCACATGAAGAACTACAACCAGGTGAATGTCATTGAGGTCCATCTGCATGATTGGATCAAGAGCATATTAAGTTGCTGAACACATGGAAGCTGCTAACGTTGTGTAATAAATTGTTTTTTTTTTTTCGCGAAAAAAAAGTAAATTTTAATTTTATATGCTGTTCGTTATAATTATTTATTTTTAATGGGACAAACAAATTGCGTATATATATATTTATATATATTTATATATATATAAATGTATATGTACATATAACATAAGTTGTTGAAAGCGCATTGTAAAATAAAATTGAAAATTGAAACAACAACCATGATTTTCACTTAATATTGTACGTATATTAGTTTAAAATATGTATATTTATATGCTTAAATTCATAAAATATAAATAATTATAAGTGTATTATGATAGGATAGTATTGTAGGATTGTGTATACTGTCAGCTGTAAAGTATACAATATATGTATAATATTATGTTGCAGCTGGCGATATTGCGAGTTGGCAGCTAAAATGCATATTATTTATTTACTATTTAGCGATTCAATAATTGTGTTTAGCAGCTTATGCAACATATCGAGTTCTATGTGTATCTGACGTATTACTAAGTACTTTGCTTAGACTAGGCGGACATACATTTCTGTATATAAATACTGTATGAATAGTTTATTAGTTTTTTTTTTTTTTCGTTTTTTTATGGACGACAGGCATTTCAACGCATCTTCAGCTTTCTCCTGCACGCAAATTTTTCCTGATTCCCGTTTGCTCAATTAATCCATGTTTAATTTACAAAAAACTTGATTGCGCGTAACACTAGGCGAGGCGACTACGAGCACCAAACATTACATAGAGGTTCCATTATGGGAGGAGGCATCGCTAATGCGCCGCGACAGCGTTGTCTTACGGCTGATGGAGAGCGTATTGGCAGCCTGACTCGAATGGATGCTCGGCCCCAGATTGTTGGGATTATGATTTGTTGATGTTATATTTGATATATCATTCGCTGTGGGTGACGATGCGAGTGCTCGCAATGGGGAGCGTCGAAGCGAGCCGGTCACTTCATGGGGCTCTTGGTAGCCCGAGTCCATATCGTCATGGTAGGAGTCCATTAGGGGTGTCGGATCCTCATAATCGTAATCAACAAAGCCATTGTTATCGAAGGACTGCGAATATTTCAAAATGCTATAGACACAATAAACTGCCAATTCAAATATGTCTTATGATACCTTGACAAAGGATTGCGACTGCTTGGCATAGCCGCGGAACACCTGATTGTGCGCCTTGCCGCGATAATCAACGGACTCGTAGTGGCCATCCTGAGAGTTCTCAATTATGAAATGCCTGGTGCCGTGTGGCGTTAAGGTGGCCCACAGCAGGCGGCTATCATTCACCAGCTGACTCTGCAAAAGATCCCGACTGTTTGCTGTGGCGCATGGATAGAGTATTCCCCCCGAGGTGAAGGCATTCGATTTGGTTGCTTCACCCAGGGCATTGATTGCGTTTTGCTTGATATTCGCATCATGATACGAGAAAAAGGTGCTAAGTATAATTATGAAAACAATTCATGCAATTTAATAAAGATCAAATCATTTTTGTAGGCAATCTGGAATACATACTCTTTGCATCTGATGACAATCAATGCCAGGAAACAGGCAAGCACAAATATGCCAATGCACGACGAGACGAAAAACCAAACATTTTCCAAACTCTTTGTATCGCTGCGTACCAGCTCCATCAGCTCATTGCCGCTATCATTATGCTGGTTTTGGCCACACATAAAGGCTGCAAAACACGGCTGAGACTCATTCGATGGCAACAATATATCAATGCTCTTCGGTTTTGATATCAGGAACGATGGCAGCGGCGGCGGCGGCATTGAGAGTATAAAATCTGGTGGCGGACCAGCCAATTGGTCACAACTGCCCACACAATTTCCAAGTAAGATATTCATTTTGCCTGAAAGTAAGGACATAGACCAATTTGTATACCTTTGTGTATGCTATGTTATTTAACCGCTCAACTAAACCCAAGCTCAGATAATTTTATATTTAAACACATACGAATGCCATATTAAGTCCGTGAAAGTTTCATAGCGATCAGGCAATAAACACGGCAGTTCTTCAAGAAACCATTTCTTATAAACTGGGTTCCGGGGCAGAAGAAGCACAGCCAATGCGTTAAGTGCGCAGCTTGCGGCGGCGTGCGTGCGTGCGTGCGTGCGTGCGTGCGTGCGTGCTCTTATTTGTATGCGTGTGTGTGTGTGTGTTTGTATGCATGGAAAAGAGCGTGAGCTTGGGTACATCCTAGTCGTGCATTTACGACTAAAGTTCACTCGTTTTATCAGGCAACTTTTTTAAAAAAAACTAACAAATTGTGTTTTCATTAGCCAAAAGTATTTAGCTTTTCATATATACACATACACATACACGTACGCATACGCATTTCGATGGTTAATTGTGAAAATGTTTTGTTTGTCTCAATTGTATACCCTTGGCTCGACCCAAATACAGACAGCAAATCCTCGAGCAATCGACACTCGAATGATGCATATGTGTATATATGATATGCATATATGTGCAACCGATAATATCAACCAATTAACACTGTTTTACTCGAACAAAAAGAATGAAAAAAAAGTCAACTTCTCTCTAAACATTGACAAACCTTAATCCAATAACGTGTCCTGTACCGATGAAATCTTACCTTGAACTGAGTAGCGAAAACAATTGCCATATTCCCAGCTCGAAGAGCGTCCATGCGCGCGCACCTCCACTCAATGTGGGTAACAAGTAACCCCTGCTGGCTTAGCCACACCCAGCCAATACACATAGTCGGATTATTCAAATTGTCCCCCACATTATTTGACATGTAGCTAAATTCTTTGCATGTTCCTATATAATCTACATAGGCTAAAAAGTGTAACAAAAATCGAACATTTTGAAAGGTATTATGCATTGAAAATCGGTTGTGAAACAAATTAAAGTGGTATCATGACTGAAATGAATTGACTGAAGGCCGTCTTCAACAAAGTTGCGGGTTTTAAGGGGTTTTGATGCCGAGTCTTAGTCGAAAAAAAAAAATAATGATAAAGCTTTCAAATAATTGTTAATGACATCAAACTACATTCAGTAAGGGCAAACAAATAACTTTACGTAAGAGTAACAGTAAAATGAAGCCTACGTACATGTGTACCGTTAATCAGAGAAAACTTAACTTATGCCAAATCCGAACACCGAATGCAGATTCGCTTGGCTAGTTACCAAAGGGGCAATAAGACTTGGCCTAGGCGAAGACCAAAAGAAAATGCACTTAATGAATGCTCGATGCTCATATGAATATATGAATTATTAGCATCAATGATCAAATCAGACTGTCCAACTAGTCATGATAGACGCTTTTATTGGCAACATAGTTCCCGAGTATCAAACAACAGGCACTTGATAAGCATAGATTGTAACGAGTCTCTCTTTATAAACATTAACTACATAAAACACGTTGTTGCTATCAAATATATTACATTAATTGGGCACTAAGCGAGTTATACAGCTCGTTTAATAACAAATGTTGGGTAAAAGAAAAAAAAAAAAAAAAAAAAACTGTGATAACCATTTAATTTATGCTACATACACTTGCGATATATGAGTAAATATTAGGATCACAATTATACTATTTTTTGTCCCCATATGTCATAACGACGCCAACGATCAATGCCAGCACTGTGAATCCTTGTGCTGCAATACGGGTACGCATCATAAATTGGGACATCCTGCGGTTGCCGGTGCGAAAGTTGTATAGGCCAGCTGTTAGGGCTGCGGTTGTGGCCAGGCATCCTATGTGCATATAAACAGAAACAGAAAGCAAATCTCAACGATAATTGGCAACGTTTACATAACGAAATTCGAACAAATTCTAGTATATCGCTTACCAATTGGCACCAAAGGGTTCTCCTTTATTTTGCGCACAAGTCTTTCCTTGGTCGTTTCAATTTCGACAACTGGCCCCAGATCCTGACGTAACTGAATCCAGTCTAAGTCTTCCGCTGGTAAAGGTATTTCCGATTTGTTGGGCATCTTTTCAATAGCTTGAACAGGTTTTTCTGCAATTTAAACAATAAGTCAGATCCAATACCGACAACTCATATTAACAGAATGGAACACACATCCAAATAAACAGATGATTACAGACGTGCGCACAGATGACGGTCACAATGCGGAACGTTGCATTGGAACAGGGATGTGTATGCGCTAAATATGAGTAGAGAATATTTACGGAACTAACATTTCTTATCTGACTTTAAATAAATTGATGCTTTTTTCAAATATGTCAAATCGATTTTTAAACAATTCTTCATTGCATTTATACATTTTTTTTTTTTTTTTTTCAAAAATATACCCATTTTAAGATACCCATTTGGTTGCATGAAGTACGAACTTGAACTTACAGTTCAATTAGTTCTATTCATTTTCTAGTTTCTCAAAATCTGTTCCGTCCCTAGCATTGGTTACCGAGTTGAATTAACAACGGAATGCTGATTTCGAAATCGTTTATCGAATGGGGCTATTCATTATTTTTTCCCAATCTTTGATATATTATATGCACATGACTTATTATAACTAATAAGTGAAGTATATTTTTAATTTATAAATACCTATATTTTCATTTACAATATTTGAATTGTTTATTATTTTAAGGCCAGTTTTGTATGTCATTTAACGGCAAGCGCATAAATTAAAACATATGTATGTTTATATGTACACACATATGTATATATTTAGAAACAACCCTGTGATGATCAAATAAAATCGAAGAAAATTTGTGTGTTGGGTATTTCTGACCTCACTAACACGTTCACACACAGCTGCATTATTCCAACCATGTTTCTCTCTTTTTAAAATGAGAGAGTTTTGAAGTACAGTCAGACGAGGAACGCAAAATGAAACATGTGTATGTAGCGAGAATATCATTGTGTGTGTATGTCCAATAATATACATGCATTTTTGTGTTTGTGTAGAGGCGAAAAACAAACGCACACATTCAAATAAATGTGAATGTATTATTGGAATGGCATGGGGATGCATACATATATACATATATATGTACATATGCATATGTATGTACATTTGAACGTACGTGTGTAGGTAAATATGTACGTATGTACATTCACAGACATGTACATAATTACTTACAAACATATTTATAAACATGTATAGCAAATGTACATACATACATATTTGGCTGGTTTTTAAGTGCGTTTTAATGATGTATGGATAGTTTGTAGACAAAAATAAAATGAGTAAAGCAGTTATTTATCAAAGACGTACCCTATTCATAAATATGTATGTATGTATGTACATACATGTTTGACCATATAAATATGTTTAAGTGCATACATACATAGGTTTGTTTGTATGCATGTACATTTAAAAGTAAGGTACATACATCTGTATGTTGTTTGCATGTGTGTATATATGTATGTATGTTTGAAGACGTTTACTGACAGTGTATGTTCATATGTATGTATGTACATACATATGTTTGCATGAACCTTAGTATAAAAAGTAACAAGCCAAAAATGTTATAAGGCCTGTTTCCCTCCACCACGTGTATACACACACACATACACACACTTAACACTCATTGGACAGCAGGAGAGAAAGTGTGCTCAGTAAACTGTACTCAGAGCACGCCGCTGGCTGCTTGCTCTCTCTCTCTCCGTCTCTCTCTCTCTCGCTCGTTCTCACACACAGACACAGAGTTACTCACACAAACGCACACACTTGCGCATTCAACGCATACAGAAGTCTGGCGCTAGCCAGGCTGGGCTATGAAGCACAGTAAGGCAGAGACGGCTATTCAATTCAATAGCCTTTGCATTCGTTGTTGGTACTCTCTCTGTGTGTGTTTTCAATCAAGCGAGCGGCGCGCGAACCTCATCTTTTCCGCATTGATACCAACAAAAACACATTTACTGCAATAAAGCTGCGTTTGTGGCGTCGTTTGTTTATTTTTTACTAACTAAAAACAAACAATAACAACAGAAGAAGCACCAAACTCCAAACTCGCGTTACGTTACGTTTATCGTTTCGTTCGCTGTTACGCTGATTCGCCGTAAGAATCGGTAACAAATTTTCAAATAACCGTGTGGCGTCTGCTAGTTCCTGCGTCATAAATATATATATATATATATATGTATGTATAATAATCAATATAACGTACATATGTACATAGAATAATCGAATGCTAGTTGCAACTGGCTTTCAACTTATTTTGGCCATTGATTTTGTGTTGAGTGCAGTGCAAAAATTGAAAGAAGAAGAACGCATACCTGCAAAAATACATACACATATTAAGCTATAAAAAAAAAACTTGAACTCTTCCCCGCAACCCCCAGTACGAATCGTTTGCACAGGAATCGTTTTAAATCATGGAACATTTTCATCAAATACAGGTAAGCTTAAGTGCACAACACGCACGCACACACAAATGTACATGTCTGTATGTATATTTGCACGAACTATTCTGGCGTTTATCGTCTATTTTGCTCGACAGCGTCATGCAGCATTTAGTGTCGCAAGTTAAAGATTTTTTTCCCGCCAACAACAAATTAAATTGGCAAACACGCACTTCAATTTTTATACATACATACATATATACATTGGAGTATACGTACATATGTATGGATGTATGCATACATATAATATGAGACGCATGAGAGAGTATGGAAATTTTACAATGGCCGAGTTGGAATCTCAATGCATACATGTGTATTAACATTGGTACATGCATACATTTTACCAAGTTTTTCGTGTACGTACATACATTTGTACATCACCAACATACATGCATACATTTGAAAAGAAACTAAATATGTGAACTACAGACAGGCATACATATGTAGCTGCGTATATACATATGTACATGCATACGAACGACGCTATGCGTATATGCATACATATATTCATACATACAAGCAACATTTTTATTTTGCGTGCGCATCTATGGCCGCCATTTTTTATTTTATTTTATTTTGTTGCTCGTTCGGCGTTTACTTATGCATGTGTTAATTTAGAACAGCTAAATTGCATAGTTCATGCGTATATATATAAATGTAATGCATACAGACATACATACATATATTTAACATTATAAAATTGGAAATGACATGTGCCTCGATTTTTCAAATGTTGAGCAGACACAAACACAGCTGTGTGTGCGTGTGTTATAAATACATATATACATTTGTATATGCATAGTTAAGCTATAAATGTATACATATACAAACATACAAATGAAAACTTGAAATATGTATGCACACAACATCGAAGCTTGCGTAATCTGAAATTGACTGCATGTACATACCGTATGTATGTGTATGTACATATGCATATAAATATGTATGCGTGGTGCTCCCCATGTGAATTCTTTTCTTTGTATAGTGTCTCTTGCTGTGAGAAGACAACTTCAACTAATATGCCTGTATGTATGTGTGTACGTTTGTGTGTGTGTGTATAAACTCGAAGTGCTTTGTCTGTTCTCTGTACGCACATATGTATGTGTGTATGTACGCAGAAACATATTTACATTGTAAAGAGCATTTTATTTTATTTTCTCACCGGGGCGCTCACTCATACATTTATACATCAAATGTGTACATGTGTTTGTATGTTTTGCCAGTGTTGCCGTTTTTTGCATGAGTAGTTAAGACACCCCTGGCATTGACAGAATAAAAGAACAGCCGATAAATTGGTTCATGAACCGAATGAACCTGCTCTTTATAAAAAACGTGCCTTTCTCAAAACCCATTCTCAGTTGTTGCACTTCGGCGACTCTTTTCGACACAAAGGAAATCTTAACAGCTGATTTTTTTTGTCAAAATTTGTTAATATTTTCGCAATCATGCCCATTTGTATGAACACACATGTTGGCCTGTGTGTACGTACACGAACGCGTGTACATACATACATATATGCGTAACAATTTGTTTACATTTTTGACGCATCCATTGCTAATAAGAAGCGCAGCATGGAGTGTTATTGACTGAAGTGAATGGAATCATTGAGAATTGGAACATGCAACGCCGCAGATGTTGCTGCTCCAACCATTTGGAACTCATGCTCATGCGCGTTTTCACCGTATACTTGCACAAGCACAAGTACACAAATATGCATGTGTGTGCTGCTGAGCGTGAAACCCGCCAGCGGCAGCGAGAGATCGTTTTTGGCGCCAAATGCCAACTGTAGCTTAGCAAGATCTACGACTTGCTCTCTTTTTTAGGTCTTTTTTTTTTTCCTTTATTAGTTCCCATTTTAACAAGTCAAATGGAATTTATTATTTTTATAATAATATTAATTGCGAATTCTTCATGAATAGTTCAAGCAAATACACATTTATGCATACATACGTACATACTTACATATATAAGTCGTAGGTCAGTTATATATTTCACAATCTCCATATAATTTATATTTGGATGTTGGTAATATATCGATTTTTAATGTCGATTTAATCAGAATTCGAAATAGAATATGTTTCTAAAAAAAATACAAGTTCGATATATACCAACTATCCTTACATAAATTAATAATGTTTTTGTTAAATTTATGTATATATTTAATTCGGTGATAAGTGCGACGCCAGCGCGATAAAAAAACTGTAGGGTTTTTTTTGGCAATAAGACTTGTTCGTATTGGCCTCGCACTTATTCACAACATTTACATGCACACCCACACATAAACACATTCATAACAAAAACAACAACCACAACAACAAACTATTGATTAGCAAACAATTCAACACTATCAGCAGCAACTGGCTGCGCAGCAACAACAACAAGCGGCTGCAGTACAACAGCAACAGTTGCAACAACACCAAGTGGTTGTCCAGCAGAACCAACAGCAGGCACATCAAAATAGCTCCAACACCACATCCGGCGTTGGCACCCAACAGCTATTTACATACAAAATGGCCAGTAGTTTCCCCAATCCAGCCACAACAATGGCACAAGTTGTTGCCACCTCCAATGCGGCAACTACCGGCTATGATTACCGCCTAAATATGGCGCAGGCCGCAGCCGCAGCAGCGGTGCCCGGCTCCCAATGGTGGTATTCGGCTGCCAATCAGGGCCAGGTGGATGCTAACACAGCTGCCCAGTTGCAGCAGCAACAGCAGCAGCAACAGCAGCAACAACAGCAGCAACAGCAGCAGCAACAGCAGCAACAACAGCAACAACAACAGATGCAGCAACAGCAGCAGCAACAGAATGTCATCAATTCGGCCGGGGTAAGTGATTTATTTTCAATTAAATTGAAATATTGTAATTTGCAACAGAATATTTCACTAATCCACCGATATTTTCCTTGTAGAGCCCAATGATCAGAGGAAAAGCTGATGCGAAACCCAGAGGTCGAATGACTGCTTACGCATACTTTGTACAAACTTGCAGGGAGGAGCACAAAAAGAAGCATCCCGATGAGACAGTGATTTTCGCTGAATTCTCACGGAAGTGCGCTGAGCGTTGGAAGGTAATTATTGTCCTGGGCTTTCGAATTGAACGATATGTTTGATTGTTGGACAATATCATTCAATCGAACCCCCAATATACAAAATATGGAAGAATCTACCAATTGGTTTTACTCTCCAATTAGACGATGGTCGATAAGGAGAAAAAACGCTTCCATGAAATGGCTGAAAAAGACAAACAACGTTATGAGACAGAGATGCAAAACTATGTGCCGCCCAAGGGTGCAGTTGTGGGACGTGGCAAGAAAAGAAAACAAATCAAGGACCCGAATGCGCCAAAACGTTCATTGTGAGTTCGTAGCAAAATTGATTATACTAATATTTACTCATTTCATATTTGTACTCATTTCTGTAAGATACATAACGATTAATTTAATTCAATTTATTTGTTTTGATTAGGTCTGCGTTCTTTTGGTTCTGCAACGATGAGAGAAATAAGGTAAAGGCTCTTAATCCGGAATACGGTGTGGGTGATATTGCCAAAGAGCTTGGCCGCAAATGGTCTGACGTCGATCCTGAAGTTAAGCAAAAGTACGAATCGATGGCAGAAAGGGACAAGGCACGATATGAACGGGTATGTGCATTGGCTTTATATGAGTTGTGTCAAATATTTAACAAATTTTTGCAATTTCTAGGAAATGACCGAGTACAAGACAAGCGGGAAAATTGCCATGTCAGCACCTTCGATGCAAGCGTCGATCCAGGCGCAGGCACAAGCAGTACAGAAAGCCGCGTTACTTGCGGCCGCTGCCCAGCAACAGCACCAGCAGCTGGATGAGCAGCATGACGACGATGATGGCGACGGTGATGATGACGAGAATCAATAGGTCTAGCAGTAAAATACTCTTCACTATTTATACACTATCGTTGGTCATCGCGAACAAGGAAAGAACATTAGTTAATCCCTAACCAGGTTAACTAATGTGTGTTGCATATATATACACAAGTATATATTGATATAATATATATATATATATAAATATATATATATTTATATATAAATATATATAAAATTAATATAAAATTAATTTTTTTTTTTTAATAATAAGTAATCAAATTTCCATGAATTACTGAAGGAGAAAATCACAAAGAAACCTTTTATAAGTTTTATTTTAAGAATATAATATATAAGTATATGGTTAGATTAAAATGACATTCATCTGTCTGCAAATCTTATTTTTGTGCTTCAATGATAAGTTTCTCCTAAAACACTAAGAACGAATTATTTTATAACTTGAAGAAATTCATCCATGTCATTCTCAGCAATCGTTACCACTAAACAAACATACAAAACATATGTATATACATATTACGTATATTGGTACATATTTCCCCATTTATTAAATTTAGATGATTCACCAATAATGAAACTAAACAAACAAAAAAATGATGCGTTTACTCATTGGAGTTGCAACTACTCAATGAAACGTGATAATTTGAAATACTTAACTCAGTGGCGGGTGATATCTCTCTACATATTTATGTGTATATATGCATATATAAATACATATATTTATATATAACTAAATATGTATTATCAAACAATTTCAAAATACAAAAAAAAAAAAAAAAAAAAAAAAAAAAAAAAAATACTACTAAATTATCACAATGAATATATTGTCAGCATTTAAAAATGAAACAAAAAAACAAAAAAAAAACTTTTATCAATATAAAAGAATCGAGATAAAGGCATTACGTTTATATTTTCAACGGGTTAATCGGACATTATACCCAATATTCAAACTTCGCGAATGTGTCAACATTCCCAACAGCAAATTCATTTTTATTTATTTTTTTTTTTTTTTAAACTATTTTTTTTTTGTTTAATTTGGATAAGAAATTTCCTCCATATAAATTAAGTTGCTCTGGTAAATGGGCAAAGTTGGAGTTGTTTTTCTGTGTAAATACATAAAGATAATTGGATGTTAGATTTCCGATAGTCGCCGGTATGAATTAATTGAATCCAGATGTATTATGAATATAAAATTGTATGTTTTAGGCTGTTAAACATATACGAGTACTTGTACGCATTATATGAAACAAAGAAAAACAAAGAACAAAAACAAAAATAACGGACACTGACGGCACGCCTGTTGTCTTGGCCATGTACATACATATTGAAGTATTATTTAAACCATTGGCTTTATACTAAGGAGATTGATTCTGAAAGAGTATATAGTTTTAACAACAACAATGACAACAACAACATGTACACTAGGAAAGTATTGCCAATGCTTAAGAGGAGCAACCTGTATGCATTATGATCCTTTTATGCAGGCCAATTAACTCAGTTATATATACACACACATGCACACACAGACAGACAGACACACACACACACACTCATACACTGATACACACACACATATATGTATGTATATGTATATATATATGTATATACGATAGAGTAAATTATGCTTTTTTGATATCGTACGTTTGCACAAGCTTGCAGATTGTGCAAAATCTCATGATGTGGGCATACTTCGATATGTGGCATGATGTATCAATAAATTAATAAAAAATAAATAAATAAATATATAACGAGCGAGATCTGGAAAAAAAAACACAGCATATATACGAAATATGTTGAAATCCGAAAATATCGAGAGACTTCCTAAGCAAACAACAAGAATCATACACATTATTAGGACTAGTATGGATACATATTAGATAGAATATGGCGTGACAAATCGATTCACATACGAGAGAACACAACAACCGCATATGCATATTCGTAGCATTATAATGCTACCGCTTTATTAACAATACCGTACACCTGATATGATGGTCACGTTATATACCTCAAATGTATGTACAGTTATTATTTTCTTAACAAAAAAAAAAAAAACAATGATTTTTTTTTTTGTTTTTTATTTTTGTTTTGCCAGAGAATAACTCGCCACCGAGATGATATTCATAGAAGTGTAGAGAATATTACATAGATATATTTTAATTTTCGATTAAACAGTAACTCCTTACATTATTTACTATGACAATTCCAGTTCCCCGTGCTTGTTATAAGAAAGTAAACTAATACAAATAAACTTTTAGAAAAGTGATACTTTGTTTTTAGTGTATTCTCGGATGTGTACGTTCTGATTGTGGTCCATCTCCAAGATCGGTTCTGTATATAAGCCTTTTTTTTTTTGTTTGTTCTTTTAAGCTGTCCAAATTTAAAATATATATTCCACAACGTAATATTTGAAAAACAAAAAAAAAAAAAGAAAAAATAATAAAATAATTAACATTTTTATGGATTACGTATGTATATGTGTAAGGGTGAATTACATTAGATACTAAGGTATTTTTTTTATTTAATTTTTTTTTCTATGAATTTACACAATCCTGTAAAAATAGTTGAAAATAAATATAATTTAGCTAGATATACGCTTATGAAGGCAAATTTGAGAGATTTCGTTATGTTTGATTTACGTCCGTTTTCTATGCTGTTTCAGAAGCAAAACAATTTTATTATTTTCTCATGTTAATGTTAGCATATCGAAAAATGAATTAATGCATTCATTGCTGATCTATTTTCTTGCCAGGCAACAAAAACCACATTCACATTGTTCACATCGACAATACTGAGTTTGATCAGTTTATAGAAACCACGAAACAATCGATTAGAGCGAGAGGCAAATATGCGAACTGCTCGAACTGCTCGAACTGGTCCAAAATATTGCTCAGGATCTCTATAAATGAAACTGTGTTTTCAGCATCCTATTACACAATAATTCAAAATTAAAGGAAAATAGTAAAAAAGTTTGCGATTAGAGCTTTTGAATAAGATTCATGGAATATATATAAAACATAACATATAGGAGGAGTATTTGCTTCAGATTTCGCACACGTTTAAGATTTGCAATAATAGCTCTTTTTAATCGCAAGTCGCATACATTATGATCTAATTGACAGATTAACAAAAAGGCACGCGTAATTGCTGAGATTGTTGACATTGAACGAGAGATGTGTGCTAGTATAAGGTTATTCATAGAACAATTAAATATTCAATCAGTTGCGATTTGGCTGATTCCCCAGATCATGTTGCAGCAAGTCTGGCAAAACCTGTCGCCCAGTTCTTACATCATTTCTCAGCACATGCAAATGGTAAAAACTGTACAACATGACATGGTAAGTATTTTTTTTATTTTTATTTGGTGTTGGTTGGATTGGTTTGGATTGGAAATTATAATGAAACAATTCAATCTTAAATTTATAATTGCACGTTCTACTGAAAATATTGCAGGCCCTTTATATTTTCGTATAGAAGTCGCGGTCTAAATTCGATACCCACCCAAAATTGGCATCTACCCATTATGGCTAGATAAATCCAATGGTTGGGAGCCAAGTTATTTATGCTTTGGCCATGAGTTTAACTTAAACCCATATTATTTTAAATGGTTCAGTTCGTTTGCTAGTTGGGCAATTGGTTTGGCTGAAGATTTGATTAGTAGTATAATAATAATGGGAATCCTGGGATCGAAAGGGTTTGGCTTAGAACCGGCTTGCGGCTGTAATAGTACCTCTATTTACATTACAGTTTATTTAAGAGTGTGCTGCTCCATTTTTTGATAATACATCAGTTCGCCCTATTTCGTCAAAATAGAAGCTTGGACTGATCAACCCAATACAAAAAATAATTTTAAAAAATTGCGGTTTAGTTTCTTTATTTATTACACGAGTTGATTTTGCTTTGATGTGTTACAATAGTAGTAGTTTTCTTGTTTTATTCTTTTTTTTTGTAGTATAGTGTTTTAGATCGCCTGCTAGGTGTGTCTTGTTACACGACTTAAATGCTAAAAATCTGTATACCACAGTCTCTAAGACGTACAACGCAACACTGAAATAATATAGATTTACTTTTCTTTAAATTCCGATTTAGGGGGAGGGTGGGTCTGTGTATGTGTGTGTCTGTCTGTTTGATATTGTGTGTGCGTGTATTTCGTGTGAGCGCAGAGCCATGAGATTGAAAACGAAAATGGAACATTTAATTCTAAGTTCAAAATTAAGATGCGTCGGCCGACTTGTCCTACACGCATTATTATCAATAATAAATAAATTATACAAAAAAAAGAAAAGGAAGCTAACTTAGTTAATAATAATGTTGGTACACTTCTTTTTTTTTGTTTTTTCTTTTTTTGGGCGGCCATCACTTTACATCCAGAGCTCGCCGCCACAAATCTCAAGGGCCATCTTCTTGCGGAAGTACTCCATGTGCTCCTGGGAGAAGTTGAGCGGCTTATTCCGTGTTATATACTCTGCAAACATACAGCTAAACACACCGCAGTCACTGCCATTGGTCTGATGGGGCACATTCTGGACATTCTCAATTGTGAAGTCGCTGGTGTCGAACGGCTTCTTGCGTTTGTCCAACGACTCCTCATGCAAGTAATTCTCTAGGGCGTTCAACACCTCCGAATTTGGCTTGCCCATTGAATCATAATAGCGAATTGTTTTGTTCTTCATGTGGATAATGGCCATGCACCAGTGGACGTTGCTCACATGCACTGGCACCGGAATTATATCTTTGCTGAATATATCAACCTTGCGAGTCCAACGTTTCACATTGCTATAACCGCCTTGCAGCAGCCGGGGCACAAAGAATGTATTCATAGCATAAACACTTGGCAGTTTGCCCTCCTTGCGTTGCGAGCGATCGGTTAACAAGTTCATATAGAAATTAATAACCTCATCGTTTAGCCAAGAACTTCCAGCTAGCGTCCGAATATCATTGCGAGTAATACTCAGGCTGAATTTGGAAATAAGTACCTAGAGATAAAATGAATAAGTAATATGTATATAATAAAATACAAATAGATGAGTTCACCTGGTCGGCCCTGCCATAGACTAGCTCATTATAGCGCTGCTGATGGGCTTCGGTGAATGGAATAAATTCTGGTTCGCTATCCTCCTCTAATGGATACTTCTCCAGCACAAACAATGTTTGGGAAATGAAACGTCGTTTGGATAAGTTCTCGCGCAAGCCCTGTTCAAAAGCACGACGCTCTTCTGTTGTTCTTTCAGCTCTGTGGAATAATTATTCATTAAGCCTACAAATTTTTGAAAGCATGAGACCGAATGCAATTGGATAATAAGCCAAAAAACATTTCCACCCAATATGATCTTAAATGTTACCCGCACCTAAGTATGTTTACAGGGTTTATAAACTGATTTAGGCATTCGTCTCGAATACAGTACACTTACTCTTGAATAACCAGTTTCTTTGCATGATTCACCTCCTGTTGCATACGCGCACATTTCTCATTAAAGAGATCTGTATAGTTATCAGCAAAATAGATGGATTTACTGTGGCGCAGCTGCAGCGCTTTAGTCCGGGACATCAACAGCCCGGGTGGTGGCGGCATCATTTGTGTTCTATAAAAGTATAAAATCTTAATTATTATATCGAAAGCTTCCCTAAATTGTAAGCAAACTGCGTAAACACAAATTTAAAGTAATATTGATGAACTGACAAAGAATTTTAAATAGTATTAAGAATGAATTTAATCGGGGACATTCGCCCGAATTAGCTGTCAAGGGACACTCACTTATTCGCTTGCTTTCCATGATCATCATCTACGATTTCAGTGACCTCGGGCTTGTCTGGCTTTATGCTGGAGGAGCTGCCGCCTAGTCCGTAGCATTGCATAAGAGGTGGCGGCGGTTTCTTGGCCAGTGAGAATGGCTGTTGCTGCTGTTGCTGTTGTGGCTTCGAATTGTAATCCAGCAGCTTGGCGTACTCGGAGCGGAGGGGCGCACGGGACTCGGGCTTGCTTTTGATTAGACCCCGCAGCCAGTCGGTGCTATTAAGGCTAATAGGCTGCAGTGGCGGCGGAGGCGGTGGCTTTTCATTCTCACGAGCAGCACCGGAACGGCGTGCACACTCGCGCTCATGAAGAGTGAGATTATTGATCAGATTGACGTACTGATTATGCTCGTTGCGTTGCTCCTCCAACACCATTATATTGTCCCTGCTGACGCCCGAGTCATATAAATTGCTGACATGCCCATTCAAACGTGCCTCGGATGAAGAGAGACTACTAGCAGGACGTGGTTGATAGTTTAGATCGGTGACAAAACCATTTGTACCGAAACGCACGGCATCGGAGTACAGCAAATTTGGTCTTCTCGCTGACGATGAGTTGCGTCCAAATTCATCTTGACGCGGCGGGGGCTGCGCGCCCGAAACAAGACGATCGGCAAATGCTTGATACATATTGCTTTCATTATGCTGCGGCTCCTCAGAGTCGGACAGATCAACCGAAATAGTAGCTTGGGTGTTGCGTACACGCACCTGCCGCGTCTGCGGTGTACAGAACATGGAAAGACGCTTGTGTGTCTGGTAGGCATTGTGATTGCTGTTGTTTTCCTGTTCCTTGCGCTGGTTCGCGGTTGCCATGTGGCTGTAATCATCAGCTATGAAAATAAGAAGTGACAATCTATTATTAACTTTATTTAAATGCTAAAATTTTTACTAAAACTTCATTTGTTGTCAAAGAGTACTGCGACAGGGTTTTTGAAAAATTCAATCTCCAAGCTGGGGAAAACTGTAGTCAAAGTGTGTGAAAAAACCAACAAAAACAACGCAGCCATATAAGTGTGCCTTCCAAACGTGACGTCATGAGCATGCGTGACTTACATGTTTGAGCGTCGGACTAACCAGCGGCAGGCCGCTGGTTCAAATTTAAGCCATTTTTTATTTTTATATGGAATTTGGTCAAATGCAAATGCACAAGGAGTTTCGAGACCACTTGTATTCATATAATTACCGGGCGACGCCGGGTTCTTTTTCCTAATAAACAAAAAACTAAAGAAAATTTATTTAGTTTAAGTGCAGTGTGAACTGAACAATGAGAAAACAGGTTTGAGAGGATGAGGCTAGTGCATGCATGTAGATCATCTTAGCCAGGGCATAGTCGCCAGTGCTATTCACAAAGCTGGATAATAGTTTACAGCTGAAACCTAACTAACTCTTTTTGTATTTCCCACAAGAAACATAAATACCCGAAGCATGCTTTCCACAGCCCCCAGCTTTTAAGCAAACAAATGAAGTGTTACTTAAAACCGACTCAAGGCCTTCCTCTATACGATTTATAACCTTAACTCTCTTAACTTTTTCCTTTTCTTACTGATGTCTCTTTCGACACTTCTACACGGTACATACACTCCTAGCTTTAAACATATTATATAGTAAAATGCTCGAGGACAAGGAAGATGAGGAGAGGAAGATCAATTTACTATAGCCAAGCCCCAAAACCTGCGAGATCCACAGAGGGCTCACGTGTTTTTTGACCACGAAAATAGTTTCGCCTATTCCTGACTGACGACAAACAAGGCTGAGTGAACGAATGTGAATTGTTTGTTCTTGGCGCTGAAATGTGACAAAGCCGATCATTTTTGAATACTCACCGTCATTCGGCATAAATTTGGGAAATGTGTTATCCACACGGCGATATTTTATCGGACGTGGAGCTGTGGCCTCGGTGGCCACGTTTTGATAGCTGAAATCGAGTGAAGAATTAAATGTTAGCTTAATATTATAATACATCGGGAGGGATTGTTTTGAATGGGATTGTATTCACCTTCGTTTGCGATTGTGTTCGCTGTCCTCGTTTCTAGTATTGGGTGGCTCCTTGTTGTTGTTGTTGCGACCGCCCAACAGAAACCAGTGACGTATCCAATTAAAAAGATCAAAGCCCATCGGATCGTGATGTGGGTTCTTTGTGTGCGTTGCACTCTCGATTTTAGACGATAAAGCGCTTATTTTATAATCAATCTCGTTCAGCAATGCAGTCGTCTCGAATGCAATGGCTGCTTCAGATGTAATCGAGATCCTTAACAGATACTCGCGGACATCGCTTAGTTTACGCTGCAGCAGCAGAACGCCCCACAGACCGTCCAATTGCCGATTGCTGCAGATGTCGCCAATAAAGTCCAAGGTGCGTTGTACAATTGCCAAGCGCGGATCCGATTCCGGCTCCGAATCTCCCTCAGTTGCAGATGATGTGAAAGAAAAATCGTTTTGTTCCGATGCTGTCTCGAAATCGTTGGGCTGTTGCTGGTGCGTTGCTGGATCAAAATCAAAATCGTTTATGGGCTCATACGTGGGTGAGAGGCCAGCGCCATTTGTCACTGATGCAGTATCCCAATCGAGCGGCAGCCCAACTCCGTTCAATGCAAATGCGTGCTCTGGATTCCAGTTGGCACCGCTGGCCGCCACTGTTACTTGACTGGGCAGTATATTGGATGTTTCGCGCACACTGCCTACAGTGTGCAATGCGGGGTAAACTAAAAACAACAATAATAGTAGCAAGTTAGTTCTTATCGGTTACCTGGACATGGCCGCCATGCGAAGATGTCTGCGTCTGGGGCCAGGTTCATCTGTAAATTTTGCGCGCCGCTTTTGCAACAGTCACATATCAGCACAACAACAAAAAAGCAACGCACACAATGTGCAGACGCGGGGCAAACGCAATGTTTATGGTAAAAAGAAATCAACAACAATGCATATGCAACGCGCACTTTTAATACAATTGCGAATATTTATATTTTGTAAGTAAAGTGAATTTAATGCCGGCTGATGCGATTTCGACGCCGCGTTTAAAACTTATATTGCGAGTGCTTGTTTTGTTAATAGGCGCTCAAAATGGCGTTTTAGCAGGCGTTTTTACTTACCAGTTCTTTTGTTTGTATGAATGTACGGAAAATATATAAAATATTTTAAATTTTCTACAATCAAAAGCTTGATCGCCTGAAATTTAGCGTGCTGACGGACAGGCTGACATATCGACAAAGCAACCACATCTACATAAAAACGAAAATGCCAAAAAAAATACTAAGTAAAAAATACTGAATGCAACTAGAAAAAGTTTTAATGCCGCTTTAAGCAATTGTAATAAAGGAATTCTAATTTTATGAACTTCGATTGATTTACCTGAAGCTTTTTTGAATGCTGTTGCACTAATTATTAAAAAAAAACGTTCATAGTTTTTCCAAAACTTTGGTGCGCAAAATGTATTTTGCAACACTAAATAGTCGTCCGACAACTATCGAATCTCGATTGTGCGATATGTTGATACATATTGACCGCCTAAAATTTAAATATGTACGCCATTTTGTTTATTTTAATGAATTCGTGCTACACCTGACATAGTCGCGCATATATTTATTATTTGAATTTTCTAATGGCTAGAGATAGTGTTAATCGTTGCTCTGGCAACAGAAAAACAAAAAATTCCACAGCAATGTCGTTGATCCATACAAAGCTCCCGCCAGGCCCACCGTTGCCTGAAACGAGTAGTTCACAACGACCCAATGGGCAAGAGCGCCCCAGATGAGTATCAGCAAACCATTGGTAAAGTGCACTGGCCGGCGTATGGCTGTCCAATTGGCGCGCGTCATGCCCAACTGGAAGACCATCTCCTGTAGAAAGGCGGTGACCACTTGGCCAAAGCCCAACAGCACAGCCGAAACGCTCAGCAGCAGCTTGGATGTGGAGAAGCTAATAACTATGATGGAATGGTGTGTGACAATAAATAGTTGTACGTATTGTGATTTCAGGACTCCAATGCTTACAAATGAGCGCCAGGCACTTGCAGATGCTGCCCAATGTGTACCACTGTAGCTTGCGTTTGTAAAGGCTTGAACCGAAACGCGGCGTCATCAGCGAAAAGCACATCCATGGAAAGGCCAGCAGCGAGAACAGAAATGGAATTTCGGCGTTCTTGAGCGCATGATGGCTAACAGCCAGTCCCGGCAGCACAGTCAGGCACATCACATAACTGAAGATGTCCGCCGAAAGCAGCAGCGTGCTGGCATACAGCTGTGGCACCATCAACGCATGCTGCAGCGGCATGGCAATCTTATCCAGCAGATTCCACCATAAATGCGAGGTAACCGCGCGTGACATGCGTCGTATGCGATGCTGTCATCAAGGAAAATATGAGGATCAGAAATGCACTGTGTTCACTTGCTTACCAGATTCGCGTGCGTCTCCGGCAGCGGAGATGAGCTGCCCGTTCCAGTGATATTTGGCGGATTTTGCGCATGGAGTCGACCATTTGAATGGGACTTGTGCAGCACTTGCGATTGCGACATGCTGTAATTATCGATGGTGGCATTGCTGGAACGCATTATGGACACCGTTTCATCCTCTTCGGGTATTATCTCCATAATCTCGACGCCATTGGGGTTAACATAGGTGACATATGCCTCATCCGTGGCGAGCATGTAGTTGCTGTGCGTATCCACGACGGCGGCGGCCACAGCTGCCGCAGGCGCAGTGCTGGTCATCTCTGTAGCCGGATTTCGCCACGACATTGCCGTGTCCAGCCCGTCCAGCTGGTCAGCAACAAAGTTAGCCGCTAGCGCGGCACGCAATGGCAATGCACCGAAACCAGTCTCAGCCTTGATCACTGATATCCGCTTGGTGGTAAATGCATCCTCCCGATGCTTAGTGATGATTAGACTCAGTGGAATGAGATTTACCAGCATTGCCGACATTAGCACAATGGACTGTGCCGTGCCGTACAGAGTGCGCAGGCTGGTGAAGACGAACGACAGGAACAGCTGGCAGAAGGCCTCGCCACACAGATGAATTGTTTTGCGCACGTATTTGTCCTCGCGCGGACGGACTGCCTCTAGTATAACATGGGTTTTCCACAAATACAGGCTGGAGCCAATACCTAAAAGGCCACTGGGACTTTCAATGGATTTGGCTGGCAGCTGGAGCCGATGTTTCGCTTACCCGCAAAGCAGCCGTAGAAGACAATGGCCACCGTTTGAGTGGTGGTGGTGACCACCACCCAGGCGGACGAGAAAAATATGCCACTAATCATCAGCGATAGGCATGCAATCAGTGTGGCTAGCAGAAAGATGCGCCTATATTGATTCGTTTCCCGTGCACGACCGCTATACTCTGTGTCCAGATGTTCCATAATGGAGCGGCAAAGCTCGCCGGTAGCTTGATAGACAATCGCTGGCCAAATGCGCAGCACCAGATCCTTGTCCGATTCCACAATATTGCCATATAAATACGCGGGTGTTGCTAGAAAGGCCTGGAGAATTGACGCAGCATACGAACGAGAGAGATTAATAAAGAGAGCCCTTTCATATGTAGAAGAAAGAGAGGCAGAGAGAGAGAGAGATAGAGAGAGAAATAGAGAGAGAGAGAGGGAGAGAGGGGGAGAGGGAGCTGCTATTTACGTGTATGGCAAAGCCGCAGAGCATGTACTTCTGTTGTATGTGCTTCTTGACCACCCGACGCCGTTGGACACCGGCGGTGGCCCGGGCAGCGGTGCGACGTACGGCTGTAGCAGCCACTGGAACCGCTGCCACTGTTGCCATTGGCATTGTCGTCATTCCTGGCTAGCGCGGCAATAGAGAATGCGACCTCTCTGGGGATGATCCGGATCCGTTTGCTTTTCGTGTGTGGAATTTTTGTGTGCGGGTACTGTGTGAGGCGCGTCGTCTGGCCGTTAGCATTCATCATTTACCAAACCGAAACCCGTTTAGATAATGGCAAAAACAAAAAAAAAACTGTGATAATAATCGCGCTTATCACATTGAAGATATCTACATACAAACACCCACCCAACCACAAAGTGTGTGTGTGGGTGTGTGCGTGTGTGTGTGTGTGTGAGTGTGTGAGTGTGTGTGTTAGTCAGTCAGAGATTAACGTCAGATACATATGTAAAAAGTTTGTCTTCATCGTTGACGCTGTTGGCTTTCCTGAAAACGCCAGCAGAGGATTATGTTTATGACCAGACGCCAGCTGATCAGACATCGCACTCTGATAACGTGCAGCATACGATTCGGTAATACTATATGGGCCATTTGGAGTGAACCAAGTTAATCTATTGAGTGCACTGCTTCCCCCAATTGCGTAACACAATAATATATTTTATTTATTTGGACTCGGAAAAAAAAACAACTTTGACCAAATGCAATCTCTTACAAGTAAAGCAAATATTAAGATTACAAAATGTGATTTGATTATTGTTATTGCAAGTTATGCATCTAAATGTACCGAAAATAAATCAGAAAAAAGTGCATAAGCCACACAATTCATGGTTTTCATTATTTCTGTGAATAAAGGATAAAGCTCTAAAGTATAAATCTAATCTGCATTGGCTACCGCAATTTGGGACTCGAATCTGCATCCCTCTTGTTTAAACAGTATTTTCTATTTTTTTTTTAATTGTATTGTATTTAAATATTGTAAAAGTATTTGAAATATTTACTACTTAAATGATTGTGCTATATATACTATATTTTACACTTGAGAACAAATAAATGAAAAAAAACTTATTGCCGCCGAGTCTTGGAAAATAAAAATTCGAAAGAAATACTTAGATATATGCCTTGGAAATTCTGGATCAGAAGAAAACAGTTTTTGAATATACATATACTAGGAATTCAACTCTGCAAACTCCAAGCCAATGCTCGATCTCTCGGCTAATGGTCTAAACCGATTTTCTGATTTAAGCTCCGGTTGGTTAACCATTTTTTCCGCATCCATAAGCCCAGGTTTTGGTTCAAACCTTGCCTTTTCATATATACACAAAGTGTAAATGAAACAATTAAATTTTCATTTATAGTTTTCCGTTCTCCTTACTATATATATCATAGTCGGTCGAATCAGTTCAGTTCGAAACCGTGTAGCAGAAGGACAAGTGTTGAATGGAAAGTAAAAGTAAAAAACAAAATATATGCAATCTTGGTGATTCATACTTGTTTTTTTCTTTTCCTTTTATCACTCAAACAGGCAAGGTTCATGCCAATAAATAATGCTGAGCGGCCGGGGGAGATAGGCAAAAAGTACCCGCCTGTCCGATCGGAGCTCATCCAGATTCAGATTTCCCCCGGATATAACATGAACACGTCTGTCGTTTGACCTCCTATCATGGCGCTTATCAAGACTGAGTATATCTTTACACACTTCCGTTTCACATCCGTGGACAGAGAGCTGTGCTGGGCGTGGCAGCAGCAGCAGCTGATTTTATGGCTTTACAACTGTATTTTGCCATGGTTGATGACGTTAAAGCAACGTTTTATTTGCGCTATATACTAAGTCAGACTGGAGATGGAGATAGGGCCAGGTTGGCAATTAGGCGCTAGGGTTGATAAGCCGCAGCATCCGGCGCCAAGTTTCTGCTATATAATAGGGTGTGGGTAACGGCAGTAGCTCATACAACGATCGACCGAAGTTAGCCACCGGCAACACGATGACGACGACGACGACGACAACCAGAACAACCCAAACAAGAACGATGACAGCGAAGCGTGGAAAGTTCTCGACAGCATCCTCGGTGCTACTGCTCTGCGCAGCCCTGGTGAGTCTCTTTTGGCCGTGTGCTCAGGATATGGATATCTAACAGTTAGTCAATTGCAGCTAATGACCAAGTCCTGCGGCATTCTGGCCCTCAGTGGCGATGGGAATGCCCAGTTGCCAGGTCAAGCAGATGCCTGGAGCGAGACAACAACAGTCAGCGAAGGCAGCGGCTGGGAGGTAACGATTGGGAGCACAGATCAGCCAGAAGAACTAACAACAGAGCCCATAGAGGAGCTGGATACAACAACATTTGGGGCGGATATACCAACAGAGACTACTGCGCCTACGAATGCGGCCACCACGCTCAATCCCAACGAGCCCGAGCAGGAGACCACAGTTGCGCCCAATGAGGAACAGTCCACAACGGGCCCCGGCGAGGAACAGTCAACCACTGCAGGCCCCGGCGAGGAGCAGTCTTCTTCAAGCCCCAGAGAGCAGCCGTCCACTTCAGGTCCCGGCGAGGAGCAGTCTTCCTCGAGCCCCAGTGAGCAGCCGTCCACTTCAAGCCCCGGAGGGGAGGGGCAGTCGACCACATCAGGCCCCGGCGAGGAGCAGTCCTCTTCAAGCCCCAGCGAGGAGCCACCGACCACCACACCCAGCGAGGAGCTGCCCACCACCACCACGGAAGCGGAGCCAGTTATAACCACCATTGCACCAACGCCACCGGCACCGCCTGTATTCGAGTGCCCGACCGTGGGTCTATTCCCTGACATCAGCGGCGACTGTCAGCACTTCCACAACTGTCTGCTGAACCTGCTGACGGGTGAGCTGAAGTCCTATGATATGGTATGCCCTCCACTGTTGGCCTTCTCGCCCACCTACGGCCGCTGCGTGCGAGATTTGGCGGAATGCGACAACGATGCGTTCGTTTGTCAGAGGCCCGGACACTTTGCCGGCAGCGATGAGACCCACTACTATAACTGTGTTCCGAAACTGCGCGGTGGCTTCCACAAGTACATTGTGCGCTGCTCCGTTGGTCAGCGTTTTGAGCCTTTGATAGGCCGCTGCTGGCGTTTCGATTGGACGCAATTATTGCCCGGACAGGCGCTGGAAGCTAGCGATTTGGCGGCCATCAAACGTGAACAAAAGGAATTGAAGGCGGAGGAAAAGCTGCGCCTGAAGGCCGAGAAGAATCAAGAGAAATTGGCGCGTAAGCAGCAAAAGCTGGAGGAGAAGCTGGCCAAGAAAGCAGCCAAGGAACAGGCCAAGAAGGACGCCAAGGCAAACAAGCCCCTGTCCGTGGAGAGCGCCGAGTCCCCAGAGCAGCCCAGCTTCGAATTCTAAATCCAATCGGCCCCAGATTCCACTCACAATCTATGTTGGTGTATAGCGTAGTCTCATTTGGTTATGGTTCTTAAATTCTATCTTTTTTTTTTCTTTCTGTATTGCATGAATAAAGACTAAAATTCTTTAATATTCACTCTCTGTATGGGCTTGTGGCCGGCAGCAGCGGCGGCTCGTTTATCAGCTAATCGGACGCAATCTCCAAAATTTTTATTAAGTTGTTTGCGGCCGACTATAAAAGAACCGAGCCTAGAGCCCAGTCCAGTTAGTCTGTCGAAACAAGTAACGAGTCGCTAAAGATATTGCCTAAAAAGGACGTCATTGTACAGTAAGCTGCGAATATGTTGAACATTCACTTGGCACTGACCGCCATGTGCCTGGTGCTGTGCGGAGCCGTCCAGGCCGGAGAAAGCCATCCATGCAGTCGCACTGGATTCGTTGCGCTCGTGGATAATGCGCAGGAGTACTTTGCCTGCGAACCAACACCCAATGGTGGTTACTCATTGAGGCGTTTGAGGTGCCAGGACAATATGAGCTTCAGCTCGGAGCTGGCAAAATGTGTTGAGCGGGCGCGGGATGCTGTCGCAGCTGATGGCAGCGACATTGAAAATCCCACAATACCGCCAGGCAATTTTGACGATTCCACTGAGGGCCCTGATCCAACTGACGCGCCCGGTTCCACCAAGGAGCCCGAGCCAACTGATGCGCCCGGTTCCACTAAGGAGCCAGAGCCAACTGATGCGCCCGGTTCCACTAAGGAGCCAGAGCCAACTGATGCGCCCGGTTCCACCAAGGAGCCCGAGCCAACTAATGCGCCCGGTTCCACCAAGGAGCCAGAGCCAACTGATGCGCCCGGTTCCACTAAGGAGCCTGAACCAACTGATGCGCCCGGTTCCACCAAGGAGCCTGAACCAACTGATGCGCCCGGTTCCACCAAGGAGCCAGAGCCAACTGATGCGCCCGGTTCCACCAAGGAGCCAGAGCCAACTGATGCTCCCGGTTCCACTAAGGAGCCTGAACCAACTGATGCGCCCGGTTCCACCAAGGAGCCAGAGCCAACTGATGCTCCCGGTTCCACTGAGGAGCCTGTACCAACTGATGGGCCCGGTTCCACTAAGGAGCCTGAGCCAACTGATGCGCCCGGTTCCACCAAGGAGCCTGAAACAACTGATGCGCCCGGTTCCACCAAGGAGCCTGAAACAACTGATGCGCCCGGTTCTACCAAGGATTCTGATGAGTCCACCACCGAACAACCTGGAACGAGCACCACAGTAAAGGAAGTTTGCGCAACAACAGGCTTTCTGCCCAAGAATGGAAACTGTTATCAATATGTAATATGCTACGAGGACGACGAGGGGGACTTAATTGCCTTAACCCAAGACTGCCCAGAAGGGATGCAGTTCAATCCCGATTCGAGGTACTGCGAGCTGGGCTACGATTGCACCAACCCAACAACTCCGCAGCAGTGAGAATAAGTGAAGAATTTTAGAGATGAAATAAATATCCCACTGTGTACTATTAAGAAATGCATAACTATACCAAATTCTTTGTTCTATACTTATGGAATATTTTTTTTGTTTTTTTTTTTTCCATATAAATAAATTCTAGTTTAATTGATGTTAATTGATTGCAAACGCATACCATATCACGCATTGTACCTGAACTGGGCTAAAAATCAATTCGGTTACAATAGGAAATATTTATGACGTCGATAAGGAGTCAATTTAATTTTCGATACCGCCCTTCCCTTATCAATGGCACTTCAAGTTCTTCCAATATTTAGGTGCTTAATTAGACAGCGATTGGCTCCCATTCAGCGTTAATTACGAGCTACTCGTACTCGAATAATATTCGAACCCAGCCACGTAGTGCTTTTGGGGGTATCTGTGGATCTGTGGACCTGAGCTGGGCAATTAAAGACAATCCAATTTAATTGAAAAATTTAATACAGTCTCTTATAACATTTCAGTATTAACTTAATGCGATAGACCTCACGACTGCTTGAAAAAAATTACAATAAATATAATCAGGAAACTTGTGAATCAGAATTCGTAATTGCCGCGAACTTACGATAGGAAATGTACCCTAAACGCGTTTAGTAATTATTTTTCGTGGTAAATAGATATTTATGTAGGCTTATTTAAGATAACTCTAAATAATTTAAAACAAGTCTAATCTTATCTGGGCAATGCCTTATAAAAAATAATCGCAACATATGCGAATTGGTGTTGCATGGGAATTCGTTCATTGTATATACCCTGGTGAAGGGTATTATACTTTTGTCACGAAGTGTGTTACATTACTGAAGCATATCTCTATATATAAAACAGTTTGTCTTGACTGACTGACTGACTGATTGGTGATCAACGCACAGCCCAAACCGTAAGAGCTAGGAAGCTGAAATGTTCCCTGTAGTTACGTTATGTGACGAAGGTGCAGGTTAAGACGGGGTTTCGGGAAAGGAAATGGAAGTCAAACATATGGTCGGTGACTTTTCGCGCTCAAATTCATTTCCAAGGATCTATATGAAAAATCATTTGAGGCGTGTTTTTTTTGTTTACATTCTCCGCAGAATCCAAGCATCCTCGGTAAAAAGTGCGATTCTAAGATTATTTAGGGTAGTCTTAAGTTTTGTCCGATTCGCTTCAAACTTATTTTTAGAGCTCTACAAAAGATCTTAATAAATACGTGTTTCAGCGATTTGTATAAAACTTTTTGATTACCATCGGATCGGCCTCAAACTCATTTTCAAAGAAATTGGTTCAAATTATTTTGAGGGTTGTTTCGCACTTTTTAGAAAAGCCATCCCTCCTTGGATGAAATGGGGGTCAAAGATTTGGTGGGTGACGTTTCGCCCTAAAATTCATTTCGGGAGATCTACATAGTCGTGTTTCACAGTGCATTTTAAAGATTTTTTTTTTGAGAATTTTAAGTTGTGTCCGATTTGCAACAAACAAATTTTCAAAGCTCTACATTAGAAAATAACAAGTAAGAAGTTCAAGTCGGGAGCTCCCGATTAGGGGATACCCTGAACCCTCTTCTTCCAACATCAAATGCATATATATATTCTATTTTAGAAGCTATATGTCAAGTTTGGTGACTCTAACTCTTATTGTTTACCGAAATTGCCCAAAAAACAGGATATCGATATCGATTTTTATCGATTGCTTGGACACGGAGTAAGTTATCGATTATCGGAAACAAACTCGATCTGCGCAGGCACTAGGAGCATCTACGTCTAATTTTAAGTCTGTAGCTCTTATAAGTTTTGAGATCCTTGCGTTCATACATACGGACGGACGGACGGACGGGCAGACAGACGGACATGGCTAGATCGACTCGGCTATTAATGCTGATCAAGAATATATATACTTTATGGGGTCGGAGATGTTTCCTTCTGCCTGTTGCATACATTTGGATTTTGCACAAATACAATATACCCTTATACCCATTTTTAATGGGTTCAGGGTATAATGAATGCGTGTTTCAGCGATTTGGGAAATTCCACTCGCAACAGTTTTAAAATGTTTGTTTACCGTCCGCTCAGTTTCAAAATCATTTTCAAAGCTTTTTGAGAACATTTATTTTATAGCACACGTGCCACGGGCAAGGACGGGCTATACCTGCAGGTATATGTAAATTCTTGTTTAGTTGGTATATATTAAGCTATCGAAAATAATTTGGCCTAATGTATTTTTTAAACATGTGAGCAAAATATTATCGAAATCCGAATACTTTATTATATAGCTCTCTAGGAAAGATCGGTTGGGACTAAGTCTTTTATATAAAAGCAATTCGAAGCCAAATGTTCACAAGAGTAATTAATCTTCTTTCTGTCGCCTCATGCTGTCTCTTGATATAAGTTTAATAAGAATATTTATAAATAAGAAATTGGCGTATTGAATAAGAGGAAGCATTTATAAAATCATTAGAAAGGCAGGGGGAGGGGTAGGGGCCATATGGAATGCATAGAAATCTGCAATGAACGCAATAAATATGCAAGTAAATCGCACGGCGGCCACAACTCGATGAATTCTCAAATGAGTGAAAGTTGGCGGCGCCGACGATTGCATAAGGCAGCAGCAGCAGGGAGGGAGGGGGGTTCAGGCAGGCAGGTGACTGGTGGGCAGGGGGCCGGGCGATGCGGGGCGGGTTTTGAGCTGGCATAGACACAGCGGGAACCGTCGCTTGGTTGGACAATTGCGCATGCGCGTAACTCGTTAAAATGATTTCAACGCTGGCGACAATTAAAGCACGCCGAGCTTCACTTCCAGCTCCAGCTCCAGTCGCAGCCCAGGCAGACGGCGGACGGCAGTTGCTTCAAATGCAAAATCACGCCGGCTTTTGGACGCAGTCCAGGCACGTATCGGGCTCCGTATCAGCCCCTCCTCCGCTACTTAGTGCTGATGATGATGTGATAAGCGTTAGAGCAGCGCAAAAAATGAGACGCGCTACGTGCAACACACTCGGAGACTGGACTGTGTGTGCCATTTGGCCCTAAGCGAACGTTCATATGCAATATGCGAATGTATCTTTAGACATTAGCTGCTACCTGGCTGGCATCTGTATACTGTATACTGTAGACTGTATACTGTATATGCTGTATGTGACATTGTATCTAACAGTGATGAGGTTTTGTTCCTCACTTTCTTTGGGCAGGTGTTGCGCAGCTGACCCAGCAAACAAGTCAACAGTAAACAAATCACAAACATTTCGTGCGAACCTTTCTTTTATTATTATCATCATTTTTGTTGGGCGCACAAACTGCGCCCACTGCTGACCCAAAATGTTGAGGGGGGGCACCAGCTGAGATAAATGGCCAGATACAATTGTATCTTTATTTGAATGTTGCTCATGCTCGCACTTGTTATGTAATTTGCGCATTTACACGTTGTTTTCATCTTGTCGCCGTGGTTTTATTGTTGCCCAAACATCAAATTATTTGAGAGAAAAAAATGTGCCAGCCAAGATCGGCATTTAAATGTTGTACAATTATGCGATCCACCTCATGCAAATGAGGCAGACAACAATTGCAGCTGTTTGTTTAAAAGAAATTTTGGCCCCATTACCTGGCGGGCGACTGGATAATACCCCAGAACTCCAACCTAGAGTAGCTAAGATCGGTTCATTTAATGTCCATTTATTATATTATGTGTGTGTGTGTGTCTTTGTGTAGGTGTGTGCATGCATCTATGTATGTATTTATATATAAATGTGTGCATGCATCTTCGCTATCTAAGACCAAACGCAGACCAAGCTTTTCTGTCGCTGTGCTGCAAATTTATATAAAACGTACTTCTACCAGGTGCTCTACTCCTCGATTCTCAATAATTCAAGTAGGCTCAGCTGATTTTATGCTTAGTTAATAGTGCAGTGTTTTTTTTTTTTTTTTTGATTTATTTTTGGTAGTTTTTGTTTTTGGTTTTTTTGCGTGTATGTATGTATGTATGTATATGCATACTGTATCTGTATATCTGTATGTATGTTTGTATATCTGTATGTATGTCTATATGTATGTATGTATGTATGTATGTATGTAAGTATGTATGTATGTATGTATATATGTATATATGTGTCTACGTATGTACGTATGTATGTATGCAAGTATGCATGTGTGTACATATGTATGTGCATGCATGCATGCATGTTTGCATATATACAAACAAACATGCATACGTATGTATGCAGGCATGCACACAAACATATAAGTATGCATGCCTTTATTTTGATATGCAAAAATGCATACATACATACATGTATGTTTGTATGTATATGTGCATGTATGTAGGTATCCGGACATGTATTCATACATGCACGCATGCAAGCATTTTTGCATATAGATATACAAAACAAACATGCATACATGTACATATGTATACATATATATGCAAACTTAAAACTTCACCCACAAAATCTTTGAATCGCATTTCTTCCGAGGAAGCTTGTATTCTGCGAAAAGCGTGAAACAAGTCTCACATGGTTTTTCATATAGATCGCTGGAAATGAATTTGAGCGCAAAATGTCATTCACCCAATCTTAGACCCACAAAAGGGATCCCACCAAGGAGGAAGGGATTTACAAAAAAATGCGAAACACCATCAGATGAATGTTGACAAAGATTTTTGAAAATAAGCTTGAGGCCGATCGGATTCTAAACAAAATACAAACGTGATTCGCGATTTTTCCACACATTGGGGTGGAATTTCCCGAAATCCCATCTTTACGTGCACCTTCATCACATAGGGTAACTACAGTGAAAATTTCAGCTTTCTAGCTTATACGGTATGGGCTGTGCGTTGATCACCAATCAGTCAGTCAGTTAGTCAAAACTGATATCCCATATAAAAATTAAATATTATACAAACAATTAAGCTTAAGTTAGGCACAATAACTTGTGTATTTTAAATTAACGTCCATTTTGTTTTCAATGCGAATTATTTGGTTTTCTCTATTCACATGTTCTGTAATT